ACCCTAACCCTAACCCTAACCCTAACCCTAACCCTAACCCTAACCCTAACCCTAACCCTAACCCTAACCCTAACCCTAACCCTAACCCTAACCCAACATATAGCCCCAAAGATCGCGCTTCAGGTCTTGTTGGGCATCATGACGCTGTGCGGGATGCTAAGCTGGATGCTAATGCCCAAGGTCAAATTCCTACCACATGACCCTTGTTCTATAGCGGGCACCGCACACTTGCTTGCAGAAGATGATTTCTGGAGTGGCAAGAAGAGGTGGGACGTGGATCAGATGTTCCAGCTTGAAACGAGAAATGGGCGATTCGGTATATATGCTGTAGGAGCAGAGAGCCGGCGACTCCTTGATTAAGTCAGTGAGCTACCTACTGTTATGTAGTAGGCAACCTACAAGCGATGATTCGGAGTCTTGCGACGCGTTCATGGTGATGTGGTTCCGAAGCGGTTGTAGATTGAGCTGCCCACTCCCTTCTCCTTCCTGTCATTTTCTCTATGAAGCGGCACGTCCCTCGATGCATGTGGAAGGACCTTGCTGGCGTTTATGCCGCTCCACTTCTTGTAGGATACGTCCAGCACATTCCTGGTGTAGGAGCGGGGGTGCTACCATCGCTCCTACTTGAATGCCGTCGTCGTTGGTGCAAGAGGCCGGCGCAGGCTGAAGTGCAGTTGATATCGGCCGCAACTGAAACCGTCTCGCTGGAGTTTGCAGCGAGCTTCGTGCCGTTCTGAGCGGTTGCGAAGCCACTTTTATGTGTGTATCACTGCATGTGTCAGTCAAATATGGGTGTCGAAGGATTGGCTTGATGTCTCGCAGGTGTTCACAGTCACGCCGATATATGCAAGAGCCTTCCATGTCACGCTGCTGGTGGTCTTCGACTTCCAGCATTCGCCGCATAAGCCGAAGACATGGCGGCTGTGTTTGATGGAGGCGTATCACTGGATGTCGATCAGGACTGCAGTTAGCATCGCGACTCTGCTCTGCTTGCATGTCTTGACATAGGGGCATGTTTGGAGGTGACATACCAATCTAATGCTTGCAAGAGTGATCGGCTGGGTGACACATACACCATGATCCGATCATGAACCAGTTGGGAAGTTGAAATCCTCTGGGTTTGAGAGTCTAAGTTTGTCTCCAGTCATGATGAACGGGACTTGCTCTGTAAATTGGCATGGTCCAAAATGAACGAGCGAGGGCTCTAGGATAGCGTACATGAAACCCATTCACCAGCCTGTTCATGGATTTGGCCGGATTTCGAGATGCTCTACACCCACTTTGTCTGCCTCAGCATTCAAAGCATCTATCTCAGCCTGAACTAAGGGTATGCCCGTCGCCTCTCGTGCTTGTTGTTGCAGTTGCTCAAGCTCTCCAGGGAAGTAAATGTGATCGACGCCGTCCGCCTTTTCAGCGCTAACAACCCTGTTGTAGAGGTACTGCATTCTCTCTCTAAATTCTTCGAGGCTCATGAACAAGTCAGGCTTGATAGCAACAAGAAAATGACCAACGTTCGAAGGTTTCGAGGCGTCATATGGGCCGGCTACGTGCCCAGCGAAGGCTGACCCTGAGAGAACGCCAGAGAATACATCCATCATAACTGCTAATCCAGATCCTTTCGGTCCACCCATGGGTAGCATGACCCCGCCATCAAGGGCAGCGGCGGGGTCTGTTGTTGGCTTGCCATTCTTGTCGAGCGCCCAGTCAGCGGGTATTTGTTCGCCTCTCCTGCAGATGCGAAGATATGAAGTCAGTGTATGTGTCGCATGCATTTCGCGCAGCCATAACTCACCTCTTCGCTTTGTAGATCTTTCCGCGTGCAGCAATGGATGGCGCCATATCAAGGATGAACGGCTTTTCTTTCCCTGGTGCACCGCACGCTAGGGGTGACACGCCTAGTAGCATGCTCTACAGATGTGAAGACACGAAGTCAGTGTATGTCTCACCCGCATTTTTTACAGTCATAACTTACCTTGCCGCCCCACGCCGGTAATGCAGGACTGGAATTCGTAAACACCAAGCTCATCATATCAGAATCGAGGGCTTTCTGCACGACCCATGCGGCCATCCCGAAGTGATTCGAATTTTTGATGCTAGCCATGCCGATTCCAAAGACTTTTGCTGATTCGATCGCTGCAGCCATACCAAGGTCTACCGCCACAAAACCAAATCCGTTTCTGGCATCGATCTGTGCTACAGCGGGTGTGATTTGCTTTAATCCTGGTGTCGCAGAAGCATCCAGAACGCCTTGTCGGATTCGCTCCATATATGAGGGAATCCTATTTATCCCATGGGTGTCAACCCCGCGAAGGTCTGCAGCGATGAGACAGCGAGCGACTATGGATGCATTGATCGGTGCAACCCCATTTGCTGTTAAGACGGTTTCCACAAACGTTTGAGCTACGCTTGCGTCAACATAGTGCTTCTTATCGGCTGCAAATGGATTCGCCATATTGTCGGTGAAAACGGAGACTGCCAGTCAACGAAGTATAGGAAACCAGAAGGAGTTTTGGAAGAGCTCCAAGTCATGCAGTGGCTCTGGAAAACGTCGTCGTGCTCAATGGCCACATTCGCCGGACTGCGCTGTATTTATGTTTGAGCTAGCGTGGCGGGTAAGCCCGTGACAGGTGGCGGACGCAGTCCGCTCCGCTTTTTCTTTTTAGCGGAGCGCCCCCGTCGGCGGCTCTGCCTCTTCATCACAACATCCCTCCGCCCTTACACGTAGACAGAGAATGACCAGCAACGAAAGTCGCCGAAACCTACACCTGCGTCTTGCATGTGCGCGGTGCCAGCGCCGCAAGATACGCGTAGGTGCAACTGCGCCTTCAAGTTGATCCAACTAATCATCGTGGCGCAGTGCGATGGGCAATACCCAACATGTGGCAACTGCAGGAAAGCTGTCGCGGAATGTATAGACGGCGACAGCGTTCGATTACGTAGTGGACCCGCCGATCTCAGCAATGCGCCTGGCCGTGGGCTTGTCAATAAACTGCGAAGGCGCGTCACGTGGCTGGAATCCATCATCCGCGAACGCCTTCCAGACGTTGATCTATCGACCACGCCATCCCGAGATGACCTTGAACAGTCTAACGTCGAAGAGCGTGTCACGACGGAAAGCCCCGGTTCGGCATCGCGTCGAGAGTGTCAAGACGATTCGGTGCCAGACCTTGCTCCTGTACCAACCAATACACTGGATCAACGTGCCCATGAGATCGGAATGATATCGATCGGCTTCAATGCAGATCAAAAATATATCGGACCGTCAAGTGGCTACTTCCTTGCCCGTCTGTTGCTCGCAAATTCCCGGAGGACTGGCGACCTGGCGCCCAGTATAAGCAGCCGACCGCTCACCACGACTCAATCCAGCATAGACGAACTTGTCAGTGCCGCACAAGGACCTCTACTACTACCATCCCAACATGTTTCTGTTCAGCTAGCACAAGTCTATTTTGAAACAATTCAGCCCCAATACCCATTTCTACACGAAGAGTCCTTTCGTGCAGCCCTTGATCAAATTTATCGCAACGGCGCACCTGTCGACTTTGTCGGCAACGATGATGGCTCCGTTTACTTCCAGACTTACATGGTGCTTGCGATCTCGGCGAAAGTATTGAATTGGAGGACAAAGCGACACATTCCTGGAGAGTCATACTGTCTTTCAGCCCTGCGATATCTCGACCGTATCCGCCTTGGGACTTCCATCGAAGGTCTGCAATGCATGCTACTACTACTTTTATTCACAATGTATAGCCCACACATGCAGCTCAACGTATGGAGTTTGAACTATCAATGCCTGGCGGCCGTCATAGACCTTGGCTTGCAAAGGCATGTCGCAATCTCAGCGGGCATCTCAAAACATGAGCAGGACATGCGAACCCGCATCTTCTGGACTGTATTCACCATCGACAGAACCATTGCAAGCATGATGGGCCGTCCAATCGGCTTGCGCGATGAAGCCTGCGAACTACGGGTAAGTCTAACCCTTGGGTCAACCCAGGCTAGATGCTAACTGGCTAAGCTGCCGCAACTTCCAACCGATGCCGAATTGGCTACACAGCCAGATCATGCCAACGGCCGAAGTCACAGCATGGCCGTCTCGATCCACCTTTTCAAGCTCGCAAAGCTAAACTCGGAGATCAAGTATGTCGCCAACAGCGTCGTGCGTGACGTGCCCACGTACGCTTATCCAGCGATACGCGATGTGTCAGCATGGCAGAGTGGTATGATGCAGCAATTAGATGATTGGCTTGCTTCAGTCCCGCAGATACAACCACCAAACGACTACATCACGCTGATATGTCAACTTCGTTGTTTCTCTGTCAAGATGCTCCTTCTCAGACCAAGTCCAGCAATTCCCAGCCCTGCCGGTGCTGTCTTGACAGCCTGCCACGCAGTGGCGCGTCAATCTTTGCGGCTGTATGAACAGCTCTACAAGAGCGACCTTATGGTATATGACTGGATCACTTTACACGGCGTGGTATATAGCACGATAACAGCTCTCTATTGCACTAGGGCAGTGCGAGAGATCGCGCAAAAGGTGAACCCTGAGGACCTGATGGAAGATATGAGCGTCAGTCTCAGCATTCTCAGCGCGACCGGCGAGCATTGGTCTGGTGCTAAACGTGCACGGGATATCTTGGAAGATGTAGGCAAATCGACGATTCGCTTGCTTAGGCAAAGTCGTGAAGCCTCTACTCAGAGACAGGCGATGGACCAGGCCGAATCAAATGTTCAATCTCTACCAGTCAATGTTGGAGATGATATCCAGGTGAATCAATTGATGGACGGTGCAGAGAATGATTGCACCATGTCAGGTCTGGCTCAGCATACCAATCTTTTCTCAGACATGCAGCTCGATCTCGGCTCCTTCTCTGAATTGCAGCAACATCAAGAGCTATTCGGGGACACGGTCAATATTGACGATATGATGAGAAACTTATTCGATGATTTCATCCCTTCGGGTCAGAGTTTCTATTAATGCCTTGTAGGGAGCGCCTACGTAGGACCCGCTGCTGTCAAGAAATCGAAGTCAGCTCCCTGTTGCGCTTGATTCACCGTTCGCATGTACAGACCACGGTAGCCTCTTGTTTGGGTTGCAGATGCTGTCACAGTCGCCTCCAGCTTCAATTTCCTCGACGCAATGCGCTGTTCGATTTCCTCATCGGAAACGCGAAGATGCAACAACCTCTTTTCAACATCGCATTCGATCATGTCGCCGTTCTGAACAACACCCAGCACAGAGTCGGGATTCGAAGACTCCGGAGATATATGCAAAACGATTGTACCCCCAGCAGTACCACTCATCCGTCCGTCGGAAAGGCGTAGCATGTCTTCAACTCCCTTCTCACTGAGCTTGCGTGGAATGGGTATCAAGCCTGCTTCCGGCATCCCTGGATTTCCTACAGGTCCAATGTTCTGGAGGACAAGAACGCTGTCTGCATCGACGTCTAGCTCAGGATCATCAATTCTCGCTGCTAAGTCTGCAGAGTTCGCAAATACTACAGCTCGGCCGCTGTGTTGCAGCAGCGTTCGGTCCTTGGAAGCACTGGCCTTCATCACCGCACCACCAGGGGCTAAGTTGCCACGGAGAACAACTAGGGACGATGCTGGGTAAAGCGGATCGGCTAGAGAATGCAGACAATTCGTAGGACTGCTTCGAGGTACTCGTGCATACGGTGCAGAGTCGATTTCCTCCCCGAGACTCTTACCGGAGACCGTCATTACGTCCAGGTACAACAAGGGCTTTAGTGCGTGCAACAATGCTAGCATACCTCCCGAGTTGTGAAAATCGGTCATATAGTTCTTCCCGCTTGGTTTGAGGTCAACCAGTAGCGGGGTTCGGCGTCCTATATCGTCAAACGTGCTCAAATCGATAGTACCTGCGACTGTCGGATGACGACCAATTATTGCCATCAAGTGGACAACAGCATTTGTCGAGCCTCCTATAGCCTGTAGGACGGTCATAGCGTTGAGAAACGATTCGCGCGATAGAAGAGCCTGTGGGACTCGCCTTGTCGCTGCCGCGTCCACAGCGAGCTTCCCACTTTCTTCAGCAATTCGCAGACGCGCCGACGAGACAGCTGGAGCAGTAGCACCTTTGAATGGCATCATGCCAAGAGCCACGAGAATGCAGGCCATGGTGCTCGCTGTCCCCATGACGCCGCAAGTGCCTGCCTTCAAAATGTTATTTAGAGTTCGATTTGATGACACCTTAGTCTTAGTTACCGTTGGTGCGAGCTCGTCGTTGATGGCTGAGATGTCTTCAACGTCAATTGTGCCAGCACGAAATTTAGCCCAGTTATTTCTGCAATCCGTGCATGCGCCAATCCTAGCGCCTTTATAGCTTCCTGGCATCATGGGGCCGGTGACAAGGTGAACGATCGGTTTGTTCGCAGAGATACCACCCATCAACTGTGCGGGAGTCGTCTTATCGCAGCCTTTGCACTAGTCAGTCATCTCGTTCCTACAGGAACAACTTCCGTCGGGGCAAAAACCTCCAATAAGTACCACAGCATCGCATGGCTGTGCTCTGATCATCTCCTCAGTGTCCATGCTCATCAAGTTTCGGAGGAACATGCTTGTTGGACTCGCAAAACTCTCGTGAAGACTAATGGTGGGAAAGTCGATGGCGAGACCTCCATTAAGCTGCACCCCTCGCTTGACAGCTTCGATCAATTGAGGGATGTTGGCATGACACTAACTTATCAGTTACCTTGGCCAGAGCGGAACGGATGCACACCTACAGGATTGAAGCTGCTGTATGTGTTGACGATACCGATGATTGGCCGAGACAGTGCATCCTCACTATATCCAAGGGCTTTGATGAAAACTTTGCGCAAGAACAAAGAAAAGTGAGCATCTCCATAGGATGTCAGACCTTGACGAAGACCGCTTGCCGATGCTGGTATAGGAATGTCGAGGTCGTAATCAGACGTAGTGGCGCTCTGATTTGCAGACATGATGCATCTGGGTTTTCGTTGGATAGACTGGCTCAGAAAACCTGTCTGAACACGTCTATTTGTGTTGTGGACGTAAGTCATGCTTGCGGGCGAAGTCCGCAGAGAAGTCCCCAGCGGACATCGTCCGCTTCACAAACTGCGGACCGAGCCCGCTGCGCTCGTACAAGAAGTCAGTAGGGCGTCATGCCATCCAGCGAGAATAACACCACCAAAACACGCCACTATGCACGATCTGAAAGGAAAGATAGCTCTAGTTATTGGTCTTGGGCAATCGGGAGATGAGGGCTGGGGTATCGGTGCAGCCTGCGCCGTTCTTTTCGCTCGTCAAGGAGCTATTATCTTCGGCGGGAACCGCACCATCGAGTCCACACAGAGAACCCAACGAACGATTGAGCAAGAAGGTGGTGTGTGCCATGTCGAAGTCACTCAAGCGACCGAATCGGGATCGGTGAAGCATCTTGTCGAAGCCTGCGTTGCCAAACATGGTCGCATCGACATCCTCCTGACGAACGTGGGCGCCTCACAGCCTGGATGTCCGGCGACCATGGAAGAATCCGTATGGGATTCGCAGATGGATCTCAATCTCCGGAGTGTATATCTGGCCTGCCACCACGTCCTTCCCATCATGGAAGGGCAAACCTCCGGTGGCGCAATTGTCTGTATCTCTAGTGTCGCCGGTATGCGATATATAGGAAAGCCGCAAATTGCATATAACACCACCAAGGCTGCGATATTGCAGTTTGTGAAAGCCACGGCAGTCATGTATGCTGACAAGGGTGTACGATTGAACACAGTCGTACCGGGGCTTATGGACACACCGTACACGAAGAGCATGGCAGCTAGATATGGGAAAGATTACAAGCAACTCAAAGCAACAAGGAACAAGCAGGTACCAATGGGCAGAATGGGCGATGCTTGGGATGTTGCAAATGCGGCGCTCTTTTTGGTCTCGGACGAAGCGAGCTATGTCACTGGACAAAAGATTGTGGTGGATGGAGGCATTACCTCAAGTACTGGTAAAGTTTAGACCGTTCTTCGTAACTTTGGTAGATATTGTCATTCAATGAAGAAAATCGTTGTACAAAAGCTGGTTTCCACGCTGTCATCTTCTGGAGAGACCCGACAGGAACGACAGCTCTGCAGCAACTAAATTGCATGATTTACCAAATTCTTTTTCTCTTATACCGCGTTCGCAAGGCCTTATTGTAGCCCTATGTACAACGATCTTATAGCTGTCTCGATGTAATGTCGCTCTCGCGAAGATGTGGATAAGGAAACGCGAAGCAGCCGACTGAGGGCAGTTGTCACAGTACCTACCATGGATCTCTTGACGCCTGAACAACCTCACAGGCGAGAGGTCCTTGTCGAGAACCCAGTCGTGACTGCTCAGCTGTGTGAGCAGCTAAGCTCTGGGCTACATGCACGGGTTGTTTTCACAGTTTTTCACCGCGTTTATTTTCTGCCTCTGTTTCCTTATGCGACGACTTGTATTGAACTAGGTATTGTACGTAGCTATGATTCACGCGCCTAGTAAGCGCCTAGAGCACGCGCGCGTAGTAATTCGTGACAGCAGTTCTGCTTGTGTAGAGCGCTCAGCTCGGTAAGAAAACTACCCTACCTGGACTAAGAGCTGCTATCTTCTTACATCAAGCCTTTCGTGACAAACCGACACATATACTCATCATCTTCGGCAACCTCAAAGTCAAACCGAGTAATGTCCTCCTTATATGGCCACAGATATTCACTAGTAACTCTATGCTGCCGTCAGTATATGTACGTGTCTGTGCTGTTCATACTTCATACCGCTTATGCTCTGAGCTTGCCTGATACTCTTCTAAAGCTTTGCGGTCTTGATGAAAGCTTAACAACGCGAACTCATAGCCCTTGCTTCGCTCGATAGGTTCAGTTATAGACGGCCCCCCGACGATCAATCGATTATCCAGGACGCAGGGAAGCTTCTTGAGCGCCTTGAGTTGTGTAACGAAGGCGTTCTTGTGTGCCAACGAAACAGTCGGCTTGAATTTGAAAAGAACTACCATACTTCAGCGATGTTCGGATGATGTTGAGTGCGTGAATGCAGGTTGGACTCACCAATATGTACCACTGTCATTGTGGTAGGCTCTTGAAAAGGTGGTGTAAGTGATTGTAGAAGGAAGCGAGTGTATTGAATCGATTGTAGCAAAGCTTCGTCAAGATGATGCGGCTGACGGTCACAACGAAAGATTTTGAGGTTGAGAATCGGTGCGCACGCATCCCGAGAGCCCATTGTGGGTTCGCGGAGATTGGCGGAGTCATAGCGGAGTTTCTCCGCAGGCTCAAATCCACCTCACACAGACTAATCAATCTTCGGAACGATACCAAAGCGTTCGGCGTATCTACTACCAGCTGAAGTAACGCGATCGCGTAATACATGGACCTAAGCGCCGTAGTGTACGGTAGGATAAACCTGTCTTTGGGCAATATCAACACATGGCGAGGTTCATAGCCCAAGGCTACTTTCCAAACACAGCAATAGGGAGTTTCCGGGCTCAAGAGGGTCTTTGTTCTCGAAGTGGTACTTCTTCCTCTCAGCAGCGGGCCAGCGTGTGATATCAAAGTAATTTCCTCCAAGTGGTGGACCCGAATGGAAGATGTGACGTGGTTCGCCGTACGCTTGACAGAGAATTCTCCACTTCAGGTCGTTAGGCAACGTTATTTGGGACAATATATCACCTACCTTTGTACCCCAGCCCCAGCGATCAACACACTCTTTTCTCTTCCAATAGTTCGCCTCATCCACGTCATCGAACTTTTGTACGAATCTCTCTTCGATGCCCCGAACGCCTTTGATCTTGATACCGTTGGCCTTGGCGTAGGAGACAATCTTATACGGCCAGCAGATTTCTCTAGGGTTCGATGATAGATATGGGATGGTCGTGGCTTGATCCAGACAATCGCAAATGAAGTCTCCAAGAAGTGCGAGAACCAGACCCAGGTCCCTGACCGGGGAGTGCTCCATGAGTAGCTTTGCCCGATCGAGAGCGTTTAGCGTGGCTAAAATTGCGATACCAATCATTGCGACAGTGTCCTGCCAGCGCTGACCATCATCCATCATGAACCAAGGCGCTAGTTGTTGCGATTGAGTCCAGTGGGCGAAAGCTGACAAGCGTACCCAGAGGCCAACAGCAAGCTCATCGGCCGAAACGTGTCGCTTAGCCATGAGTGAGTTGATGGCTGTGAGCTGGTTCTCTATAACCTCCTGCAACCCATATCCAGTAAAGTCGTTCGAGACCACCATGTCGAAACTATCCTCGTCACGCTTGATAGATTCGAGGCTATACTTCTTGACGAGCTCTGCTGTAGCTTGGGATATTACGTAGGGCCAATTCGGGAATTTCTCGGCCGGCTTGCCATCATATCGCTCCTTATATCTGGCGGCCGTTTGGATATGCTTTCCTGTCTTAATATCTTCCAGGTCGAAGCTGTACGATGGTTTAGCGTACGTTACATACTTTAGCTGTAGCGTTAACACCTCCTTGAGCGAGAAAGGGTCAGCATGTTGTAGAACCACGGACTCTAGTCGTACAGACGCATTTTCTCGGTCGCGTGTGAGTCTTTTCGCTAGCTTTGGTTCAGGCGATTCGTTGGGACTGACTTCTTCAAGCGCTCTCTTCCTCGTTCGCATGATTTGTGGGTTGGCTCCCCGGGTTTCGATTGAATCCGAGTTTTGAAGCCTCCGGCATCTCCCTGATGCAAGTACTTCACCTACAGTACTCTTAGGTATGCCAAATACAGTGGAAATACGCTCAAAACTGCATGGTAACTCGTGTTGTTGGCAATACAGCTGCACAGCGTATATGGCAGCTCGCTTGGGTGTCTCTAGCTGTGACGTACTTGACGCCTTCGCTAGCTCGGGTGGAGGGGTGGTAATCCGTATACGCTTAGGCATAGTGTAATAGACTTTAGTGCATCAATTTAAGCTATTTCTGTATACAATTTGACGCGTTTTGAGTGTAGTATTGTCGTGATGTTGATGTGAATAGGTGGTGTTGCGCATCGATTGGCGATCTATTTCCGGCTTTCCCGACTTACCGAGAGCTTGCACCTAGCAATCACACCCCTCACTCCAGGATGCGCGGCATGACACACATGTCGCAGCTCTACCATCAGCAACGCATTGCCTCTTCCAGCCATCAAAGCACTGTTGATGTACGCTCTGTCCGCAGCTGTCCTTGCACCACACCAAACCCTCGTCGCTCGCCGCCGTCGACCCATCCTCTGCCAAAACATCACGACAAATCGCGCAATCCCCCTCGATCGCCTGCCTCCGCGCATGAACAGCATCACATGAATTACACCCAGAATGTTCGTCCCAATCGCTGCGACAAACGCCGCACGTGAGTCGATTGCAGTCGATAACGCATTGCGCACGCCAATCATCGAAGCATTTCTTGTGCACACTCTGACCGCAACTTGATCGACACCATACAATCTCGGACGCATCGCATTCGGAGAGAGGGCCTCCTTCGTAGCAGATGGGACACTCTTCGTTGAAGGGCAACCGGCGAGCATGTGGGCGTTGGCATCGCTGCGGCGAAGGGCGTGGCACGACCTGCGACACATTTGGCAATGATGTCGCGCTGAACGACGACGTTCTGCCTGAGATTGCTTCAGTTCGCCCAACTGGTGCTGCTGCGATATCGGGACGATTCGAGCTTCTCGCGCTCCCTGTTGCGACTCGGGGTGTGGTGTTGACAGCGCTGCGCGCAGCCCGGCCCAACGATGTACTAGGTGTTGGCGGGATCTCCGATGGTGCGTTGACGGATTCAGCAGCGGCTGAACTCGCTACATGGTACCGAGGAGGAGTGGTACTGTTCGAAGGCCCTAATTCCTGCCTGACCTGTTGCACGATCTGCTCGATCTGCGCGCGTATTGCTTCAAGCTGGGCAGGCGTGAAAGCCACTGTCGCCGGCTGACTCTGCATTGCAGATCTCCGGCCTTGCGTTCGATCAAGCTCGACCGGGAACGCTGCCCTGATATTGCTCGTCCATTCGTTTACCAGCGCCTCGCCTTGTGTATGTCGATGTAGATAACATAACCCATGATTGGCGAGATTCACAAGGTCCGGTCGAATTCGCTCCGGGTCTGGCTGTTTCTTTGCTATCTCGGTAACCAAGAAGTACACGTCATGACGCCGGATCCGCTTGTGACACTCGCGACGCTTTGACGGGGCATACCCGAAGCAGAGGCCGTCCACACATAGATTCAGCACGTCCTCGGGATCCCATCGGGGCTGGGATCTGGACGTGCCAGGGATAGTGGCTCTGTTGGTGGGCACTGAAGAAGGCATTGTTCAAGAAAATAGTGTCTTTGAGGGAGTCTTTGAAAACGTGCGTTGATTGTGGGGATATCAGCACAATAAAAGTCGTGATGTAGTAGAGTTTGAAGGCGTAACAGTGCGAGTTGCACAAAGATATATCCATTGGCAACCTTTCATTCCCTCTTCACAGCCATGATCGCAATATCCAAGTAACTCCTCTGGAGGATTGTCAACCTGGCAAGACATGGGTCGTTTCATGGTGTTGAGACAGAACAGCTTGGTGAGCTGCGAATCATTATCTTTCCACGAGAAAAGCGGCAAACGGCGCATGATATACCAGGTATCTCCATACTCAAGAATAGCGCTGCGCCCCTGCGTTGTCATGCAACTCGCTTTGTGCAGCTCGAGGCAAGGCGGAGAGGTAGGCGATGCGCGCGAGGCTGATGCGGCGTGGTTGTCACCTGGAACAACATTCGTTTCTAGTCATACAGCTGCACCCACTGCTCATTGGACTAGCTGGTAAGCCAGAATTGGGTGGAGGGTATTATGCTTGACTACAATGCTAATTTTAATCTAAAAGAATGTCCCTCAACGTCTCAAGTCTACAGACTGCCTGAGAAACCTGCGTCCATCATGCTGCTCGTAAAGCGTCTCCAATAGGATCTCGTATTGATCATGGGCATCGCATTTGTACAAAGAGAAATTCTGAATGAGTTTAAAGAGGTACAGTAGCCTGGAATCGGTTTCGCTGGCCTAACTGGTGCCGCTGCCATGTCAGGGCGATTTCTGCTTCTCGCGCTCCCTGTTGCGACCGGCGATGTCGTTTAGACTACGATATTTCTACTGCTTACCATGCTGTAGCTCCAAGGGTAACCGTCGAAGTGCTTCCCAGGACCCCCTTACCATACGGTGAACTATGATAACGATGGCTTCACGCTTTTCCAGGATAGCTGCTTTCCCTAGATACTTTACAGGTGCACTGGCCTGGCCCTTCATGCAGTCAGGGACAAGACTCCCCAAACTTCGTCTTTCAAATTATCGGCGCACTGGAACCTGCCAAACCACGATCCTTTTTGTTCATCTCGTCGTCCTTAACCTGCTTATCAAGCTACTTTCTCAACGCGATGGTCGAGCTCGGAGACGGTTCCGAAATCCCCAAAATATGCTCGAGCACCTAGCTTGAAAGTTTAGCTTTACCAAGACTGCACGGAAGCCATTATGCACCCTACCACACCGCCTATAAAGTCCAACTCCCTGTCAAGCTCACTATCGCTCTTGATCATTCGAGGTCGGACTTCGGTCCACAGAGTATTCATTATAAGTAAGATTTCTAGCGTAACCTTAAGGAATCTTGGAAGTCCTCAAACGCTCTATTTAAACTATGGAATTTACGACCTAGGTTCATGTCACATCTACTTTCCAACTCCACAATCTTCCTTGAAACATATATCGAAAAATGAAACTTAATGTTTTTGTTGTTTTCTTCGCGCCTACGGTTCTTGCTACAACAAAAGTATGGAATCTAAGTGGTAGCTGCAATTCTGCCAACGTCTGCGACGTGGATACAGCATTCAACAATCCGAACAACCCGAAGGTGTGTAATGGCAGAGCGGGACAGTATGTTGGCACAGGTATCAACGGAAGAACATGGTGCAGTCCTCCAGGCACCAAATGCACTTATGTTTGGAGGTGCTAGCTGCTTGCTACTGTTCGAAAGAATACCAGTTAGGTATGTAGTGCTCTACAATTCCCTCTGATCCAGGCTAACATTCCATGAAAGAAGGGTCCGAAACTACAGTGCAGACCGAGGCTGGCAGGCGGTTGTCTCTTCAGAGGTCGTGGTATCAGTGGTTAGTAGCAGCAAATCAAAACCTGAAATTAGAGCTAGAGTTGAAGATTGTGAAGATCGCCCTCAGACGATCCAGAGTTGATTCTTAGGGAAGAACAGGAGTGCGATGGACAAGACATCGTACTGGCACGAATGGGAGAGTAATACAATCATACAAGTGTATTATCAAGATTCGTACATCAATATGATAACATGGGGTGCGTCGAGAATTATTCTCAACGTCTCAAGTTTATGCACTGAGGGGGAATCTTCCGACCATCACGCTGCTCGTAGAATGTCCCCAGTAGGACTTCTTATCGATCACGAGCATCGTATTTTTATAGAGACGATCTCTTGTAGGATCGGAAGATACATAGTACACATTCAGCATGCAAAAGTAACCCCACCGCGTTGCCAAAAGCTACGTCACTTGCGCCAAACACGAACATGTCCTGTTCGTCCGGACAAATACAACCTTCCCAAGAACAAGAACATAAGTTACGCAACACTCCTGCATGGGCATGAGGCTGTGTTTCAAGGAGCACACTCGTACGACTGCGCCTTCGTGACATCGCCGTCCTTCGACACAAGGCGTGTCTTCATCGGATAGGGGCACAAGAACCTGTCGTACTGTGTTCCAGACGTGTCATTGAAGTTGATTGGAATTGTATCCGGCACGGTACCCTTTTCCACCCAATCGACAAGAGCCTGGAACGTGGAGGTAGGCTGTCCACCCGATCCACCAGAGCAATGCGCTAGTCCAGGAACCTGGAAGTAGCGGAAGAAATCGTCGACGTTGGGATCCAGCTTCGTGACACGGTTATAATAGTCAGTGGTGCCTTTGTGTGGGATAAGTCCGTCGGCCTAACAGGAAGGTTAGCATAGGCTTGGAAGAGTACAACACTCGTCAAAGACGACGAAGGGCAAGAATTGCTCGATGGGGGATTTACCAGGCCGTGATAGGTAATGATCTTGCCGCCCGCTTTGCGGTAGTTTGAAAGATCTGGATCCGCGCTTCCGATGATAGAGTCGTACTGCTGCATAGCAGACTTGAAAAGGCGTGTGTATTCCTCCACCGAGTTGATCAGCGTATAGTTCCACTGGGGGTCCTTCTTGACGAAGAGCTGCAACCATCCTTCACCAAGTCCAGTTGGAGCTCCGGTGCATGTGCCATTCGTATTGCACGTTGTCGCCGCGTAACCTAAGTCAGAGGTAGTACCCGTTGGATTAGGGCTGCCAGTGAGCCGAGATTGATAGTCAACACCGTACCAAAGGAACTCGCCGTTCGGACCACGCGGGCCTTCCCATGTAGCGTTTGCAATTACTGCAGCTGCTTCGGTGATGGTGACCGATTTGCCCGTCGAAGTGCAATTGCGCACGCTACCGATCATCGTGAACGGATTGAAAGAACACTTGTCCACGTCGCTGATCAGTCCGTCAGTCACACCATCGAGGGCGTCGCAGGAAGCGACAGCGGCTTCGGTGAGGGAGTCCAATTCGCATTTTGTTGGAAACTGCCTCATTATTGACATCATCACCTGTGCCCATGCCGCTGCGGGGATGAACTGGTTCCAATTGAATGCTGGAGCTGCTGCAGCAATACCGTCGTAAGCCTCAGGGTAGCGCTGTGCGAGCATGAAGCCTTGGCGGCCTCCTTGAGAGCATCCGCTCCAATACGAATATTTAGCAGGTTGTCCGTAGAAGGAGTTGATGACGTCTTTTGCAATGAGCGACTGGTCGTTGAGCGATACGGCAGCCAAGTTTTGGAGCGCATACATGTCAACATTACCTGGGCTGTTCAACGCCCACGGATCCGGAACATAGCTCAATCCCAGGCCAGCGTCCGTCGTTGATGCCACATATCCCTCTCCAAGCGCGCCGCTCATCGCCATATACGATAGTGGAAATCGTCCAGCAACGTAACCTCCCCCTCCCACGGATTGAAGTCGCCCATTCCATCCTTTCATTGGAAGCCATGTCTCGACGTTGATGGTGTCGTTCTGACCTTCGTGCGTGTATGTAATGGTAATGTTGCAGTAGTCAATGCCGCGTACCGAAATGGATGGATGGTTGTAGTAGAACTGGTCGGAGACTTCGGTCGTATAGTTTGTGACAGGCGTAGCGGTAAGGTCGAGGATAGTGGCACCGAAAACCGTTGGGTAGGGTATGGAACTGGCATCGCAGGCCGAAGATGGGGAGGTGATGTTGTGCATCGTATGGCAGAAGAACGAGTGACAGAGGCCAGGACGAAGGGAGTATTGAAGGTGAGAGTGGCCAAACATTAAGCTTTATTCTCCGGTCAAGTAGCATAAAGAGATGAGGATTAGTTGATCTTGCTACTACAGCCTCAGCACGATCCACGACTTGACCTCTGAGTGTGCTTGCAGGTCCATGCTCAGAAAAGATGATCGCGAATCAGGACATACGGCGTATCGCGCTGATTGGCTACGTATTGCCCTGAGCCTGCGCTAGCATCTCGTTCGGCCACTCGAGCCAATGCTTCCAGAAGGAACCCAGAAATCTGGAAATCTCCTCGATCAGAATTCTACCGACGTTGCCGACAAGCCACATTCGTCGCCGGCGGTGCAGAACGACTGCGTAATGGGCGAGGATGATTAGCGCTTCCGGCTTCCGCATGGACAGGAGGTTTGTGAAGTCGCTAGACAAATTGATAGGCCAAATCCAGATCAAGCCGGAAGAAGGCGATTGATCAGGGACTGTTTCAGTTTGGTACACGAGCTGCAGCTGAGATACAGCCGCGCGGCAGGTTGATTGGGATTCCTCACTCATGTCCGCTTGGCCCAGCAAGTTGGACAGGCGATCGGCTACAACCTCAGCAATTTCATTGTGGGACGATGATGCTAGGTTGATGGAATCCTCGGCGCGTTCGAAATAGGAAGATATGCTGGTCTGTTTCAGGAATTGCCAGGACTGCGATGTAACAGCGCGCACCCCACGATGCAGGTTCATGTACGTGATGAACCTGTCTAGTATTTCGCCTGCGCTAGCGTCCGCGATTACGGCGACTTCACCAAGCTCATGCAAGCCAATGAAGCTAGAGAATATCAACAACGGGGCACAATTCTCTGCCGTGACCTCGAAATGTGCATCGTTGAATGAGCTCAACGCCAGTGTCTGGAAGGTCCTTGCTTCCTCGCGATAAAGACCTGATTCGGCCCCATGTAGATAGCTCATATGCATAGCAGATAGTGCTAGCAGCTGATACACAACGTATGGCTTAGATAATATGATCGGCATCAAGGTTCGTGCCTGTTCTCGATCAATGGCGCCTGCTTCTTCGAGACTTGGCAAGGTCTCGAAGATGAAATGATTGAACAACTGCATATGGCGCAGATTGAGCGACAGATCTTGTGCTTGAAATGATAACGGTAGTGGAGACAGGTAATCCTGGTTGACAGACGGCGTTACTGCTGCTGACGCACTACTGTGACGATCCCCTAGAATTGGCACACTTTGCGACATGGGACTTCCAATGTAAGGTTCTGTTGGGGCAGTATCGGAGATTGTACATGATGATTGAGCGGACCCTGCACGGCGAGTGGGTGGCTTTTGATACGCGCAGGTCCGATCATCCCGCGAACAATTCTCGCATGTCGGTTGTGCCTCATCACACTGCGGAAGTCAGTATGCTTTTCACTTCAGATTAAGTCGAGACAGATACAGGTACCAGCGTCTAACAGCCAGGTCGCTTACCTTGATGTGGCGTCGCTTACATTCTTGACAGCCAAGTCGCGACTTCCTGTGTGGTCTCCGTGAGGGGTTCCGTGGACGCATGGCCAAACTCGACTCAGGCGACTGTGATTGGCGTAACAAGAAACTAGTAAACAAAGATACGCAGAGCCAGAGATACGGATAGTAGCGAAGGGGTGTTGGATCAAGAAGAATGCAGCGGTAGATACGGATACGCTGACTAAGGATGCACTAGATTAGTGTCTCCCAAATCGGAGCTTGGAATCTGGAAGTGGGCCACGCTGTATGTTCCACATGTCCGCCTCCATTCGCCGAATACCCCTGCAACACCGCATGAAGCACTAGTGCGTCACTGTTTATACGTCGTATTCGACAATACGACGTATCGCCCTTGCCGCAGCTGTTTCACGATAGCTTCTACTCCCATCCTTCTCTCCCTCTCCTCCCTTTGGCGCGCGAAGTTCATGTTCTTACCGCAACAATTCGGCTACGACTACTCGGGGTAGAATACGACGTATTCCCAAGTATAGCGGATCACATTCTGCTTTCTCACCCACATCTGGCGCTGCGTTCACCGCAGCACGTTCTGAAACTACAGCGAACTCGAGAGGTACAAAGATCTTGAGTCCTCACAATGTTTCGATCAAGATACCATCTACCATCGACTTCCATCGCCTCACCATCTCCAGCCGCTTCGAGCTTGTCCCGCAGAAGAATCTCGTACGAATTATACCCACCGGCGCCTTCACCCAATCAGCCAGGATGGTCGATGGAGTAGAGCCCACCAAGGGAGGCTACTACCTTTGGAACTACCTCCCCTCGATGGCCGCCGCTGTTATATTTATCCTACTTTTCATGGTTACCACCGGTTTGATCTGGTGGCGAATGTTCCGTACCAAGACCTGGTTTTGCACCCCGTTTGTGGTTGGGGGCTTCCGTAAGCTTCGTCCCTCTGGTTCTCGTGATGGAGCTGACACTTTTATTGTAGTGGAGTTCGCCGGTTACTGCGCAAGAGCGTCCGCTCACAGCAAGACTGGTAGAATCATGCCATTCGCTGTACAAAACGTCTTCATTCTCCTTGGCCCCGCTTTCTTCGCTGCATCAATCTACATGTGTCTGAGTCGCATCATTCGCAGTATACAAGCCGACCACCTTTCCGTGATCAAGCCTCGGAAGTTGACGAAGATATTCGTGACGGGTGACGTCCTCTCCATCCTGGTTCAGGGAGGCGCTTCTGGCCTGATGGTTACCGGCACGCATGCAAAGCTCGGAGAAGGCATCGTGATCGCTGGTCTACTTATTCAAGTGATCATGTTTGCACTATTCGCGGTCACAGGGGTCATCTTTCGGAACCGCATACGCCAACGTCCTACTCCTGAGTCGTACACCGTCGATGTTCCTTGGAGGGAGAGTTTACGCATGCTGTTCATTGTCTCCGCTCTCATCATGGTCAGATCTGTCTTTCGCGTCGTAGAGTACGCCATGGGTAATGACGGGTATCTTCTGAGGCATGAATGGACCATGTACATCTTCGATTCAGTTCCAATGTTCGCGGTTACCGTCTTGTACTACTTGTGGTACCCAACAATACTGGTTGATATGAAGACCGAGCTGCAGAACATTTCTGCATAGTAGATTATATCTGGTTGCGACATTCCAAGACTACGGAGTGTTCGGCAGGCCTTCTTTCATCATAAGTTTCGCTGTCATAAGGTCCTTCGATATCTCATGATCCCAAATCCAATCCATCCTCGATAGCGCATTGTTTCGCAAAGCATCTAAATCATCACCTACACCTTCTCCCTCAAACTCCCACAGCTTACCAGCCTCCTTGCTTGTCGCCACTAGTCTCTGACTGCGCGGTCTTCGGACTGCATCGTACGCATGGAACACATTTGTAAGTTGTTCTTTCTGACGACATGCCGACAACAGCTCGCTAAGAACGTGGACATCCTCGATACACATGCCAGCTCCAGACCCCTGTTGAGGCGTTGAGGCATGTGCAGCGTCACCTACAAGGCAGATCAAAGGCTTGGTGGTGTAGTAGGTTGCCGCAGGAAGATGGTAGAACAGCGCCCAGATATCTGGCTTTTGCATATTCTCTATGATCTTTTGAGCGGCAGGTATGAAGTGTTTGAAGTCTTCCATCATCTCGTCGCGAGACGTCTGCACCACCCAGTTCTTATCCTCCCAAGTGGGTCGCGACCCAAATGCGACAACTGTAAGCGCGTCAGCCAGCTCAATAGTAACTTCCGAGTCGACGTACCATTAAACAGCGTTCCATTTGCTATGGGAAACGTGAGTATGTGGGCATGGTAGCCAAGCCACATTTGCGGCATTTTCGGTATCTCTTCGCCCAAGATCTCAATTGCCTTCGTCATGGGAAAGATTCCACGATAAGCGTATTTTCCTGAGAAGACTGCTTGCGCTTCCGGCACATCGTCTAGCACAATTTGCCGTACGCGCGACTTGATACCGTCGCAACCCAGTACTGCACTATGCTGTGCAGTAGACCCGTCGGCGAAATGGAGAATCGCATCTCCAGATCCATCAGTTGCTTCTGTGATATCACGCAACCTTTTCTTGAACTGCGCAACACCTTCTGGAACCAGTTTGACAAGCTCATCAAGAAATTGCGCACGATGGACTCCGCCATTCGGTCCCTCTCTTGCTGGAATAGTGAATGATTCTTCCCCTAGCTCAACGCCCTTCTTCCTCTTGTCTCCCACCCTCGCTGTGAACCATACCGGTGGATCTGGGTTGACGTTTCCTTTGTTGCACTTGATGAAGGCGGCCTCGATTCGTGGGTCGATCATACCCATGGTGCGGACCATGACGGGCGAGAACCCAACACCAGCGCCGATCTCGCCAAAAGCCGCAGCAGACTCATACAGTGTGACCTTTATGTGCGGGCATTTTGTGAGCAGCGCAACGGTCAGCGTCAGGCCCGCGATACCTCCGCCCACTATCGCGATGCTTAGAGAGCTTCGCTCAGCCATGATGGTAAAATTGATGAGGGTTCGCGTTTCGAGATGTAGTAATAGCTTAGTGTACGAGGTTTGGAAGCAGTGGTAACCGAAAGACTTGTGATGCGACTTGCTGCTCGTCAAGTACCCTGCAGCTGTTCTTGCGGCCTTTCGGCTGTTTTAGCATGCACTGACAGATGCAAGGCGCCCCACGCTTGGTGGGGCGAACGCTTACCTCACAGACACGCGGCTCCGATACCAAAGCCTGGCGCTTGTCGAACACGTCCGGCTGCATGGCAGAGCCTGTACTAAAGCCCCGCCGTTGGGTTGTAACCGTGTGAAGAATGATGCGCTCAGCGATTTCACACCCAGAACTGATATCCTGGCTGCGCAGCACTATACGTATCGAAAACTACCACAGCGCCCGGAGGTTTCTAGAACAAGTGCGGGGAATGTGTAAAGGTTTATGGTCAAGTTTGAGCGTATTGGAAGAAACCAGAAGAGTGGTTCAAACCTCACAACTATGCTAACGAGTACAGCAGTTCAGAAAAGCAATCGCATGGAAGTGTCACGTCGAACTTTCAATACAGGTAGCTTTCGGACATGAAAGTCTGGGCTCGGTGTTAATTTCTCCTAACCTCTACATCGTGAGTCACAGTAATACCCCGCAATACAAGATGTTCGCTTTTAGTGCTGTTGCTGCGTCGCGGTTGCGATGTGATATGCACTCCCGGCTTGGAGTCTTCGATGATGCGCTCTTGACTCTCACTCGGACTAATGTCGCCGAGAGTCTCAACCTTGCCCCTTGCACCGCTACGCATTGCTCCCATGGCGAACGCATCCTGATGTGCGTTCCCGGTGCGGGGTCGCGATATCCCCAGCCCGATGCCATTGGATCCGCTGTAGTGCTGGTATGCTTCACTCGTTCCTTTGTTGCTTCGCCATCTCTTTGGCCACAACCCGCCGATGCTCTTACGTAGGCTTAACAAGCAAGCGGTTATCACTCCAGTCGCGGCCTCGATGAAACTCCAAAGATTCGTGGGTGCAGATTGCCATGTCGGTTCGCGGGTACGAAGTGAGAGGGGCAGCGTGGACATGCGGAGAGCGGTTGTTAGGCAGATGAAGAAGCCCATCGAAAAAAGGACCATAAGACCGATTCGCGAGCCTTTGGACATGTTCAACCCGAAGATGACGGGCATTGGAAGTATGAAAATCGCGAGGTCGGTAAGGAGATTCAAGATAGCATTCGACCAACTTGAGGGAATGTTAGTGATAGTTTCGCATACACTGAAGGGCAACATACCGGTGCCAGAAGAAGTTGATGCATGTTCCCGGTATCGTTCGATTATAGACGCGAGGTACCGGCGTGCATTGGAAGATGCAGACTACGACATATGAGACAGTCCAGCCAACTGATATGACCCCTAGTACAATGCATGCCTGTCGAAAGCGCTTCAGAGCAAATACACGATAGTACAAAGCCAGGAAAGCCATCTTGTTAAAGCCGTTGGTGAGCGTGTAGAAGGACTGTGTGAGCCAGAACGACTAGTACGATGGCGTTAGCATGTCAAGCTGATGTTGAGATCGATCAATCCCCTAACCTTGAGTGCTTCCGTAGCATTCCCGCCATCCCTTGCGATATCGACTAAGCGCGTGCCGAATCCATAGGTTGTCGACCGGTAAATAAACGCCGCCAGTAGAACGAGCCAAATCTACAATGGTAAGATATAAGCACTTGCAGTTTCTCGGCAGTGTCGTACTTACATTCGCCATGATCACGAAAACATCTTCCAAACCAAGCCAACCTCTACTTATGATTGTGTTTGTGATGCGCCAGATCAACAGCACTGTTGAGATGACCGTCAGCGTCACAGTCACCCACTGCAAGTCTTTTTGTTGCCCTTCGTAGGCAGAAAAGATCATGGCACCTGCGTCGGCGAAACCAGCGACCTGGTCAAGGGAGATTCGACCGCGAAGCTACGAATTTACGAGCATACTTATACTGGATTCCACTCGGTCTTTCATTGAGGCTGAACGCGACAAGCCTCAGAAGCCGATTCCGTGCGGATCAGTCATCCGCTCGCTCTCGTTCTTGTATTGCATTTGTCTCATGGTAAATCTTATGAATCCTTCTCGGTGGCATTTGCGGGTGTTACCAAGCCCGGTTACGAAGCAGCTGAACACCAGCAGCCCGACGAGTGTGTATACCTGCCACAAGTCAGGTGATCCTCTCATGAAGCGATAGCTGCAACGGAGATTGTGCCTAAGATCACCCGAGAAGCCGTAGCCGCGGTTTGCGATGAACGGCGTATGCGTCGCGCTTGCGCATGTATATGGGTGAACATCGGCGTATCCCATTCGTCGACTCGAAAGAGTATGGTAATTCGCCAGAGCGATAGGGCGGTTTGGTAACGGCTTGGCCACTCTTAGCTCCAGTCCACCTGTTGCCGTGCTGGAAAGATATCGTATCGTGGCTAAATGCAAAACGATCTGCGTAGATCGATCATGGCGATGCGACGATGCTGTTGTGGTCGTCCAATCTGCCGATCAGTTGCGCCATGCTTACCTACCAGCACCTGGTGAACTCCCGGTCCCCTACATCCTCAAACTTCAATACACTGATGCATCATGCGCAGCGCTCCCTCGGTGCTGCTATCGCAACAATGTCTCTGCGCCGGGCGTGTTGCCATTCTAAATAAGACCGAAGCGAGGTCTGGAGCGTTGTGGGACGTCTGATTTTGCGGGCCGCTGCGGCGGGGAAGATGGCGCCCCTGCCCAGGGAGGATCGAGCTTTCATTCCGAACACGCTAGCTCATTCACCTACATAGCACTAGCATCAAGACAAGCCTCGTGCCGAAGTTCTTCATATAACGATAGGTCCACGATCCATGGTTCGTATAATCTCTTCGCCAAGGACAAATGGACGCAGAATCATGTCGGCAGGGTCCAATTCCATCCAATCTCGCACCCACTGCAACCCGCCCCATGTCGGCAACTTCTTTTGTGCGATGTGTCGGTTCGCTAGACAGCCAATTGGCATTCAATCGCGAGGTGATTATGCTGAAGGATCATAAAAGGTCCGACGATCCTTCTCAACGATATGCCGTATTATCAGGCGATGCCAGAAAGCTTCGAGACACAGCAGGATTGCTGCTGAGGTTATTTCTCCCGACTTGGATTTTCTCCGGCAGTCAGAGCGTTCGAAGGACGGTATCGGATGCCGCGAGGAAGTATATGTTACCGGGCGTAAGTGTGTGACCCATCGTGTATCCTGCATCGTCCCTTGTCCTTGCTCACTCTGCATAGCAGCCAGCCTGGTGCTGATACTTGACGTTGTACTGCCGCGCAGCAACACTAATCTCCTTCCTCCTTCTTCGCTTCTCCATCTTCAGCATGGCAGACTCCAACTCCGTCGAAAAAGGCGCGTACGTCCAAGATGTGCCGGTATCTCCAACGGGCTCAACCACGGAGCATGGTTTTGATCGCGCTGCCGAACGGCGACTTATCAGAAAGTTGGATATGCGGATCTTGCCAGTGCTCTGGATCTTATATCTCGTCAACTTCATCGACCGGTAAGTCTGATGCAGACTCCCCAATGTCTCACGATCCATGCTCACCCAGGTTATAAGAGCCAACATTGGCAACGCAAAGATTCAAGGCATGGAGAAAGAGCTGAACCTAATCGGCCAACGTTTCAACATCGCCGTGTGGGTCTTCAACCTGGGGTATCTAGTCGCTGGCGTGCCGTTGCAGATCGCCTTCAAGAAGTACGGACCGAAGAGTCTCTGTGTGATGATGTTCTGCTGGGGCATCACGGTCATCGGGTGCGGACTGGTCAAACGATGGGAGGAGCTTGTAGTCTGTCGCTTGCTAGAGGGTATCGCCGAATCTGCATACATCAGTGGAGCGGCATACTTGATCGGCGCATACTACTCAAAGCGTGAATATCTGACTCGCTACGTCTTTTTCTGCACGGCTGGCATCGTTGCAGGTGCGATCAACGGGTTCCTCTCATCGCTCATTGCGAAAATGGATGGAACAGCTGGGTACGGAGCTTGGAGATGGATCTTCATCATCGAAGTAAGTTGCAACTGTACAGGTTACATAGAACATATTCACTGACTTATCTCCCTCATCTGTACAGGGCTGCGTCACGATCTTCGTTAGCATGGCATGCTGGCCTGTCGTTCCTCCTTTCCCAGAGAACTGCACCTTCCTGTCCCCGGAAGATAAAGCGCTCATGCTCGCACGTATCCAAGCCGACAGCGGCCACGTATCTGACGATGAGATTTCGTTCAAGAAGGCCTTGCATTTTCTCAAAGATTGGAAGATTTGGGCGGGCGTCGCAATGAATCTCGGCGTCACCGAGAACGCAAACTCGCTTGCCAACTTCCAACCCACAATCCTCAAAGGACTAGGCTACACAGCCACCCAAGCACAAGGTGAGCTTCCACTGCAGAAAATCTATACGATAGATACACTGACCCGTAGCTTCCATCTTTACAGTCCATACAATCCCTGTTTATCTTGTCGGCGCTGCCTTCTCCGTCATCTTCGCCTACATGTCTGAGTGGTTGAACCGCCGCTACCTTTTCTACGTTCTAGGCTGGGCCGTCCTCGCGTCTGGTTTGATTGTAGAAATTGTGTATCCAACGAACCCAAAAGTGCGATACATGGGCATGTTCTTCATTGCTTCCGGCTGCTATCTCGCGATGCCGATATCAATCATCTGGGTGTCAATGAACTGCGGATCTGGGTATAAACGTGCTGTGGCTATTGCTGCCATTATCAACTTTGGAACTGCTGGAGCGTTTGTGAGCTCGAACGTCTTCTTATTTAAGGAGGCGCCTCGATTCCGTACCGGATTCAGCACAGGTCTTGGGTTGGCGTGTATGGGTGTCGTGGCTGCGACGATTACTTGGTTTGGGTGCAAGAAAGAGAACAAGAGACGCGACGAAGCAAGGTTGCAGATGCCAGAAGTGCTTGACCAAAGCATGAAGGAACTGGGTGATGAGCATCCAGACTATCGTTTTGCGTTGTAATTGGGAATGCGCTACACAGCTGCAAGGAACAGGATATCCCGCAACCAGGCTTATTTGAACGTACCACCCGTACACGTCGCGATCTCGATTCCTTAGATGGGGACATCCAATGTCAGAAATCAGTTTTTTCACTATCACAAAGAAGTAGGGGTACCTCAGTAGGTTACAAAGTAGTCCAAATGACAAACATAATTCATTGTAGCTAGCCAAACAGACAGCGGTGAATTGAGACAGGAGATGGGATGTAGATCAACGATATCCTTTCGCGCATGCGATCAGACTCGCTTTGATCTACATCGCCTTACTCCGCCAACGCTCACCACTCTCATCGCCCTGGTTTCTTCCTTTTAATTGAAGATATCTATCTTCTGCGACCCAGCTGGTGGTTCCCGATCTAGCCCAGCGTCCTTCAGAGAATTCTCAAGCGAAGTCCAACCATCTTGATCGAACACATTCTTGAGCGCTTTAAGTGCGCCCTCGGTCGGCGGCACACTATCATCCAACTCTAAGCCTGGAACATCGTCGAGGAACTTTCTCTGAGGCCAAAGCTTGCGGAATATACCGAGTACAATGTTCCAATGAAAGGGCTCGCCATATCCCCACAGCCGTCTGCCAGCCGTCTGCGGGTCGACGAGAGCAGCGACATGCAGCCTCGCATCGTCGCGAACGTCGATATGATACATGGGTACCACGCCCTTGACAATGGCTTCATCACCGTCAAAGACGGCTTTAGGAAAGCCTCCTGTAGAAGCATGTCCTTGCTTCTCGTAAACTAGCGAGGGTCCAAAGTTGGCATTTGGGAGAATAGTGTTGAAAGTGAAGTGCGGCTTTTCGTCTTGCATGTACTTCCATGCTGCTTTCTCTGACATTGCTTTGGCAGCACCGTACACGATGAAACCCTTCGAAGGGTGCTGAAAGTTGGGATCGTAGGCGTACTTGATGAAGTCTTCATTGTATTGCCACTCCTTGAAATGACCTTTTTCGCCCCAGGCTGAGGAAGCCAAAGCAGTGGAAGTGAAGACAACGGCTTTGACTGATGCTTCTGCTTGAGCGGCCTTCAGGATGTTGATGGTTTCATTGACCATGTCGGGAATATAGGGTTCGGCTTCGGTAGAACGGTTGGTATTGACTGCGACATGGGCAATACCTTGAACGCCCTTGATACCCTCTTTGAACGCCTTCAAGTCAGATGAATCTGGGAGGAGGACTTGGGTGTATCGCCCTGGCCCGAATTTGGAGTTAAAATGCTCCTGTAGCCAAGCTGCTTTCTCGAGAGAGCGAACTGCGCCGCGGACGTTGTACCCAAGTTCGAGAGCATACTGCGTGATCCAGGCGCCGATGTATCCTGTCACACCAGTGATGTAGATGGTGCTACCCTGAGGCAGACGGGCGGTCGTTGGATTGAACATGACTGTCGATATGGTCTGGAGCGATTGCTGAATCGCAAGGTGAGGAGCTTGATAATTGAGTGAGAATTGAAGTAGCGATGTCGTTGCTGCTGAATGATTGCTCTCACCAATCGACGATCATGTCGACTTATAACTCTACAGTCGGATGCCATATTGACCCGATCGTGGTGTTTGCCCGCTTCGGAGCATAATGCAATGGCATATGGTGGTGTTAGTACGAACCTAGTCAAGATTACTGATGTGCGAAGCTTGTTGCGACTCGGCACAGAGTAACTGGTTAGCAACGATAGAAGGGCCGCGAGTCGATCAAGGCAAAGTATGATCCCTGTCACGGCGCACTTTTCGTCCGAGCCTCAAACAGCATACCATCAATTTGTGTTCACGTCGCCATGGTTTCTCTCTATGAGGTGATGTACGAACCAGTGTGACTAGACGGTTTGGACGAAGAGACCTCACTCGGTGTCATTGCGCGTGTCGTAGGGCGCACGAAACGACATTCGTCCCACACAGACGACCACGACATCGCTGATATGTCAGCGTATGGCAAGCTGCTACTCAGGAGGTGCAGAACGGGGAGATATGGCAGTGGAGTGTTGGCTGCGAACAGGTGCTGAATGTGGTTGTGAATCCCGATGTGCCTGCCAAGGGAAGCGGCGCTACATTGATCCGATGCGTCATCGGCTGGGCAGGCATCGCGTCGCCCTCAGCACCAGCACCAACACCATCGTCACATATGCTCAGACACAACTACCAAGTTGGGAGATAATAATCGGCTTTGAATCACGACAACCTGTTTGTTTACGACGACATCGATGAAAGGACTCAACGTCTGTCGGTTCCCTTTGCGTGAACCCGATGCTACGATCGGTCTCTTCGCCGTACGACTTCTCGATTACCTCGGCATGGGAAGCGTAAGGGATTTCATGAGAGACTTTCTAGAAGCATCCAGTAATAGTGGTACCGCCCTTGCGACACGCACTAAGATGGCTTCTACGTTCCCGCACGCGTCACTATTTTCACATTGTGCCAGTATTCGCAGAACCGTAACCTGAGTATGCGCCTCTGCTCTGTGACTCCTTGCTGACTATGCCATTGCGCCTCAAGCTTGATTACTTTCTAACCGCGACTGCGAGAGCTCTAGTACAGCGCAGTAGTCATATTCGATCGGAAACCTACACCTCAACGCTCGCAGGTTTCCACATACCTGGTGCTCTTCAGATGTTCATCGCCCACGTCATACAGACACTGTATCTCATATGTATGTGTCGTCTCACTCAAGGCATTCGCTCTGTTCGGCCGGATACGAAGTATCATACGACACGAGCAAGTCGCCGCACTCGATCCTCAGTAAAGATAAACAGCATTGCGACATGAGCCGAGGCGGTCAAGGAGGAAAAGGGATACACGTGAAAGCAAGCTGTTGGAAGATACCGCAGGATTGACTGTTGAGTGCCAAGACGCGTCTTGCGTATCGATATGGATGCTGCGCCGTTACGGTGAATCGCATAATTGGATGGCAGAGGCTGACTGCAAGGCTGACTGCATAAGCCAGTACGCCCCGCTCACTTCAGGCGCCAAGCTGCGAGATACAACGCGGACACAGCTATATTTCAACGCCGGTCATCCTTTCTTCCCTTACATCGTCCTTCTCGTATCATAACATGGCTGCTTCGACAATGGCCGACGTCATCATCGTAGGCGGAGGCATTGCCGGGACAGTCATTGCATCGCGGCTGCAGGAGAGAAAGCCATCTCTCTCGATCGTAGTGATTGAAGCAGGAGCTGACCCCGCCGGCAATCCGTATGTGACTGATCCCGCCGCGGCCGCGAACCTCCACTTCTCCGAATTCGACTACAACTACCTCACAACACCGCAAGAACATCTTGACGGAAATCCGAAGCGTAACGTTGGTTTCAAAGGGCTTGGAGGCGGAAGTGTTATCAATACTGGTAAACATGGTAGCTGCAAGCCGCAAGCTGTTGGCTAATTGTATCAGGTGGCTGGATACGAGGCGATGCGCAGGACTACGATGAGTGGGCTCGAGATGTGGGTGATTCGCGGTGGAGCTATGAAGGCCTTCTGCCATACTTCAAGCGTACTGAGAAGCATTTCGACCCTGACGCAGATCCATCGCAGCATGGTCACGATGGCTTGATGCATACTGCGTCTGTCAGTTCATCTGGCCGTCAGTTTCCGCTACGCCAAAATGTCTTAAAGCTTTGGTCCAACCTCGGCATACCTCATATTCACGATTTGAATGATGGCCGTCCGCAGGGTATCAGTGATCTGGTGGAGAATTTTGAGAACGGCAAAAGGCAGATGACGCAGTCCGTGTTTCCATTAAAGGGCGTGAAGGTGCTCACGAGCACTCTCGTTCGCCGCGTGCTGTTCGACGATGCGAAGATAGCTGTCGGCGTCGAGCTCGCAAACGGTCAAAGAATCGATGTCAACAACGGTGGTCAAGTCATCATCACTGCGGGCGCCTATCGAACGCCACAAGTCTTGATGCTTTCTGGTATTGGAGACCACTTTCAACTCTCGGAGCACGAAATCCCGACTATAGTTGACCTACCTAGCGTAGGTCAAAACCTGCATGATCATCTCATGCTATATCGATACTGGAAGCTGCGACACCCGGAGCAAGGTCTAGCCGTCGGCTCGCCTCTCTTCGGTGGCCCGAACTACGATAAAGGAGGACCAGTGGACTTCTTGGTTCGCGCGCCAATACCCACAAATCCACTGAAGTCAGCTATCGAAAAGGACGAAGGTCCAGTTTCTGATGAGCACCCACTGCTCAAGGGCCCACGCACTCACCTCGAGATGTTGCTCTTGTACATCGCCGTCGGAGCAGAAGCGCAAGGCCTTCAGATTCCAATCGACGGCTCTTCAATCATGACCTTCTTCATGGGCTGTCTTCCCACGTCGCGTGGTTCGGTGACGCTCGCATCGTCTGATCCCGCTACGAATCCTATCATCAACCCGAATTACTACGCAACGGAAGCAGATCGTCACGTCATGCGTGAAGGCTTCCGTATGCAAACGGATCTGATGTTTAACTCTGCTGAGGGTAAAGAGCTCGTCGAAAGCGAATACATTCCACCAGGCCTTCCAGCATCAGTGCAGGTAGAGGCAGATGCAACTATCGATGCAAGGATCAAGTTGGGCGCGGGTACCACGTACCATCCTGCAGGAACAGCGGCCATGGGGAGGGTTGTTGATGGGTCGCTAAGGGTGCATGGGGTCAAGAACTTGAGGGTTGCAGATGCGAGTATCATTCCAAAGCCTCTTGCGGCACATTACCAAGTTCCTGTCTACGCGATCGCCGAGCAGGCTGTGGATATTATCTTGGCTGAGTGCTTCAAGTAGGCAAATAGGTTGGACCACATGCTCGGCTAATGTTTCAACTCTGTTCCTCGTCTCAGGGTGCTATATGCTACAGCCTATTGCACATTTTCTCTTACGCCCTACAGCTCCACATGCTCAACTTTCCAACCACCTGGCATCAAATCCGTAAAAACCCTCTCGGGATCATACTTCGCCCTCACAGTCTTCAATCTTTCCACGCTTTCACCACCATAACCCTCGAACACCTTCTGGCCCTTATCCGCATCATTCAAATACACGTACCTGTTTAACCCGTTGACCTCTTTCAGCTTCCTCTCCATTTCTACATTCACATTCTTGACCCACTCAGCAACCTCGTTATCGAATTCCCCACCACTTCCCCAACTGATCGCCTCCTCGACCCAAAACGTCGGTTCTAATGGGATGTTCTGCGGCAGCCCTGCTGATCTCTCAACCATCTCGCGGTTCACAATATTGAAGTCGAGACCCGCGAAGAATTCGGGAACTTTGTTTGCGAGATTAGAAGCAGCTAGCGAGTCGAAGAAAGTGTCGTGTGCAATTGCAAGGTTTTCGGCCGTCGCTTTCATGGAGACGACGCGGAATTTCTGGCGCAAGCCGTGAGATTGACCGCCTTCTCTGAAAGCTGAGCGCATGGCACGGCCATATTGTGCTAGCGAGATAGAGCGCATTGTCGCTGTGCCGTTGAGAGCCGTGAGACCTGTAGTGTTGCCGTGGATAAACTCGGCCAAGGGGCCAGAAGTTGGTATGGAAGTGCCATTATGGAAAAGTGTACTTTCATAAGAGGGTGCGGTGGAGCCGGGGCCCCAGCGGCACACGGGGATGATGGTCGAGGCCAGATCTTCTTCATTGGTCAGAGCCATGTTCAGGACGGCGGCGAGATAGGCGTCTCGAGTAACGTTGCTTGAGCCATAATGGGCGTCTGCGATGAGAGGGGTGATTGATGGAAAGGTTTGTAGGTCGAAACGCGTTATCAGCGCGAAGGAGTTTGCACCGCCACCGAGAGCCCAGTAAAGGTCGGAGTAAGTGCTGTTAGCAGTGATGATAGCAATTGTACCATCTGCGAGGACTGCCTCGTATGCCTTGATCTTTCCCTCAGACGAAGCCAAGCCATGCTTGACACTATACCAACTGATACCACCACCAAGGAGCAAGCCGGGCACTCCGACAGGTGCCAGGCGACCACCTATGACAGTCTTGTTGGTGAATTCCAAGTAGTTGAAGACGTCTCCCCATCGCGGTCCTGGCCCGATGCTCATCGTCTCTCCATCTTGAGACAGCTTCAAAGTGTTCAAATTGGTGCTTGAAATCAATACGCCAGTATTGTTAATGTTTGCAGCATCTGGAATGGGCATGTGGCCGCCGCCCCGCATGGCGAACTTCGTGTGGGTAGCGACAAACGTTTTGACAGCAAACGAGAGCGAGGTTGCACATGTTGGTGCGAATATACATGCTGGGCCGAGCCAAGCGGAGGAATCCCAAGATACTGGGCTTTTGTCAACGTACATTTATTTACTATCATATCATTTTGACTTACCCTGATTCTCGTCTGCATAACCTGCATCCTCTGGGAGGTAGGTGATATTCGGGTAAGTGTTTTTCAAGATCTCGCATGCAGTCGAAGCATCCGATACATTATAGCTAGCCACCGACTGGAAAGCTGTTCCGGAGGCAAAAAGCGCGCAAGGAATCAATGTCCTGAATGTAGTCATTGTAGATGTGTGTTTGAGATGTTGAGAGTCGAAGTAGTGGAGTGATGATTACCTGAACCTACTTCATCTTTATACAAGCAGAGGTCCTCGGATATTCGTCCATGTCGTATTCACGCATACGACTACCTGTCACCAGAACTAGTCTTATTTCGCGAGCTTGTCTATTTGTGGTACAAGCGAAGAATGCAGGGTCTTCCTCCTGCTGTAAATTACGTGTTGTAGTGCCTGCGCCTCAAATGCTGCATGGATAATGTGGCATTGTATGATGCAGCGGTAAGTCCAGGTCCAAAGAACTCATAAGATACCCATGCACCCGAGTACAGTATCATCATGTGCAGTTATTAATTGGGTGGTGCGGGTCATTTGGCGATGTCGCACTCGCATAAGCGTGTCGGTCTCGGTCTCGCATGCTCGCTGATCTTGGTGGGGCCGTTACATTTCACCCGTGCCGGCATGATCCGCAAGTTTCAAACGCCTACACCTGGCGCTATCAGTATTATAGGGGATGTTTGCTCGCCCATAACTTTCTTTAATGCGCTGCAGTAAGAACTCATCTTCATATCGCACAGATTGCAGTCAGCTTTTGCGATGCCTGTGAGCATTGCCTCAGATACGTAGCACAACAGGCTAACTTTGTTGATGGCTCTTCTCTCTTGGTATCTGCACTACAACCATCTGATGAGCTGACCGAATTGCTCAGGCACAGCCTTGATCGTTCCGCTATCATGCGTACTGTACGAGTATACATTGTGTATGAAATCGTCAGCTCTCCGTTCATGCTAGCTCATGCCAATGTGAACCAGTTCAACAACACTCCTTTCTTCTCGGGTCTCTCCTGTTCGAGCCTCAAATCGCGATTGCTCAATTTACTAGTTTTCTGTGTCGGAACATGTCATAGTCGGTCGGATCATCACCATCAACTAACTTGCTTGTTCTCTCCTACCCGTCGAGATCATGACCAGACAGTCTCGGATCTTCCATACTCACTTCTTGAGATTCAGTGTTCAAGAACCGTATAACGCGGCGATCCCCTTCGGCTTAGGCTGCCATGCCCAACGTTAGTTAGAAGTCATGATGCAAAAAGCGTTGACTGTAGTTCGTTGATACTGTGGTGTAATAGATAGTCACGTGATGTTAGGAAGCCAAATAGTATATCGAGAGCTAGAAGTAACCTTGCAACACTACATTAGACACTTACCTACCTAGAATAGCTATAAACCTTAATTCACTCTACCTAGCTATCCTCCGATCGCAGGTTAAGCCTGATCCTCCTGTACATGTGCACCTAGCTGACAGCTGTGCCACAATACAAGCAATCTCACCTAGGCTTAGCGCTGTACCCCTCACCGCACCAAGGCTATCGAGCCACGTTCCACCTTCTCTTAGGCATCCACTCTACAACCTACATCGTTTACACCGTGCCTTACGATCGTGATGTGGTCGTCAACTGCATCAAAAGACACTATGATTTACTCGTGCGCATAGCCTACCTGGACCCCGACGTGATTCTCCACCCACCGCCTGGAGGTTGGAGTGATGAGCAGCTCGCTGTCGATACATTGAAAGAGAGGAAACGCTCGGAGAGGGTCATTGATCTTTTGCGGCATATGCCTTATTTGAGTAAGAATAAGGATACGGTGGGCAAGTACGAGGTCTATATCGAAACGGACGCATGCACCTACCTCCGCAATCATGGCTGGTTTAAAGACGAGTATAGGGATCCTTATGGTCTCATGATGCCGTGGAACTCGGAGCAGGACTCGCCTGCTGGTTTCATTCCGTTGAGCATGGGTAACGCCGCAACCGTATGGATGGTTGATACGGACGAAGGTACGGCTGACGCACAACTTGCATCGCTGAATATTGACAGCTTCTCTAGGGATAATTTGGCCTATGGGACCGTTTATTGTGACTCAAGGTGCGCCGGAAGATCAGCCATGGCGGGCATGCGCAAAGCCTCGCGACATCCAGGAGTACTTCGATGAGCTCTACACCGAGATCGAGACCTTGGTCACTGTTCCGGTACCAAAGACAAAAAGTGATTGGAGGTGGTATCACGAGATACTATCATGTCGGGAGAAGGATGGAGCAGTGAGTACGATTTTCTCCGGCAAAGCATGCTGAATACTAATCAGACAATGACTAGCAAGTTCAGCGCTTGCTTAAAGAGCATGGCTGGCCGGAAGCTCTCAGAAAGGAGGAATATCTTAAGGCTCTCGAGGAAGAGCGCTATGACGCTAAACGCAACGAAGAGAAGAAGAGAGAAGAGAAAGAGAGAAGACGCAAGACAAGGCGCGAAATCGCTGTTGGCAAGACCTATGATCTGCGTTCCAAGAGTGGGAAGGGCGGTAGTACAGCGAGCTGACATATCTCATTACAGATCATAGTGTCTGAAAGCGAAACATCTATAGTGAGAGCCTGGTCGCTGAATTTGACGCCAGACTACCGTGAACCAGAGCAAACAAGATTTCTGGATTAGTGAGCTGATGGAAAGAAGATCAACAGCTTTTTCAGTCTCGATAAACGGCGCGACGGGTTTGTGGATAGCGAAAAGTGGGAATCGTGATCAGTGAATGTTGCATACGAAAGTGGTCATGCTTACCAGCCTCTCCGTGAGCGCCTACTCGGATATGTCCACATGTAGCAGGAACGACAAATAGATGAGTTGACAGTGGGCGGAAGATTCGCTTGCCACATGAGGAGCAATTCGCGTAGCAGGATGCGAGGTGATTGATCTGCTTGTGCCATAGCTTACCGCGATTGATCCGTATGATACGAGTCGCACGTTTCGACGTACTCATAATTCGTTGTCTTCGTGTCATACCGCCTGCATCAACCACGATTACGAATTGGGTCGCTGTACAGGCTGATAATTCATAAGCCGGAACACAATATTCGATAAGGCGCCTGAATATAAGCGTACGAGTGGCAATGGTACAGCATGAATGTTGGTGATACTCCTGAAAGTCCTCCCGAGGCGGCACGTCAAATTTTTGCGTCGCAGGTGGGAAGGGCAAATTTGCGAAGGAGGTTACGGTAGCCATGGGCGGCTCAGCGCAAGTGCGAAGCGGGGAAGCATGGCCCCTTCTGTGGGGCGGCATTCGGTACACTTCATTACTCTACCAACAAGGGTTTGTCATGATTCCAGGTGTATGTATGCAATGCCTGGTGGTGAACATATCTTGTCATTATGAACGTGCTAGCCCGGGTACCGTTGCGACTGGATTCGAGGTTGCGCGCGTTCGATGCCTAGGTCGCCACAATACACAGATGCACTACATATACATGCACCTTTTGAGATCATTCGATCGGCAGCTGATCAACAACCTTCAGGTGTCACATAATCCTAGTGCAGGTATCATGAGAGGAGATACCAGGGGAGAGTAAATATCGTCTTGTCTTTAGCATTCTACCGCGTCTATGTTGAAGTTGTCGACAGGCACTCTTTGAGATCAGTTTCCATCTTCGAGACCGCGCCAGGCCTGCAATACGAGGTATACAAGAGGATTCAACCTTTACCCTGCAGAACATGTTTAGCAGAAGAGACCATCAAGAGCCCAGGCTATGTATTCCAGTCCCAAGAAAGACGGGTTCCTTACCTACTTCACTCGACTCCATCAGTCTAGCATGGAACTCCCCAGCCGTAGTTGACGTCCCTCAGAATACCACAGCAGTCTGCGTCGCAGGTCGACAAAACCTCCTCACTGCAGGGCAACATCTGTGCGCAATAGACACCGCCGCGCCCGTGGCTCTCACAAGTCCTCTCACTCTTATAACAGCAGTCTGACGGGTCGCACTGTATCCATTCGTGTCAGTACTGAAACTACGCTATGATAGCGAATAAGAAGTCTCACCTCTGCCATGACAGTAGCAGCAATGCTAGCGAGGATGATGCAGAGGAGTCTCATTTTTGAGAAAGAATGGTCAACAGTGGAAAGCGTTGAATCGGCAGGTGATCTTCGATTTTGAAGAAGTAGGGATGTGTTCTACTCTATCATAGAAAGAGAGGAGAAAACGCCTTCTTATACCTACCTTTAGAATCGTGATAGTCTACACCGGTCATCGCGGTCGGCGTAGAGACCATTAGATGATCCGGAGAGAAGCCGCAACATAGCGGTGAATGAAACCCGATGACTTATGTAGATCTTTATAGCTGACTTCCGGGCCTATGAAAAATGTCTTACAGAGCTTAATTCCTATAAGGCGATCCGCAGTGCAACCGCAAAGTGACCTTGATGGGACCGCAATGCGACCGTATGTGAAGCCTTGGCTATGAAGAAACCAACGCATGACATATCCCGTTGCGACTTGTGCTCTCTGACCATGTAGTACGATTACGAAAAGGACTAGCCAAGGATCTCAAAGCCAAGCTGTTGATTTCTCATGGCTGTATTTAAGACAGCTTCTGCACCAATATCCTCTCACCATTAACTTTTCTGCTTGTCCTCTCAACGCTCTTATCAACCAAGTTACAAACATCTTTACTACTTTTCATCAGTCCACTCAATATGAAGGTCTTTTTCATCATCGCCAGCCTTTTTACTGCAATGGTTACAGCAGTGAGTGGAACCCATCTCACTCTTTCTTTCTGCCGACGGAAGTACTAACAGTTGTCCAGGACTGTGACCCCGCTAATTGCTGTTACAAAAACCATGCTACTTGTGCTCAGCACAATGAAGGGAGACAGTTTTTGACTCAGCACGAATACTGTGCGCAGCGATCACCCTGTGCCGATAGAGTCTTGGCCACCTGCGATGCAGACTGCTGTGACTATGATGGCGCCGGTATGCCATGCTAGAAGCGCAAGTTTCTGGTCAGTCTAGGTTTCTTTGCGGAAAATGAAGTGATCAAGGTTGTATTTACTAATGATTGAGATAGTGCACCGGGCATCTCATTGTGTTCCTGAACATTTCAATGATCGGATCAGTCAAGAAACAGAAAAAAGGGAACCTACAACATGTCTCGTACCTATTTCTGCTGTTGAGCATGTCACTCTTGTATTTGGGAAGCTTGGCCAAGTATCGGGGCTCCTTGAAGGGCATCCTACTCACAGTTAGGGGGGGATGAGCCTTTCCAAATAAGTAGACACAATGAATCAATGCTTCTTTGAATCTCTCTGTTGCTCGCTCGCCGTCTATCTGTAATTCATGCCAACATCTTCTATCCTTTCTCTTGCCCAAGATCTTGTATCGCAATCTCTCGTCCTTGCAATCCCTACCTAAGGAGGCAGGTTTGATGTCGCAAAGACAAATTTTGTGTACATATAAAGCGCTGCGTACAGCGTCTTTTCGGCAAGACGAAACAATGCATGACAAACATCCACAGTGCTTGTCAAGAGGTTTGGGAATATCGTGTCAACACATGCCAAACGCTTCCATTGCAGTATCTACAGAACTTCTTGAGTCGGACCGGACAAGGCGCCCTAGATATGTCACATGCTCAGCGTTGAGCGTGGATCAGCGCCCGCAATCGGCAAAGTTACTATCGTCGTCTGTGCTGCATGGCAATTGGAATCTAGCATGGAAGAAGTCGGAGTCGGAGTGAAAGTGACATGCATGACTCGTTGCCACCGCTCAAGGCTGCGCTTGGGACATTTTTCATCGGCAACAGCCTTAACTTCGGGGGTATGGAAGAAATAGTTTCCTCATGCGGAAATGGCACTAGTCGCACATCTTATCACTCTCGGGCGATGTGCTACGTGCCTGTGGTAACAAATGGCTACTGCTCGGGACAAAATCCGTTTTGGATCTCTTCTTTCGTCATCGGGCCGCTCGTTCGTGGCGACGATCTAAATGTTCTACCTCTTGGCCTACTGTCTGTGCGCACCCAACAAGGTGCAGCTGCATCAACCAAAGAACACAACTGAGAACGACCTGCGATTCCCCCTCGATACAAAGTCTTGTGATGCCTTACACAGTAATTTTGGAAGAGATCTCCCCAGGACTCGATACCATGGCTTTGTTTCGGGCAGACTTCCCATGTCGGACACGATCCAAATAGCGAGCGTACCTCTCCTGGCACCCTCAAGATAGGCTATCTTGGGTTCTCAGACTCCCTATCGACATAACAGCATTACCACCGCGAAAATTCATAACTCTGGCTCGCATTAGCCAGAGTGCCTCAGGCAGTTTGGAGGCGAGCACGCCGACGAGACGGAAATCTGCACAGCAAAGACACAGCACAAAATAAGTCATCAACACTGTACATGGCGCCGTGAAACCTTCCTGCTGAGGCTTTTATGCCCGTACAATCGAGTCACAAACACCCCGCATAAGGCCTCCAGATGTATAATAGGACTTTCGATTCTTCTCTATCAATCTGGAGTGACAGTGATGGGACGATCCCCAAACGAATACACGAACATTCCACTTCCTGGCTGCTCACCTCCCCTGCGCCATTTACCTCAGCACCCTCGAACGGAAGCAATTAACGAAAGCCAAGATCTAGCATTGACCATCATTAGGGTCAGACCTTTCGTCCACGAGTCAGCAATGCGCATCTACCAGCAGCCTTTATAGATGGAGTGAAGCACCCACACATACCTGTAGTAGAAGGATCCATGTGTATTCTCACCACCCCAACCACAGCCATTGATCTCCTCCTTGAGACCAAACTTGCAGTCCTGGTCGCTGAGAGATCCTGTTCCCGTGACCCAAACTAACATCACTTCTGTCAATAACACGAGTCCACGCCACTTGGGCATACATTACAAGCAATGGAGGACGGCTTTGCGTACATTCGGCTTTCATGGTCTCGCCTAGGTTACGGCAAGCGTACTTGCTGTTGCCGTCGAAGTTGCCGGCTACCCCGCCAGAATCACCGTTGCAGACAGCGTCGGCAGCGTTGTTGGCAGCCTGGCGCAGATCGCCCCAGCCCGGACCGGTTTCGCTGTAGCATCCTGCTGCGCTGGCTGTGGTCACAGCAGAAGCTAGGATGGCGGTGAAAGTGAACAAGTACATGGTGGAATTGATATGGAGATGATGGTAATGAGAATCTGTTTAGTTTTCTAGCAGTGTTAGAGCTGGATGATGTTCGGACGGCGAACGACAACAGATGAGTATTAGGGACGCTTTTATAGACTCTTCACAAGGCTCAGTAAGCTCACTCTTGTTCGTATTCACATCCACTCTGCCATAATTATCCAGGCAAGGCGCTTTGGGCGAGCGAAGCTCAGCTGCAGGATCTGAATCCAAGGTACCTGTAAGCATACGGTCGGTCGGCAAGTCAGATGCAGGAATCCCTCTACCCTATACGAACAGTGGCCGTGGCGATGTAATGCGACAGGTCAATATTGTTCAACAGACAGTCACGCCCGCTATCAAGTTACACCTGAAGATGTGGTCCTCCTCTACATCATTCTTGTTGCCACTGGGCTCACAGACCTTTCACACCGAACGAGTGGCCCTGGTCTCGCGATTCATGTTGGTAAATCAACGTGATAGTTCCACAATGCCAGGCAGAATCCCCTGATGTCGTAAGCTGATGATGGCATCTGATGCTGCTCTCGTCTATATCCACGAGCGTGTATAGGATGACGAATGGCCCCAAAAGCTCAATGAAGGCAATGGGAAACGAGAAACTTACCATGACTTCTCGTCCCGAGACATGAAGAATGCAAAATAAGACCCGACCGACGTTCGCCGTAATACAGGATCCAAAGGTGTATTGCCAAGCGCTGATCATCTTTCCGGGTAAACACCACACATGAGGGCGTAAGGTACCCTGGCTATGCGCTTATAGGAGTACCTGTATGTTCGAATGCTATGGTTTGATTCGTTGGCACAGACTTTGACTTAATCATGCTCACCTGATTTTTCACGTGTCCTTCAACAAGAAGTTCTCTAAATTAACGCCTCTCCAGACCTCGACGAGCTCATCTCGAATCTCAAGAATCTGGCGTCCGATACCCTGCAGTACACTGCATCCTAAATCGTAGCGATAGATTGATCACGACCTGGATGGCTAGAGTACGTCTGGGAGGTACTCGTAACATGCAGTACATGATCATAGGCCAATGTACAAAGCCAAGCGATACATATTGAAGCGGGCAAAGGGAATTACTTCCTTCAATCTGCGTTTCGCTGCCCATCTCGCTCAACCCCAGGCTCATCAATCGTCGTCTTCTCCATCTTTTCCACAACCTCCTCATCCGACAGCTTCAAGCTCAACCTCTCTAAGCGTTCCTGCAGCGCCTTCTCCGTTTCCCTAAACCTCTTCTCAAACTCCTCATCGTTCTCGCCCCCAAATTCCCCAGCAGTAGGCGTCTTGTCCCCCTCTCCACTACCCTCGACTGCCGCAGTCTCTTCCGCACTACTACTACCACCAGCAATTTTCCGCTCACTCTCCTTCAATGCAGCAGCAGCAGCAGCAGCAGCCCTCTTCCTCTTCACCTCCTCGGCCCTCCGCATACAAATCTCCAATCTCTTAAGGCTACTCTTTGGCCACATCTTCTTCATATTATCCCCCCTCTCAGCTGTCCTCGCCCCATCCGGCAACTTAACCCAATCCAACTTGCTCTCCACAAAAATATGCATATCGGGTTCCATGAGCGACGGAAAGTCTAGCGTCCCGACTCTCAAATCAATGACTGCTTCGCCCAGCGCACTCGACGCCCAGAGCTGAACGTGGCATGTCGGACAGTCTGCATGCCGACTGACCTTTCCCGACTTGGATGTCCGCGTGACAAACAGTGGTGTGGTGGAAGAAATAAGCTCGATATTGTAAAGCTCAATGTTGAGATTCAGACAGAAAGCGCTGCCGGTTTGTTTCTGGCAGCTGGGGCTGCGGACGTGGAAAACATGCAAAGTCAGTGTTTGTGTGTGTAAGTGTGTTTGCTATGCATTCAGTACAGGCACAACGTACCAGTGGCATGCGTAGCAGTAGAGAGGAGACGTAAGCAAGCGATAACGGATAGTATCGCAGACGCAACCGCCCTTTAGGGCTGGGAAAGGTTTCGGCGTGGCCATGTCGGTGCTTGCTCGAGTCTCAAAGGCTTAGTCAGTGGAGTGGATTTGATTAGTTAGAGTGCGGAATGGGCGGAGTTGTGGGCAGGCGCGCGCTGGGGGGGATGGAGGAATGACGTGGTGGGGCTGCCAAGGCCCCCACAGTTTCTCGTTTACGAGCGGAACCCCACAGCAACGCTTTGTCCATCTTACCTGATTGGGAGGTCATTGGCTTCTCGTGCAACTACATTGAGGGTGGATAATGTACTGCTTCTCATATAACACTACATGGGTTCCGTGCAATCAACAAGGGAAGACGAAGATGCACAACACTTTGGCTCGACCTCATACCTAGGTACGCTTCCAAGCGGCAGCGACATGTCTATCTCTGAAAAACCAGATGTGGTACCATCCAGCACCTATTGAACAAAGTCATCTTTATCATATCACCAAGTGAGAATCCACTAAACATCAGCGCTTAGCTCACGGAGAATCCTGAATCATGGGGGGCAATAAACAGGGGTTTTTCGTTGTTCAGAAATCAAATGTTGTAGTATCATCGCATGTCAACTAAAAGCCTTTAACGGACTCGTGACAATGTCCCAAGATGAGCGTTCTTGATCTTGCTACCCCAATTGTTAGTCAGACTACTACCATCCTCTCCTTTCAACTTTCCTTTGCCTCCTCCCGCGCACCCAGAGCGCATGACGATACGCCTTTTTCAATTTAGGAAAAGATATGCAAGGTGACCACTTTGTTTGTACAACAAAAGAGAGTGCCACGAAGACACAAAGGATCGGTCCACAGAAGGGACAGTACATCTGCCAAGTACATATACAGTTTATTTCGTTACATACCTCATACACACCTCCTTATTGCGCAGTAGCAGCAGCACCTCCATACGCAAACGCATTCTCATTTCCATGCCCACTCACACCAAAGTACTCTCCGTCCAACAAGCCCATCTTTTCCATCATCCCCCTAACCTCATTCCGCTTCTCCGCCTCAAACTCCTCGGCGCTCAGTAACAACGTCTCTCCGCGCGCCTTGTGTATCTCGAGGGGCTCATGCTCAATAGCGTCAGGCCACTGACCAGCCGCATAGAGCGCGTCTTGCAGATCCGCCCACCTCACACTCACGCCCTCGAGCGTATACGGTTCGGCAATCTTCTTCTTCAGTGCCTGTGGAAGCACAGACCTTGCAATGTAATGGTCCCTTGCTTCGGCTTGGGCTTTTGCGTCGAATGCCTGTTCGAGCATGGATATCTTGGCGCGGTGGCCGGCTAGAATCTCCTTGTCCATGTCCAAATCTGCCTTTGAACGTGTCGGATCCGGGTTCTCGAGTGCTTGGGCCAGAACGTGCGCCTGATCTCTCAATTCATCCAACTGACCCTGCGCACCAATCTCATTAGCTGGCGCCGCTTTCTTGGCCAAGTCTTCCTGTAAGTTCTTGAACTGCTCTGCTTTGCGCAACGCATATGACAGCTTCCGTAGCCGGGTTTCCAGACTCTCCTTGGCGGCTTTTAGACTCTTCTGGTCTGCTTCATTTTGGTTGTGTTTCATCTTCAACTTGAGGTCCATGGAGCGAATTTGGCCTTGGAGCCACTTTACATTATCCGTGGGCTTCTCCTTGGCCAACCCCGCATTTGCCAGAGCGTCAATCTGTTCCCATCGCTTGTCCAAGTAGACGGTCGCTTTCTTGTCCAACTCTTCCTGCTCTTCCCTTGTCTTGGCTCCGTGTGCCTCTTGTATGCGGAGGACCTCTGCTAGGTCGGCGCTGGTGTTGGCGCGTTGGTCCATGATTTTTAGCATGCGCTTCTTGCGGTCCATGCGGAGGTATTCTGGATTTGTTTTGTCCCAGGCTGTCTCGTGGAGGCGGCGGAACTCGCGCAGTTTGCGGAAAGCATTATGGCCTTGTGCAGGAGTGGGAAAGGTAAGGACACAGTGGGGGACCCATTCGTCGGGGCGGAGGACGGGGGGTTTCGTGTGCTTGCCCATGAAGGGGAGTTGTTCGAGGTGGTGGGTCTGAAAGGTGATTAGCATGTGGTAACCCAGGGTATCTCCGTGTGTCATACGTCGAGAAGCTCCTGCAGCGAGTAGATGATCTGATTCGTCTTGGTGTTGCGGAAAATGTAGATAATCTCGCCATGCCGAGCTGTGCCCTCGGGATCAACCACATCCCGAAGCGTATACGGCTTGATGGGCGACACTACACGCTGGCCCGTCGCCTGCCGCCTTGCCTTTTCATTCACAACAGTCTGCAGACGGAGATGTCTGGGGTTGGATTGGCGCTCGACATAGACGGCGATGCGTTTTTGCATGTGCTCGACATGCTGCGGAGTGATGCGCCTGGTGGTATTGGCGAAAGTGACGGGATTTAGTGGCGGCTTGTACCGGAGCCGGGCGAGTGATCGAGGCATGGCTGCGGGGTTGCCTGGAGTGCCAATTGACGAGCGGGCGATGTTGGTCGACGGACGGGACGCAAAGATGCGAGAGAGCGATAATTGCGCACGGGCCTCCGACCGCGGGCGCCAGCAGCACCTCCGCCTGGCGCGATACGATGAGCTCTCCGACGCGCTTTCACTTGGGGTAAGCGACTACTATGAGCCGGCCATTGCCGTATCAGGATGCTTCGATGAGGCTGACATCTATTTACTCGAGTCTCTCCTACCGCCGACCCACCCGACTAGCTACATAACATGGCTGGAGAGCCGCCCCAGGCAGCCGACCAGCTCAAGTCTCCACCACGTGAGCGCCCGTGGCTGCTGCCATACGTACGTCCTTGACCGCCATCCGTCTGTCCCTCTCCACGCTGACAATGTGTACCAGAATCGCAAGTTGCGCCACCTCCAAGGCATCACCATCCGCAACCTCACGCTTACCACGACTCCCCCAAAGTCGCGCGGCCGCACCATTGACGATGAAGCCATACCAAGCACCCTCAAGTCGCCCACAAAGGCGCTGGCGTTGAGGGAAAGCAGAGGCCTGGCCCATTCGCGCTCCTCGAGCAATCTTACCACATCCCCCGAAGACGGCGTCCGCACACCCACCAGGCCGGGATATGGACGGGGACTGCGAAGGCGCTCGACTATGGAGTGGACCAATGCAAGCCCGCTCACTCGCCAGAAGAAGCTCGAAGACATCACTGCAGGGCGCATGGCCGACACTTTCTTCAGTCTGCATGTGGACCATCAGGAAGACCCGGTATACATCTCTGAAGTCGCTGAGAAAGCTATGAACCCAAACTTCAAGTTCTTCGACCTCGGGCCCTGTGGCCCTGCTGTCACCCGGCTGGACAAGCTCACCGTGAGGGTGTGGGCAAAGAGCGAGACAATGCAGGAATGGCACTATCTGATGGACTACACTGTGCAACTCCGGTCGCTGCAGTTCATTGGCAGGACACTAGGAGCTTTCAGGCACCCGCTGCCACAGAACTGCATACTGTTCCATATGACGGATGGCATCTACACCAGCTTCACCGATCTGCCGGTACAGGAGCGAATGCGCCCCGAAATTCTTGCACCACCCAAAGAGAACCCAGATGGCAAAGCGCTCAACTCATCGTCGTACGACGCCCTCATGCGATTGTCAACACTGGACGATTGCATACAAGATGCGCTGACTACGCGAGACCGAATTGCCGATGAGATTGAGGGCATACTCGCAGCAAACAAGGAAGACCTAAGCGCTGTCGAGTCGGTCGCCGAGACTGAAGACGGACTAGGGACGGTCGAGGCTGCGGTGACTGCTGAAAAGCGACGAGTGGTGGCTGCAAGGAGAAGACGGGACGAACTACAAGCTAACATCGAGTACCGAAGAGAGAAGATGCAAACTGGTCGAGATCGTCAAGCAGAAGCCGACACCTCATTACTCGAACAACGAGCAAAGTGTGCCCAAAACAAATCTCTCATAGAGAAAACCATCGAGGACATCACCGGCCAACGCCGCCGAGTCTGCGAAGACCTCCTCCGAATCTTCCCCATTGAACCCGTCCCAGGCAAAGCCCTCGCCTTCACAATACGAGGCCTTCTCCTACCCAACTCCGTCTTCGACGACGTCAAAGAGGACGTGGCTTCCGCGGCACTCGGCTACGTGGCGCAGGTGGTCAATATACTGTCGCCTTACCTCTCTGTCATCCTTCCGTACCCGATTTCCCCACATGGTTCAACGTCCACGATTGACGATCCACTTGCCGTCACACAAAGTGGTCAGAATCCACAACGCACTTACCCGCTTTACATGAAGAACGTCGTGCGGTATCGCTTCGAATACGGCGTGTTTCTGCTCAACAAGAATATCGAGATTTTGTCCAACGCGTTGGGGTTGCGGCCCGTGGATATCAGGCACACATTACCTAATTTGAAGTACCTGCTGTACGTTGCAACGGCGGGCAAAGGCGAGCTTCCTGCGCGCAAGGCCGGCGGTATCAAGGGACTGTTGAGACAGGATGGTGTACTTTCCAGGAAGGGGAGCATGGACAGCACGGCGACTATGAGTAGTGTTGGTACGCCGACTACAGAGCTCAAGAAGAATCTGGAGATTGCGGGGAAGAGATTAGAGGGCGCCAAAGCGAACGGTGCACTTGCGCCTGCTCAAACCCATGCGCATGCTGGGAGTAGACTGAGACCTGCCGCATAAGGTGGACTAATGGAAAGTATGCAACAAGCATGTGTGTACAACGGATGTATACGTCAAGTCATCGCCTACTCAAACACATGTGCATGTGCGGAGTAGGTTAAACTGCTGGAGAACTTTTTTTCCGAATACAAAACAAACAGCTCGTAGCATACACACATATTCGCGGAGGCATCGACTCTAACTGTGTTTGTGAGTAGGTGCATACATGTAGATACGCGGAGGTAGTGAGACCAATAGTTCTTCCCATGGCAAGCGAAAAGTCGTTTGCTTTTCGTCTCGGTTCGTCACCCGATTTCCCCAGATGCACTTCTTTACTTGCTTGTTCCATGTGCGTATACCTGTGACGCACATATCCCCATGCGCGCGGAAGGGTGCCGGGCCGGACCCCTTGATCCTCTCTCTTATCCAGGGTCCCGAAAAAAGCAATCGCTTCACTAGTCGTTTGCTCGGATCTCGGTGCTCTGTGCATTTCCGAACCCAAGTTTGTTCAAAAGAGCACCACGCCCCAGCTGACATAAGTCTTACCCCTGGCCCGCCTGATTACTACTCGAGTCTCGTGGCAGATCGACACGCGCGCACTTAAATCCCTGCCAGTATGAAATGTGCCAAGAGCTCCACTGCAACGCTGTCTTCCCAAGCAATTTCCGACACCAGCGAAGCTGCGGCGAGCCTCGGGAGAGCTGGAAAGGAGAAGCGACAACATCCACTTTTTTTCCTACATGACTTGCAGACAGACCGCAACTTTTACTTTGGACTGAACCTCTTTTCTGTTCTGGAAGTGGTCCCGTTTTGTTTTCCCTTTCTCTCCCTCTCTCTCTCTCTCTTACACAGCTGTTTCGTCCGTAATTCAGCTTGTACACAGAAGTTGGACCCTTGCGGACTGTTGCGCTTTCTCCACCCGTGGACCTTTGCGGATCAGCGCTACTTGTCCTCCTCTCGACACTCACAATGACGGAACCGTTCCCTCCACTCAACGGCGCACTGCCACACAATACAGGAGTCAACGGCGCACCCAGGCGGAGAAGAAAATCTAGTGCGCTGGGCTCTGATGTACCCGGCGATGTCGATGTAGGAGCGTTGGCGACACATCGGACGAGCACCCCGCCGCTGAACAGTCCAAGCACCATGGATCCGGTACGTTGCCAGTTTCTTTTCTTTCCCTAGGACATCAACGTAGATACGTACAACATGGGCGATGGATGGTGACACTGGAAATAAAGTTGCTGACCGGCCGTTTTCTTCTTTTCTTTTGCAGAGATCAGACAAATCTACCCGCCGCTCCAAACGACGCTCAACCCGCCGTCTCCTCTCCAAAGCAAAACGCCTCTGCATCCGCCACACATGGCTGCTCCCTCTCGTCCTCGGACTAACCATCATCTCGCTCTACGCCATCTACCCCTACGAATCGAACCCGCTGTCCGCCTGCCTCTTCCTCTCCTACCCGCTCGCACGCGACGACCCCCTCATCCCCGAACACGTGCGCTCCGACCCCAATGGCCCGCAGCATTACGGCAAGGGCGGTCGCGACTTTGCTTTTGTCGGCTTCTACATCATCGTGCTGAGCTTTACACGCGAGTTCTGCATGCAGCGCCTCATCCGGCCCATTGCGATTAAACTCGGTATACGGAACCGCGACAAGCAGTCTCGCTTCATGGAGCAGGCTTACACCGCGCTGTACTTTGCTCTGTATGGTCCGTTTGGTATCTGGATCATGAGCCGCACGCCCGTGTGGTACTTTAATCCTATTGGCATGTACGAAGGCTTTCCGCATCGGACACACGAGGCGGTTGTCAAGGCGTACTATCTGCTGCAGGCGAGTTATTGGGCGCAGCAGGCTATTGTGTTGCTCTTGATGCTGGAGAAGCCGAGGAAAGACTTCAAGGAGCTGGTTGCGCATCATGTCATTACCGTGTCTTTGATTTGGTTGTCGTACAGGTTCCATTTTACGTACATGGGCATTGCCGTGTATATCACGCATGATGTCAGCGACTTCTTCCTTGCTGTAAGTTTTTTCTCGCGACGATACGGGGAGAAAGAGAAAGACGTGTGCTAATAACAAAACAGACGTCAAAGTGCCTAAATTACATCGACTCCCCCATTGTCGGTCCTTACTTCTTCGTCTTCATGTGCGTCTGGGGCTACACGCGTCACTACATTAACCTCAAGATCATCTGGTCCATTCTCACAACCTTCAAAACCGTTGGTCCCTTTGAACTCAACTGGGAAACGCAACAATACAAGTGCTGGATCAGCCAGTACATCACCTTTGCCCTGCTTGCCTCGCTGCAGGCAGTCAACCTGTTCTGGTGGTTCTTCATTTGCAGGATCGCGTATAGGTTTGTGGTATACAAGGATGCGGACGATGATCGCAGTGAGTATGCGCCGACGGATGAGGAAGTTGAGGAGAAGGACAAGTTGATCAAGGAGGGGCCCGAGGCGGACGCCGAGTTTGAGGGGTTGGAGAAGGAGCTCGAGAAGGTGGAAGATGCGCCCAGAACACCTGCGAACGGGTCGGGGCTGCAGGCGAGCGGTGCGGACAGCATTGGGTCGAGGGTCAAGCAACGGAAGGGCGGGAAGCAATGAAAGACATGACGGAAAGTAATAATGATGGAGACGATGATGGTATATGGGATTGGTAAAGGGGTCTAGAAGTGGGACTATGGAGCGCTGAACAGTTGATCTGACTCACCGTGGCTCGGACGGCGGTTTCGATTGGAAGCACTTTTACACAGAGGTATTCTCCTTGTCGTGTGTTTAACGCGAGAGGAGAGCTGATGAAATACATAAGATAATAATACAACTTGTAATAGTCACGACATTCATATATGGGTCTCCTTGGCAGAATTTCTTCCCAAGGATATGCGTTTCGCTCGGATGTCGCAGGACTAATCGGGCAAGCAAGGACACAGCCAGGCAGATACGAGTGCATGGAATGAGCGCGAGTTCCTCCAAAAGACATATCGTGCGAGGTGAACGTTAGGTGCCTCCCTTGTTACTGCTGCGGCACCCACTGTCTTGCTCCAGCCTGCTGTACAAACAGCTTGAACGACTTGTACTGCTTTGAACTCAGACGCACCCATTGCCATCAGGACGAAACATGGAGATTCCATCTCGAATGGCTTTTCCCAACCGTACGAAGATCAGTTTTTGCCCATGCACATTGCTGACACTAGACAGTCTTGGATGGCTGTCGCTGCGAGCTGATTTGCACGTGGAGGTACAGATCGGCAGTGCATACGCTTTGCGAGTGCGAGTACGAAGTGCGAACCCGAGTGCATACGCACGACTAGCTAGTGGCCGGCTTACCCCAACATGCGTTTCAATTCGAGTCCAACTTTGGATATAAGGTCGACACATCTGGCAGCGGCTCTGTAGAAGCTAATCAACATACAAGATCCCCGTAAAATGGCAGGCGCCCTACAAGCCGTCGTCGCGAAACTCGGCTCTTTCAACTTTCTATCACCACGAGGCATCGCAATTATACTGGGCACCGCTCTCCTTTTCCATATCCTCAGAAGCCTCGCCCTCATAATCTATAACCTGTATTTCCACCCTCTGGCCAAATATCCCGGCCCAAAGCTATGGATCGCCTTTGGCTTTACCCGCACCCTGCGCCACATGCGCGGCGACCTCGACTTGCAGATGGCGGAGGAACACCGCAAGCACGGCGAAGTAGTACGGCACGGTGTGAATGAGCTATCGTTTATCCATCCCAGTGCGTGGAAGGACATTTACGGACACGGCCACGCGGAGCTGCGCAAGTATTTTCCGCCAAACTCGGTTAATCCGAATCAAGTCATTGCGGCGGACGCGAGCAACCACTTCCGTATGCGCAGGGCCATGTTGCCTGCGTTTTCGGAAAAGGCATTGGCTCAGCAGGAGAGGTTGATCAGGGTTTACATCGACTTGCTCATGCAGCGTCTCTCGGAATGCGCGGCTTCTTCTTCTGCTGCTGCTGCTGCTGCTGCTGGTGGCAAGACGGTCGACATGGCGCGTTGGTACAATCTCACAACGTTCGATCTCATCGCCGATCTCTGTTTCGGCAAGTCGCTAGATGGTCTGGAAACGGGCCGGTCAAATGCGTGGATTGAGAAGATTGATCGCATGTTACGGATCATGCCTGTTTTGGTCCTGGCGACCTCGTTTCCCTTGTTAATGAGTCTTTTTAATCTGATGCTTGGAAATAAAATGCAGCAGTCGAGGAAGGAGCATCAGGAGTATGCTGCGTCGCTTGCCATGAGCCGTATCAAGGGGAAAGAACAGGCCGATCGAGGGGACTTTATGGACTTCATATTGCGCTCCCGCGGCGAGGAACACGAGTTGACGGATGAGGAGCTGGTGCATAATGCGGATTTACTCATGGTCGCTGGCTCAGAAACGACGGCTACGGTGCTTCTGGGAGTCACGTACTACCTCTTGAAAAACCCGACGACGTACAAGAAGGTGACGGAGGAGGTCCGCAGTGCCTTTGATACGGCTGAAGACATCAACTTCAAAGAGGTCAACGCGCGCTGTCCGTATATGTTGGCTTGTCTGAATGAAGCGATGCGCATTTTTCCCTCGATTCCTTTGGTGTTATTGCGCATCACAAACGATGGTCCGCCAACCCCTGTTGCCGGACACTTGATCCCTCCCGAGGTAAAGTTTACAACCATCCTGGGTACTTCTCACTCGAAGAAGCGGTATTTGTTAACAGATTGCAGACACGTGTCGGCGTTCATCAGCTTGCTGCATACCACTCCCCCCTCAACTTCCACGACCCGCTATCCTTCCATCCGGAACGCTGGCTACCAGAGGAATACAATGATCCCTCCTCGCCATTCCATGACGACCGCCGCGATGTGCATAAGCCATTTTCGTACGGTAGACGGGATTGTATTGGGAGGAATTTGGCGTTCTTGGAGATGAGGCTGATTATTGCGTTGCTCGTGTGGAATTTTGATCTGGAGTTGGGAGAGGGCATGGAAGAGTGGGAGAAGCAAAAGATTTTTGGACTGTGGGAGAAACCGCCACTAAAGGTGCATATTCGGAAGAGGGAGCGGAAGTAAGGGTCAGAAAGAAAAGGGAAGACTGGCGGGTTTTTCTTATATAGACTAGATCTTGGCGTATGTTCTGTCGTTTTGCTGTGATACGCAGAGTTCCTGGTCGTTTTTCCTCGTCCCTATCAGATCTGCCGGCCTTTTACAAGACCAACTTGTCCATGTCCGACTCTCAGTGCTATTCATGGTTTTACAATGCAATCACAAACAAGAATGAACCACTGGTCAAACATTGTTGGACGCCACTCTATTCTGGAACTTCGGCGGTGGTCCTGGAATTATCAAATTCGATATCGAATTCAGGATCGAGCACTAGATCAGCATCCAAGCTACTAACAGCGCGTATAGGACACCTCTCGACATGCCACTCAAACGACAGGCAGAAAAAGCTAGACTAACCCGTACTATAGGAGATACATACAGATGGGTTATGCGACATCAAGACGACTGGTAACCCAAGACGTTGCTATGTACGGTCTCAATTCGCAATCCGTCCAGCGATTAAACCGCCCGTGATGGGAATATCTGCCCCAGTCGTGTACGAGGATGCATCGCTCAGAAGGTAGTTCACAGCGCCTGTTATGTCACTCGTCTCGCCAATCCGTCCCATCGGCGGGGCAGAACTAAACACAGAATACAGTTCTGGCTGTTGCGTCGCGCAGAGATCTGTCATATCTGTACGGATGAATCCTGGTGAGACAGTATTGACACGGATTTTGAGCGGTGCCAGCTCAACAGCCAGCTGTTTCATCATCACTCGCACCGCGCCCTTGGTTGCTCCATACATGGGAAGCCGTTGCAGTGGAAGGGCTATGTGGGATGCGATTGAAGCAATGAACACAAGGCTGCCACCAGAGCCTTGGTCTTTGATCGCTTTCGCGGCGAGCTGTGCACAGAAGAATGTTCCAAGGACCTTTCAATGTTAGTACATGGTAGAATTACAATCGAGAAAGCTTACATTAACCTTGAGAAGGTTCTCGCATTCTTCCCAAGAGTGGTCGAAGAACGACTTGTCGGCCACTATCCCTGCGGCAGTGACACTTGCGGATTTAGCATCAAGTCAACACTCTGTCCAGACAAGACCTACCAGTTATCGATGCGCCCAAAGTCAATGTTGATCTGACGAAACGTTTCTTCTAAAGCGTCCATCTTGGTTACATCGGTACTATCGAGATTAGAAACGCCACTCTATTTGGAAGTGGAATCTTACCGATAGTACTTGGCTTTGATGCCAAGAGTAGACAAATCAGTCTGCGGCTTCTCTAGCACGTCGAGAACTGCCACATCTCCACCCGCCTCCGCAACAGCTTCAACCAAAGATAGACCTATCCCACGAGCGCCCCCCGTGATGACGGTGGTCTTACCCACGAGGCTCATTCTTTCGCTTAGCGATCGTTTGTTTTTATCATTGTCCTTGTTCTTGAAAGATGCTGATGGTGTGTTCGAAGAGACGTTAGACGGTTTACCTATGTTTGCGATACCCTCCACTTGAGAGCCTCGTCTTGCGTATTGTGTGTACAGATTGCGGGATCCAAAAACAGCTCGTTGTTTATGGGCCATGGTAGCATTGCTGGTTGAAATGCAAGGCAGCCTAGGTCTTGATGGCATTGCAAACTCGCCTACACAGCGACCAACTTTAGGCGTCGACATGGTTCTGCGGTAATATGAAACTGTCTCTGGTACAAAATGTGCAGCCAGATCCCCAATCACCTTCACCGACCATTATAAATATCGCATTAGCAGGCATTCCGTCTTCACGATGTAGCGTGATGCGGGGTCAATGTACAGGGTTGGTAGATCACCCGCGGGATTAGGATTCCGCCCCATGGGAACGCAGTTCGGCTGTATGCATCCTCGATCAATCGGCGTTGGCATCACCGACCACACGACTTAGTTCATGCACGTGTTGTAAAGAATATTCAAGCTCTACTTTGAGCCGCTGTTGACAACGTGATGACAGCGGCTAGGTGAACTCCACAACAAGAACGTCGGGTGCTATCTTGCTTCAGACTGAGGGGACGGATATGCGGTTGGACGACCACGAATTGCGGATTTTGAAGTTGGGACTCCATGATAGGCTGGTCTGAGGCATAACAAACTAAGTTCCAAATCGGAACGTATATATGACAATGGACCCAGGCTACCCATGGCTTACTAGCTTCAATCAAGCACGAAGTAAGCTGTGATCCTTAGGCGCATGACTAGGCCAGTCTCCAACTCCTCTACCACCGATCACAGTCTGCTCATCGAGGGGAATAGCGCCAGTATACGATGCTGTGAGAGATCATGGAAATTGGTTAATGGCGCATGCATGGGTTCCTGGCGCTGGGCTTCCCCGCCTCCAGCTGCGCTCGAACTGAATCTCGCGATCACTCCCGACACATACTCGCACGCTCACTCACTCATTTGTTATATCGTATGCTGATACGACAACACCCGGGCGAGAACTCGGCAAAAGGCAAGTACTGCATTTCGTTGTATATTCAACGCTAAAACTATACATATATGTAAAGCGAAGGTCTCTTCGCGCTGCGAGGCGCCTCAATTCTGGCATCTCATCTAGTTCTAGGTGCAGATGTCCATGTGCGCCGAGGAGGTCAATCTTACAGCATCCGTACAAACGCATCATCAGAGATTGGAGCAACGCATACATGAGTCCATCCCAATGCTCAATGCAGCGCCTAAGCTCCATCAGGGCGCATCAAGTGTCTAGTCCAGTAAAGAAGTTCTTAGATCTCATACGTTTCCAAGTGTACCACCGGACCGTCCCCTCGCGTAAGTTTATCTGTTCCATGGTTTATGGACTCTATCTAATCAAGACGTGGTAGTAACAAAGGATCCTTGAGCAATCGCTCCATGTCCTCAGTGCAGATATGGACAGAGATATCCACCCCGCTGCGGGTCCAAGACAGCCGAGATCCAGACAGGAACTGTCCAGGAGGTGGAGGTGCTTCTTTGATGAGAACACAACCGTCTAAGTTCGGCACGATGCCGTCCGCGTATCGTATGCGCGAGCCAAGACCGAAGTCGACATCGTAGATGCCGGCACGCGCCCAGGTTGTCACCAGAATATGACGCCGGCCAAGAAATGCCTGCCATATACGCTGAGGAGACTTCTCATACGTAGCGCTATGAAGATGATCTGCAAGATTCGCTGGGTCGCTGACAGTGGAAATTGTATGCCGAATTTTTCGGGTAATGGCAACCATTGATGAGGTAGCGTTGCTTGTTTGTTCGCGGCCGACTTCAGAGCCTGGCAGCTCAATATTCATCATGATGATTGGTGAACCCAGAAAGTCTTCACCCAGATTGAAAGCGGATCGAAGGCCAAGTACAAGATCGCAATGTACAGGGCCGTCATCCTTTCCGAGTTGACGTGCGCGCACAATGCAGGACCAGATGTGTGCCAACACGGCATCATGCTTGCTGATTCTCGGGCCATTACTGTCAGTACCATTTGTAGCTTCGTTGGAGAGAAAATCGACCTGCTTTGTGTTGAGATGAATGGTATAGTCAGAAACAGGCGCATTAGAGTTCCACTCAGCCCATGGCATAGGCTTGCCTGCTGGTGACACCAGTTTGGCCGCATCAAGAAATGGCGTGGGAGGATTTCCTGGTGCAGCCCACCAATCGTACCTGTGCAAGGGCAGACGTTCCGCTCGACTGATAATGGCCAGGTCCGGCTCCTCGGCGTTTATGTTTCCTGCAGCGAGGTTGTCCAAACGCGCCGGCTCAAAGACGGGAGTCAAGGTCGGGGCGGTCAGGCCCTTGATGACGGCAGTACTCACGCTCGCCCAGTCCGTGACGAAGCGGATGAGACCCGTGATGTCCGCGAAAGGATGCGCCGTTTTAGCAGCGAGGACAAAACCACCGTCTGACAACGTGGTGCATTGGATAGCCATGATCGGCTTGCGCAAGCCCGTCGTGGCATCGGGCTCGTTGGGTTGTAGAGCATGCGCAATGTCAACAACAGGCACAAATTTACCGAGATTATCGTCTTTGCGATTCCAAAGTGGCTGAGTTTTGACGCGCTCTGTTTGGTAGAGTGAGTCCGTGGTGGCAGAGCTCGTTGCTGAGACAAACTCCACACCGACGTCTACGGAGGCCCCGAAGTGCGCGTAAACGCGGCCGAAGCGGCGGGCGTGGGCTGGGAACTCCTTCGCCTCAGCGGGTATCGAGGCATCGTCGACGAAAGTAATGGACTTCAACTGGCCGGCCCATTGAGGATGCGAAGTAAGCGCAATGCTGAGTGTTTGGTGGAGGTGGACGGTGACGTTTGCTACATTCCGCTCATCAAGGGGCCCGAAGAGCCATATCGCGTTTGTAAGAGCAAAGTTAGCTGTGGTTGCGTCCAGCAGCGACAGTGGGACTACGTGTTCATGCTGCTTTGACTTTTGGGGAAATACGCGTTCCGTTGTCGTGACTTTGACATCCACCTCGGGCGGCATGGTAGCTGGCGACGTGGGTCGCAATGTAATTTCCGGGTACTCGGGAGACGTACCGACGACGTGAACCGCTCAGTCGTCAATCAATGGTTCGATCGGTAGAAAATAGTCACTCCGGGCGTCGAAATCCCAACGACAGGTCCAACAACATCGTCGCAATCAGATCGTCAAGAGGACACCTACCAGGCACCGGTTGGAAGTGGGGCCTCGGCCTGTACCGACTTTGAAATTATCCGAGCTACCATGATGATCCAAATTCGGTAGATCCAACATAAACTGATAATGATTGAATCTTCTCAAAATCTATCATATGTCGTCGCTTCTTTATGACTTTCTGGAAGATAACCCAAGCACCGATGTATCGGGATGGGATTTGCTATTGTTGTTCTGATAAGGTTCTTAATCGTGATCCTTTTAAATTTGAGATGGGATGTTGACTTAACACAGTTGCTGGTCATTAAGCTGCTTTATAAGCTCTCGATCTGGTGGTTTCGTTCCTTGAGGAGATTCCCGGGCTCGAATCAGCATCGCCCAACCTGTAGATCTTCCCGAACCCCAACTTGAAATGCGCACATCATCCCTCTCCTTATCCGTCACGATCTTCACAGTTCGACTCTGTTTCGATTCTTTCACTGGCACTGCAAGTATGATTATTTCGCTCTTGCCGTAGCTGAGGTGCCCAAAACGTGCCCTGACCATAACAGGCACTTAAGTGTGGTCTTGGGTACTGCTTAGTGGAAAGGCCAGGGTGGGTAATAAGCGCTGATGAGGATCTTAGGCAGCAGTCCGGGGGATAAAGGCGTGAGATAATAGAATCTGTAAGGGACGAAGATGAAGGCGATACTCTCTCGCTAGACAGCGGTGCCAAGTCTTGCCATCACATGGGAAACACTGAAAGATACTGTTTACAATAAACCAGAAGAAAGAATTGGATTCGATTAGAGGCATCCACAAATCGAAGTGGCGGAACTGAAGGAGCAATTTCGTCAAACTTCCTTATGAGAACAGAGAGAGATGCGATTGTGTGTTAGGTAGGCGCTTATAATTGCTACGTAATGTTGATAAGTTAGGTAGTGCGCTGAGACTACACTTAGGCAGTCTGACACACCTGAGCATCTTCTTACTCTTAGCCGATGCAACCCGCCCCAAAACCCAACCATTCCTGCTAAAATTGCCTAGTCGACAAGATGCAATTGCAATGCATCCTCACCGCCTTGCACTGCATACACTTAGTAACTGAAACCTAGTAACGTAAACACCGTCATGACTCACTGTGCGAGGGCAAACTGAAGACCCTGGGTCCGGCCTCTTCCAGCATGCCAAAGCTTGGGCCTGTAGCGATCTTAGAATGGGAAATTTCGGAAAGCATGTTAGAAAGTGTCTAACATACCCTCGTTCACAAATGTTATGCCGTGTGGACTGGGAGCAACAGCCATTCGATGCACCGACCCGAGATCCCTGACCCATACAGCTGGCATGGGGATCATCGGCGGCGGACCGGCGATGGGCCTTCCCATTGCCCATTCGTCACCACGGCACAGGATACCGCCGCGTAGGGTGAAAGTCGCAGCACTCCCTTTGTCGCCAGACTCTCCCAACATCGCATATTTCTGGTCGGAATCGCCTTCGGAGCATAGCTCAGGGCGAACTATAAAGCGGCCTTTGATTGCGATGTGAAAAGGACGAGGAAAGGAGTCCATGGCGGCTGTCAGGTGAATGCGGGAATGGTAATCCAAGATAGAAGGTTAAAGCAAAGTAGTAGAAGGCTTATACTGACTTACTAGAGAGTCTGTACACCTTTTATACCTCCTGTCCACACATAGCACTCGAGAGCACTGAGCAAAGTCACGTACAAGCATCTCAGAATCCTATTCCCATTGTAGAATATGCTGTTTGCATCGGAGGCGTGGGGCCGTCGGACATCAAAAGAAACAAATATCTGCTCATGCTGCTGCAATGCCAATACGTGGGAAACTTCAAGCAAGAAAATGCTTTTGTTAACGTCCAGCGCGTGATCAAAGGATGCGGCTAGAATGAGAAGAAGATCGCCCATCAGAGTCGTTGAGAAGCACCTAATAACTTGGGCTGGGCCGTGTGGCGACGACCCGACCCTCCCGCGTTGTTAGCGCGAACCACCCATCTGACCCCGGAGCTCTTATGCACACCCCGATTGTTCGCCTGCCTACCCAACTACTCCCCACAGAGGTAGACGATGACTGTAAAAGCAATATGTCAGCGCGCCTGTCACACGACTGCCAAGGATGGCGCATTCTGGGGTATATGTGGGTCCCCTCTCATCTTAGCGAGGATGATGGACCTATACCCAAGATTACATCCCCATCTACACTCTGCACATTCGATACTCCATGCAGCACTGAGATTGACTGAGAACATGTGTACCCGCGCTATGTTCTGGCCAGGGCTGCTGCGTATCGTTGAGATGTCTGTCTTGTCCTATCTATCATTTTCTGCTGTTCGTGATCGCAGCATAAGCTTATAGAGTAGACCAATGTCAACGCCAATCACTCAGTGCAAGATGAGCGTTGTATTTAATCCATCACCTCATCCAATCTCTTGATTCTCACCTTGATCTCCATACCATCAACTGGCTTTGCAGTAACCTGATGTGTCGAGAACATGGTTCCCTTTGTCTTCGCCTTACCCTTCTCATCAACCTGCACCTCACCCTTTTCGTCCAAATCCAGCTCACCAAGCCCTTGCTTGACAAGGTCGAAGTGCCTTGCTACACACACAATGATGATCTTCGTCTCTAGGTTGGCCAGTTCAGACCCGGTGCATCGCCGAGGCCCGCGTTCGTACGGCCTGAAACTGCTTTCAGGAATCTTCTTGCCTTCCTCACCGAGCCATCGCTCGGGATTGAAGTCGTCGCGGGTGTCGCCGAAGGTCTTGGGATGACGCTGGATGATGTACGCGCGCGGTGTCACGCACAGCCCGTCGACGCAGAGTGTATTTCCGTCGGGAAGAGTGAGCATGGTATTCGATAAGGATGGAGCCATGCGTGCAGTTGTGCCAGGTGGATGCAAGCGTAGCGTTTCCTTGATCACGGCGTCTGTGTAAGGCAACTTATACAGCAGAGCACCAGCTTCCGAACTCCGTAAGGCCTTGACGACAGCAGAGGGGTGGGTGTTTGGACCGAACACAGAGTCAAGCTCCTCCTTGAGGGTCTTTGCAGCAGATGGATGTATATGTAGCTCGTAGAACGCCCATTGGAGCAGGATGGAAGTAGTGTCGTGACCGGCGAAGAGGAAGCCGCGCAGTGTATCGCTAGTTTGCTGGATGATTTGAGATGTCAACTTGTCCACACCGTGAAGGCTGAGAGTCGCTACACTCTTGTTCTTGATCTTCGTATCGGTGGTGCCGGACACTAAAGCTTTGTGCTGTCTCCTAATCTCGGCTTTGAGAATGCTGTCAAGTTTCTTGTCCTTTGATCGGATCTCGCGTTCGTTGGCAGAGAAGTAATCGCGCCAACCTACCCCTCCGAAGGGGCGTTTATTGAACGCTTCAGAAAGGGCGCGGTAGGTAAGGAGGACCTCGGACTGTTTTCCATCAATCTGCGCGTTGAGATCCATGTCGAATGTTACAATACCAATGATGTCAAAGACTAAATTTGTCGTGTATGGGCCGAGTGTGAACGTGTCGCCGGAGGCGGCCTTCTGTTCCATGAGCTCGATAAAGGTCTCGGATTTGTCCAAGATGACATCAACTAGACCAAGAAGATGACTGGGTTGAAAGCCAGGGCGTATGCGCTTGTAGAGTGCATTCCATTCATCTCCCTGTAGTCAATGATTAGTTCCTGGACACCCGAAATCGTAAGAGAGGCTCAAGAAGGCTGACTTACATCAGTGGTGACCAGAGATCTTGCACCAACAAGAGGAGCTAATTGCTGGATAGCAGGGTGCTTGGGCATACTAGTCCTGAAGGCTTTGTTCGGCTTGGTGACTTGCTCAGCAACATCGTTGTCCAGCACAAATAGTATTGGGAACTTTTCGATCGGGCGGAAGTCGACAAAGAGAACTGGAGGGAATCCAAGCTTTTCCGCCTGTTCATACAGCATCTCATCGAATTGGCGTCGAGGATCACCTTCCCCCGCAATCTTCTCAACCCATGCCCAATGACCCCGAATAGGATCTGCTGGTTCAGGTTGTGGGAAGTGAGAATATTGCGCGAGATCGGAAGTCTTGGCCTTGGTGGTCCGTAGGTAGTAGGCTATGACAAGTGGAACTACCGCGAATACGAGGAATTTCCATTCGAAGAGCGCATCTGACTTCGCCGATTCCTGAGACGAAAGCAAGTTCGATAACGCCATGTTTACCGCGAGAGAAGTGCCGTACTTGCTGACAGAGACGGGCGAAACGCTCCTATGTACCGTGCAACAAGCATCGCGAGAACAACACCGGCCCCATTGAAATGCGACATCATGTCATCGGCGCCTCTGACCTATCGCGTGAGACAGCGCAGTGGTTTCGGCGTGATGTCGGACATGGCATCAGCATCAATATGGTAGGTGATCATCAGATAAGATGGCATCAGATTAGATTAAACAAGGGTGAGTACCCTCCCGCCCATCATAGTCCAACCTCCAAACTTGGCACGAAAGAAAACCTGGAAGAAGTCTGAGCTAGATGCAGCCGTTGTTTCTCACTGATTCGCTAAAGGCTCGTACTTCCTGCATGTCAAGCAAAATTCTGCATCTTGGCATTGCGGACTGTGATCCGTGTTCGGCGAGGGGTGTGGATGCTTCGCAAACATCGCGACATGGTACCTAGGTAGGGGTTGCAGTGAACAGAACGCAAGATGCGAATGCCATAGTCTGCAGACATCAATGCGACGATACTTTCTTCGAAAGCATAGTGTGGTCTTCAGGAATCCTGCTAGATCGTATGCGCGACGGCTCGCGAGGGTGCAGCCGACGGTGGGGATTGTTGGTGAGGCGAAGCGGGGCCTCCCGCCATACGTACCCCTCATGTCCTTCTCTTCTTGCTCCTCCCATATGTCTGTCCAAGCCCAAACTCTTCCATAGCTTCTGAAACGCAGATGATCAGATCGCCGTTCGCTTTCGAGCCTGGTGGAAGTTCTTTCCCAGCCCACTCCTTCGTTACAAGTTTCAGATCCGCAAAGCTAGCTCTCTTGTGTTGCCGGTAGTCCATGCACCGGATGATTGTGTCTTTGAGCGTCCTGCTATACATATTAGAAGCCTCGAAAGGCGTCTTGCCGGAAAACAAGTCGTCTTTGTGTTTTTGGATGTCGTATTCGGAGCCATCGTTCAAAAGCTTTTCAATTCCTTCGCCTTCATCAGACACCGTGTAGGTGAACGGCTCCTGAACAAACCCATCTTTTCCGGGTGAATTCATAGCCAGGTTCCACATCATCTGTCCAACTTGCCAGACGTCTGTTCTGGCCGTCATCTTTTCGGAAGGCCTTTCGTCTAGGTAGTGACCTTCGTAGCACCAAAACATCTCTGGAGCGTATCTTCCCCCAGCATCCTTAGCGTCGAGAGGGTGGTTTCGCATCATATAATGCGTAGGATTGTCGGCGTACTCGTCATTTCCTGACTGTAAGTCGAAGAATGCGAGGTCAAAGTCTGCAAGGACAATAGAAGGAGCCTAGCGTGTTGTTAGCCCTAACGACATATGGAATGTGACAAGAGCATTACCTCATGTGCGCCAAACTGACGATATTGATGCCCGTTTTCTTTGTTGATCTCTTTACCTACAGCGCCATTGGCTGGTTTCACGAATACATTCCCAAGATGGCCGTCGCGATGCACGATCTCGTTCCAGTCGACGTCATCGTCTTCTTCATTGATGCGCCCCGAACCCAACATGGTGAAGGCATCCACAAGCTGGTCAAACACTATCCAGAGAAACCATTCTGGAATGACTCCTGGTAAATCTACTGGGAGAGGATCGCCGTGCCAATCTTCAAGCTCTGACATGTTCTCATACTCTTCGAAAAGGACGTTGGTTGGCAGTGGCAGTTCTCCAGGGACGGCAGCACGTACGGGCTTACCCGCCTCCAGGAACTGCTTCTTTCCGAAAGCATACCAAGCCCAATCATTCACTGCTTTCAAGTCTTGTTCTTGTTGATCAACATCTACTATTCCTGATGCCGGTATGTCCCCACGTGCTCTCAAGATATTCCTGATCTCAGGATGAGAGTTTTGCCATCGAAACATATTACGTCTTCGTCTCCACTGACGCGAATACCAGTCTAGTGACTGGCAGATGTCACCCATGTCGCAAACTTCATTGAAAACACGAAAGCGTCGTTTCTTTACGTCGATGCGATGACCGTGGTACCTATGCACGTGGTGCTCATGTGCCTTGCGTCTCTCGAGCCGTGTCTGGATGGCAAGCTCCATCGGTAACTTGTCGCGCCAGAAGATCGGCCCAATCCATTTCTGTGATTCAACGGCAACGTCTCTCACTGCTAACCTCTGACAATCACGTTAGCTCAGTACTAGCTTCTCGATTAGCAAATTACCTCTGCGATCGTTCTCGACTCGTCAACGCCAACCCAGAGAGTAACAGTTCCAGTAGTACCTTGGCCAAGTATGTTCGCGCACCTCCATTCCAAATTTCGCCCCTCTCTTCCAGGGTCGCGTAACCCGGCGTCTTCGAATCTACGCATCCTGCGCCTCTTCGCTGCTGCTCTTTCCTTTTCACCTTTTTCTTCACCGTCATCGATATTTAACATCGGCGGCAATTCTTGATTCACAGTACGGAGATTAGGTTGATACAGGAAATTTGTCGTATTCACCTGAGCTGCTTGTGTTCCTGCATCTACCCCTTGTGCGACTGGCTCATGAGCTGCTCCTCCCAAAGGCGGTGCTGGGGCTGGGCCGGCAGCAGGAGCGGGAACCGGAACTGGAGCTGGAACCGAAACAGAAGCTGCAATTGGGATTGGGGCTGGGGCTGTGCCTGCAGGTTGGGGTAGCTGTCCATGATTCTGTACATGAATCAGATCTGCTGGGGTATAAGGTCGTGCTGGTATCGGATTTGGCGCTGGCAGTCCAGGTTGTCGACGCTGATCGGCAGTTCGGCTAGCGATGTAATAGTCTCGAATCGCTGCATGTAAGAGCCAGAGTGTATCGATTGTTGTGTTCATTTCGCCTATCCATATCAGCATATGAGGCTGTATGAAGATAATATTCTTACCTATACTCCATCCTGTCCTATGGAGCCTGATCCACTCTTTTGCGTCCCATCTAAAGTACGTGATCGGTTCTCTGAATGGCGGTCCAGATCGAGGCATTATTTTGGAGAGTTACAGCGGTCTATGGCTTCTTTGCGTCGATGGTGCGACTGTTGATAGCTTGATCTGACCTCCTATACCAAACTGGCAGCGAGGTCAGCGTTTTGGTGCTGAAGTTGCCCATTGTTCGGTAGGTAGACAAAGACGCGACGCAAGCGGCCGTCGCTATCTCTAGAAAAGATCCTCTGTATGACAACATAACAAAGAACTTTTGAAGTGAAAGCCTCTATCACACTAAGGTTAGAATGCAAACGACAGCATGGTCAATCGCTTCATGAAGTTAGCACCGTAACGAGGTCTCGGGTTCATGTTACTGTCTGTTCTCGCCCGACTGCCATGATAGATACATCTTACGATGAACAATGGCTCTACTACTTCGTCGGCAGTTGTTGATCGCGACCAGCTCGAGACTGGGCATGCCAAGAAGATTGGAAGCCTGCTGACGCTTGAATACGGATGACCAGTAAATTGTGAAGATTGGCGCGCGTGAGGCAGATCTCACCAGCCACGAAGACGGCAGCCTTGGAAATATTCATACTACAATGAGGTCCTTTTGGTGTTTCTCCACACCCGAGACACAACGCATCATCCATCATAATCTTCCATCACACTAGTCTATGCTCTGATGCTTCGACGGGTATCTCTCGACCATCGATCTCGACGTGCGGCGCGTCCGTTTTTCCGGCAAATAGCTGGGTATGTTGTTGAGACTCTTCAGGCTTTACGTCCCATGTTGCGCCTTTGATCGATTCTCCATGTAACTCTGGCTTGCTGGCCGATTCCAAAGTGACTGCATTAGAAACCCGCTTTTTGCGCCTCATGAACCACCACAAACCTCCTAGTATAACACCTATGGCTGTCAAACCCACACCAAGCCCCACACCAAGAGGTAATCCGAGATCAGAATGACTGCTTGTTGCCGGAACTAACGTTGCTGTGGGGGAACTAGTTGTCGATGTGGTTGTCGAAGGTGTCGCTACTGAAGACGTCATCGTCGAAGATGTCGCTGCCGGTGACGTTGTGGCGGAAGATGCTGTCGATACGTCCAAAGCCAATAACGGTACACCCCCGCCTCGTGAACAATCGCACCCAGCATCGTGACAGCACCATTTCTCGGACACCTCTACCGCATCGCCTTGCTGTACCAAAGATTGGATTTCCGCAATACTCTTATCGTCGTCGCAAGGGTACAGAGTATTCGAGCTCTCTGTAGTCGTTGAACACACGCTGATACACATAGGGCTTGTCCAAGTCTGATCGGTGCAAGTCGTACGCCAGAAGCTGCCCCATGGTTCATCACGTGTTGGGTATGGATTCCAGATGAGACCGTTGGACTGGCAAACATCATTGGAATCGTAACGACGATCCATACACATGGAATATTGGTCGTTGTGACAAGGCTCAAACCCGTCCGCCACTGTACCGTTCCGCCAGTAACAGGTAGTATAATCCTCCATCATAGGCACACCTCCAGTCAGAGTGAGTGTAACGAGTGTAACAAATGGAAACAACCCTGAATGAGATGGGGAAAAGGACGAAATAGACAAATGATAGATAAGAAGCTTCTCCTCATGCGCGCGAAGGCACGGCTCTTTAACAATGCTGTGCATTCTACCTGCCTATCTGAACGCCCCCGAGTACTTCAGGCAAGACTCACGAATCATAGTCTCCGAACTACCGAAGTCCAATTGGCGCCTGACCGTCTGGAAGAACGCCACCGGGGTCGCTGCACTCTGTGGCACTCTCTTGTCAACAGTCTGTACCAGCATCCCCTGGTTCTCCTAACGCCAAAAGTGACAAGAAGGATTGCGACTCCTGATAACACTTTCTTCGCCGGATACGGCTATGCAGCCAAGACTGTGGCTGTATTGGGGGCCTGACTGCAGCCACAAATTGGGGGCTGCCTCAATGACCAGCTTAGGTCGAAGATACTCTTGTCGAATACCTGGACGTGGTTGTATACAAAGCAGTTACTACCGCATCGAGCGTCAATCAATGGACTCGTGGGGATTGCATGTACATCTCAATAACGTACCAGAACTGAAGTAATGCTATCGCGATATCGCAGTGGCTGGCTTGACGAAAGGAGTCAAAAGCAAACCTTAGACAAGCCCTGTTATGATATGATTGGCTCCACAACTTTAGAGCTGCCGTTGATAGGCAGTTATTAGCCTTGTCTGGGTAGGCGTTGGGTCAATGTTTATTTGAAGTCTAATCATATTATTCGCGATCACTGTGGGTGTTGCTGATTGGAATAGGCATCGGCCGTTCTTTCAGCTACTGCTTGGCAAGCCTGTGCGTGGAGCTGGCGCATCTGATCCGCGAGCCGCGACACTATGGCTAAGCAGGAGGGGAATTGATCTTCTGGGGGGCGACAAATGGGTACTTCCAGATAGCCTTCTTCGTTAAATCATTGCCTGCGCTTGCTAGTTCCTGCCTCCAGTCATCTGTTATCGTCGTCTTATAGATATAGATACCTATCAACGTCTTTCGATGAATTGACTTTGGTTTGTCATTTTCTGCCTTGCCTTTGTCACTCTCCTCGTCACTTTCGTCTTCGGCTTGAGCGACCACCAAACCCGACACACCACCCAAGTTTGGCAGTACAACCGGTATTGGCAGGTTGTCTCCAAGTCGTGTTTGACGCGTGCCTAATGGCATGTATGGTATGTGTGGTATATAATTCGGATCTGGTAGGCTAGGGCTTGTAGGATGGTCGAGATATGTTTTCGCGGAGTAAAGTCGAATGGGATCGCTTCCGTGCCAGAGGGCGGTCATCGCATCCGCTTCCTGTTCTAATCTCTAAATTAGATCCCGTGTTACATACGAAATGCGCAAACGTACCTCTACGTTGACCGCCTCTTTTTGCCTCTGCGTGTTTGTCGTCATCCCCACATACGTAGCTGTTGTCGCTGTGGAACAGCAACACCATTGTGAGATCTCTGGCTCTGGTTATTAGGATCAGGTAGCACAACGAGTGTCGAGTACGTGGCTGTCAAGCTGCCGATATCGATTGTCGAGCCCATCGAGTTGAGCTTATAGTCAGGATCTCAGACGAAGGAAAATGTTGTTAATAGAGGCGAATAACGACTAAAATCGATCGTGATATGCGATCGACGGAGGCTAAAGTTAATGAGGTCAGTGAGCGATGCATGATGCAGTGCCAGCGTTGATTAATCGTATCCAGGGCCTAGTCACGTCGCAGCGTTCATAGCGACTTGACAGTGACAACAAAAAGGGCAAGGTAGTGTCCCGCATGACAACTGGATTTCGGGCTGAGATAGTCAGTCGGTCGTACCCTCACGAGGCAACAATGTGGCATGTCTGTTCCGCATGATGCGGTCAAGCTACCCAGAGCTTTTCAGGTTATCGAACGATATGAATAAGCTCGTGTCATATCATCGACAAATAGACAGTCGTATATGTTCGCGTTCGATCAAGGAGTTGTTTGGAAAGTAGCAGAAAGCAAGCTAGACTTGCTATCATTGCCGATGGTCTTGGTAAAACCATGCTTGGAATGGTGAGTTGTGATGTTTGGGCGCGGGAAGGAGACCAGGAACGCGATGGAACGTGCACGCTTATCTAAGTAAGCGAGCGATTCCCGAGTCAGCCCCGTCCGGCCTCTGCTCCCTGTTTACATACAAATTACAAAAGAGATCACCCGTGATAAATGTTAAGAGTTAAACTAAAGTAACAAAAACAGCATGTGCACACATACTAACATTATAGTTAAAACTACACCGCACAGTTACGCAAACGCACGAACAACCGTAAGTATTACATCGCGCGAATCTTACTCAGACATATTACTAGAAGCTAGCACGGCCGTTACAACGCTAATTGTTAATCGCTAAAAGATATCTTGACTAGTATTAAGCGAGTAGATGTTATTACACCGGAAGGTTGCATTTTAAACTTCCGCAACAGCAAGCGAAACCCTTGCCGAACAGCTTATATATATATATGCATAAGATCTTAGGTCCCTTTCAAGAAGACAATGTTATTTACTTGCCGAACGCAATATTCAAGGAACAGCCCTGGGGTACGGCCTCGTATTGTGGCTGCACGGGCTTGCTTCTCGTATTTTGTTGGTAACAACCTTTACAATGAGCACAAACACTCACAGCCTTGGGTAAGCATCGATTCACTGGTGAGAGGACGCAGACTGATTCCGCAGCCATCCGGGAATCTCAGCGAATATAAAATGCAAGCAGAATCACCCGTATCATTCGATATCAAATTCAGCATCATAACTCACTTCAACGGTCAATCGCTTCGACAATCACCTTACAATCGAAACCTCTTCTCTATTCAAGATGCTCTTCATCAACACTAAGACATTGATGTCAACCCTTCTTGCTATTAGCGCAATTTCTACTGGGCTGTGCGCTCCTACCTCCAACTCTGTAGATGCAATCGCAGTCCGAGAGATCTCCTCGACAGCTCCCCTCGACATGGGTATTGATCTCTCCGACAAGGCTGGCGTAACTCGCGCAATTACTCAGCGCGACGCCGCCAATGATGTCCATCTGGCCAAACGCTACCTCATCGGCTCTCCATACCAGAAGCGAACGATTCAAGTCGGCTTGAAGAAGGCTGTACACGGCCTTGCAGCGGGTACCACCTGGCTTTGGGAGATCAGCTACAGATACACCACCACCAACGGAGGCAAAGAAGGGCATGTGGCTGGCAATCTTGTTAAAGGCGACGGCTCATTTGCTTGGGGCCCGTTCAAAATCGACCAGAGTTTCGTCAACAGCGTCGATGGCATCGTGACAGCAACATTCAACGCTGTTGTCGCAAGAACAAACGAGAAGATTCAGTTTGTCCTGACTTGGGCTGAGGAGTTCACCTCCACAGGTGCAACTCTGGAGGATCATGGTAGATCCAGCTTTTTTACTTACTTCTCTGCCAACGGCCGCCAGGAACGTTTGGGCCAGGAGTTTTTCGAGTACGGCTTTAAGCAGAGCTAGACGATTTGGAGAGATCTCAGGCTATACCCCGTGATGGGAGTTATGGCAGTCGCGAACCCCCACACTCATTTGGCGGCGGTCTATGAGACGCGCATTTACACTCCTTTGTTAGCAGATAATTTTTGGCTCTTAGAAAAAGCGTTTGAACACTGTTGTGTAATATACCTGTACATGTCTTAGTGCAGCTACATAAAGGCGCGAACGAATGTCTATCCTACTACACTATTTATGAACTTGACTATCCCTGGCTCTGAGTTCAGTACACCTAGAGCTATTCTATCAACGTTGGAGACTTCTTGACTTTGCGAATATGCTGTTGGGAAGCTAGGCGAAGGTTTCGATTATATTGGTACCCCTTCTATAGAAGCCTTTGTTCAGATTATATAATGATATCACTCTCTAAGTGCTAGAACACCTACAATATTAGGATAAAGAAAGATAATTTAGCTTTTAGATTTTTTTTTCTTTTGATACACTTTGATAATTATGATGATGAGGTATACACGTGCACAGATATCGGTTCGATGTCAGATTAGACTAGCCTGACTGATAGCGACTCTGTATGTGACACGCGCAATGTCCTTCCAGCATAAACCGTAACAGTGAATCTCTGTGAAAGCCTGTTGGGTTGATGCCCGCGCTGATAACAACAAATCCGCGAACTGAACTTGGGAAGTTCCGTCTGTCATTCAGCAGCCGGTCCATTCCACTTCCACCACCCATCCTTCCCTCTGCAGACCTCCCAATTTTCGCTTCTCGTCCTCATTCCTGCTACTACACCTTCGCTGCCGTCGCCCCTGAGCTCAGTTACCCAGCCTCTGATACCGGCCTTCTCTTCTTCTGTTAACATTATGCCAAACCACTTTTCTAGAGCATGTATTCTCTGCTCCTCGGTCATACAGTCTTCCACAACCGTGGTCCTCCCTCCCAGATTCTCTTTGACAACGCCGTTGACCAGCATGCGCTTGCCGTAAATCTCTTGGTCGCTATCTCTAACATCGGACTTCGCGCGTCGCAGGAATTTTACAATGATACAAGTGAACGTCTGGAAGCTCTCCGGGTGCGAGCCAGTATACCAATTGAGATTGTGGAAATCCGCCTCCATGGCTTCTTCTTCAGAGAACGCGTAGAACGAATTCCACGCATGCTCAGGGCCATTGCGGTACTGGTAGATCCAGAGCTTGGTCCCCTCCGTCCGGTGCAACTGTGCAGGGATCCAATCATGCCAGAGTCGAACCTCCTGGCTTCCTAAATTTGTTTTTGGATAATCATGAGCAAGCTGCATGGGCGCTGTAGGACCGTCGCCGCCAAAACCAACGTCGAGGGCCCATTTGGTGCCGTCTGCTAAGCTGATGAGATTGACGAGGTGCACCCAGCCGCTGTAGTCACCCTGCGGAACACCATCTAGACGATGCCTGATTCTCACGGGAGCGAGATAGGCCGGGAAGCCTAGTCCACGTAGCATGTGATTGAAGAAGATTGATACCTGGAAACAATAGCCGCCGCGCCCGCGCCTATTGGTAATGACGCTGTTGAATGTTTCCTGCGGCTTGATGTTGTTCGTGTGAGTAGGGTTGTAGTGGAGCCAGAGGTTTTCGTACGGAATGGCAGCGATGGTATGTGTATGCAGCTGTTGGAGGAAATGAAGATCCTGAGCGGCATTGCCTGAGAATCTCTGCTGCTGGAGTAACGAGGAAAGACCAATGTGTTTGAGGAACGACACAATCTGATCCTCGCTGAAAACTGATGGAAAGGCCATGGTGAGGATTCAGAGTGAAAGAAGCTCGATGTCTAAGTAGGTATTTTCTATTTCTATGCTCCTGAGATCGGGGTGTGACTCAGAAGAAAGGTCCGACGTGGTACTAGCTGAAGACTCATTGGCGTTTTGGATAGTGGGGCGCTTTCGGCCGCATTATCTGTTCTGACCATGTGTCTAGAGTGATGTTCCTTATGGACATCAGCAGAAACTAATGGATGTGTCGCCTTTTTCGACGTGGTGGTGCACGGACGTAATTACGGCAGGCTTCATTGTGTTGAGCTGTCAGCCTCGTCCGGCCTCTGCCTTCCGTTCTGTAGGCAGCATTTTTGAGTTTGAACGACATACAATTTGGGTTCGTAAACTCTATTTACATACAAAATACAATATAGATTGTTCGTAAGGAGTGTGAAGAGTTAGACTTAAAAAAATAAGAACAGAATGCATACACGCACTAACGTCATCGCTTGAACCACACCAGATAGCAACTTAATTGCACGAGCAACCGTAAGTATTGCATCGCACTGCGACTATTGGGTTTGTCCGGTGTTGTAAGGCTCAGATTCAGGTGGAGGCGGTGGGTAGAATAGAGGAGTTGTTCCCGTCGGAGGAACTACAGCTTGGGCATGAAGATCGGTGTAGTGAATGGACGAAGGAAGGATAAGCGTCTCCGTGAGTGAGACTGCAGCTTGGGGTGTAGGAGAAATGCACTTGACAGAAATAGGTGATGAGACTGAGTATACAGACTCTGAAGGGACGTCTGCATGACGATCCTTCGTTATACGATAGAGCATCCTTGTGAGCCCGATGATGGTGCCGCTGCCAATAAGAGCTCTGCTACCACCAATTTGTAGGAGGGATGACGGAAACGCTGCTCCCGTGAGTGAAGCAGTGCCCGCATCCTCCTGACAAAGAGCCCTTTTGATGTTGCTCTTTATCGTATCCTTGTATGTAGGCGGCGCACTATGTGCGATACTCGCGGCGAGAGTCGATTTGTCGAAACATATTGCTCTAGGAGCAGGTGTTGTACCACTTAGACGAGATAACGGATAGCAGGCCTCGGAGTGCCGGTGCTGTGCGTAGGGTATCGCGGTGCCATCGTTTGAGCTGCGCATCGAGTTGCAGTCAGCCGCCTTTTCGCCAAGCAAGCGAAGGATAAAAGCGTTCAGAACTGCTGTCGTGTTAGTGATTTTCGCATACATTCTGAGAGCATATACGCATGATTCGAGACGACGGCTAAACGCTGTAAGTCCCGCTGGCTGATGGAAAACGGGGATCTAGCATGAACCGGTGCAGGTCCACAGCGGGGACTTGGTACTCTAGCTCCACAGTCAGCTAGGGCCCAGCAGATCTGTGCACGCAGTCGCACCTACAGATTAGTGTTGTTGCGCGCAGAAGGTTATCGATGACTAGTGCTCGATACCACCTATACAGGTTGATGGACTGGTAGGTAGGATTGTTGGGTTGAATCTGGAAGTGGGATGATGGTTTAGGTGCCCAGGCATCCAACACGGGATCGCCAGCTGTTGATTCCGGGCCCTGCTAGCGTCGCGCCTCCAATCGAGGCTCACCAAGCCTTCTACCCTCGCATCAACTCTGGCCATGAAACGTTGATCCAGCCATGTCGACAAGCAACTGGATCTGGAGTGATCCCTATCAGGATTATTATTATGTTACTTACGATGGTGCGTGTCAAGTGGTACTTTCCACACGTGAAGCTTGCTGACCCACGCACCGTAGAATATAATCAACCGGTATACCACTGGTTAAAACATACGGAAGTACGACCTCGACAAGACTCTGGCAGTCAGCAGAATCATGCATCCAATGTGGCTCAGATGCCAGATCCTGCTCCTGCACAATTCAGGAGTCTGCACGGCGCCATCCAGGGCACACCTCAAACAGGATGGTATGACTTATTAGATTCAAGTCAGTATCAAACCTCTATCATTAGGTATATACGCTAAATCTTCCAGGTTATCGTATGCGAACCGGGTCGGAAGCGGTCACATTCTTCGTCTCCGGAAGAGTAAGAAATTGTATCGCTGGGAAAGTTGAGTTCTAATCACCTCTTCTAGGTATTTGAAATGCTGTATCGCGAGACTGCTGGCGAAACCATTTCAGCTGGACCTAACGATGATGCTTACACTGTTGTACGGTTCAATGAACGTGTGCATACGAACATCAGACGCTTCGTTGTGGTAGAAGACATGCATGGGTTTGTTTATGCATGGCAAGTCATTCGCGACGCGCAACAATACTGAACTAACATGAATTTCAGCGGTATTGGAACCTATTCTGGTCGGGGAACGTTAAAGAGTGGCATCAATCCAGCAGTGCATGCTATAGTATATCTTTCAGGTACTGACCCAGAATCGTGCTACCTGCCTGGTGAACGGGAAGCCGGGATGACTACAGAACCTATCGAAGTTATACCTGTGGATAGCAGTGTCCGTATAAGGCCGGAATCGCGTATTCGACTTCGCAAGACCTATCCTATCGAGAAAAATGTCAAAGTCAAGGATATCGGCCGAGTACATCCGAACCATTTGGGCATGCTCTTGGAATATTGGTCCAATCAGAGCTATGAATCAGATGTATCGAGAGTAAGGGCAAAAGAGTGGCAACAAGAAACAGGGGAAGCGCGAGATATCAAGAGAGTTCAGGCTGGGTGGAGCGTTTCAGATGACGACAGCAATCAGGACGAGTTGAACGCGCAAGAGATGAGTACACAGAAGGGGACAGCAATCCAAACAGGTCAAGAATCGGGAGACAAGAGTCACTTTTTGGATGCAAAAGACTTTCTCGATGAGGAAGATTTGCTAGACGAAGGAGACGTGCAGGATCAGGACATCGACGAAAGGCCACAATCGTCAGCTTCCCAGTCATACACCAATGAGGATAACGAACCAACAAAATCCGAAAATGCCGAAACAAATATCCCGAACATCTTGACCGACTTTGCTCCAAATAAAACACAAGAAGAATTACCAAATATAATGACACGCTCCAATGACACCCAGGGGAAGGTCGATGCTACGGAAGTAGACAACGCTGTTCCTCGCTGGCTACAAGACATCAACTACCAATTTACCGGTGACCTCCATTCAGGTAAGTGTAGCCCTCTCTTGAATTACTTGTCTAAAAGTAGTGTAGACTATACGGTGATAAACAACCCGCGAGCATTCTTCAAAAAAGGGAAAGTCTTCATGGTACCCTGGCCTGAGCTGAGCGGTAATCTCGTCAAGGGCCAAGCAGGACCACCGGTGATGGTAAAAATCCGAAGGTTGGTTGTCATCAGGCCCAAAGCGACGTTCTGTCTTTGCCTTCCCATACACACCTACTCGGGACAGGCGACCAGCAAGCCTGGTGTTGCCGCACAAGATCATGCGCCAGTGGTGTCTGAAGGCGGCGAAGTCATTTACCACGAAAACGAAGCAAAGCTCACAAAGTCACCTATGTACATCAAGGTCGAAAAGTCGTCAACAGGGCCAGTTTCTCCGATGTCGAGGCTGAACTTTGCGAAAGTCTACACGGTGGAGTATAACGTCAAAGTTAGACCGATTGGCAGGCTCATACCAGACTCTGTTTGGCGTATGGAAGAGTACTTCATGGAATGTCTAACACCCAACACGACCTGAGATTTCTCAAGAATGGTCTGCTTCACCCCTGCTTCTTGGAGCCCGGGTTGGAGGAAAACGGTAGTGACAGATGCATTCAGGTTATTATAGTACTGAGTGACTGGTGGCGATATGCAGCCAAGCACTGGATGATAAGCGAATCAGCAGTCTGAAGGACGCATGATGCATGCATGATGCACTCACGGCCAGGCAATCTGAAGTGCGAGTAAGCCAGTAAGCCTTTGCCCACGGAGCCACGTCTTGCGACGTGCGCCCTGCGCACATCACAGCCACCATGCTCCAATCGATCGGCTATAAATCATCTACCTGCCACCAAGCTTTCTTGTTCCAGATTTTGTACTATGGTCGAGTTCATCGGAGCTGCCGCTGCGATCCCGCAGCTTGCGAAATACAGCTTCAGCGCCGTCAATGCTGTACCAGACTTCGCACGACGAGTGCGCAAGGCTCCCGCTACCCAAGGCCGGTTGATCGACCAGGCAACGCTGCTTACCAACGCGTCACTAGAAACTTGTAAACCACTCAATAACAATGTTATTCCTTCACCAATCATGAATCGTCTCACTGAAGACCTGAACAGTGTCCAATCAGTACTGCACAAAACCACGATACACACCGATGATGGGAAGATAGCCAAGATATGGAAGAACATCAGGGTCGTAAGAAAAGAGAATGAATTGAACAAAGAGATGCTAGCTATAAGTCAGCGTATCATCTTGTGTACTCACCTAGCCACGTTAAGTGCTTGCTCACTTCGATTAATGGAAGCCATGCTGACAGCACCAGGCTGAATCAAGTGAACAGCATGTCGACTGTTCATGGTCCGTCGTCCTCAGCTTCGACCAATACGTTCGTATCACATAATGTACGCGGTTTGGAATTTCAATTTTGGCCAAGGTTGTTGTCGCGGTCGACAAAGTAGCGCGTTTTTGTGTCATGCTTGACAGCTAATCATGAACAACGTCTAGATCCAGTCAACGGCCACTGCACCACCGAGACTTCTCAATCAGCTCCTCACCTCCACCACGCGAAATACGACCTTCATCGGACATGCAGATCTACTGCATAAGCTCTTGACGAAGCTCAAAGGGACAGCGCAATCTCTGACCGCAATATATGGCCTAGGAGGGCTTGGGTGTGTCAATTCTTCCTATAGTAGCTATGGTAGATATCCCCGCTAATTCCTCTTCAGGAAGTCAGAACTGGCGATTGAGATGGTGTCCTGTATCCATGAAGACACATCCGACCTCTCTACCTTCTGGCTTGATGCTACTACCATTGATACCTTGACTACAGGGCTTTGCGCGATCGATGGGCTCACGGATATCGCCAACAATACGTCAGAAGCTCCAACAGCGGCTGTGATACAATGGATAAGATCGCCCGTCTTATCTAAACGTCTTTTCATCATTGACAACGTTGATGAAGGCTCAGCCTCCAACACGATTCTAGAAACCTTGTTGCAACCCAGACGCGATCATCACATTCTCTTTATTACCCGTAGTCGCCGGATCGCCTTGCGTTATGCGTACCCGACTGATATCATCGATATGCCTACCATGTCCGAAGGCGATGCGCAGCAGTTGTTGCTTTCGTACATCGGAGCAGGTGCTTGGGACGAAGAATCCATCACGAGTTTAGTGGAAAAACTCGAGTATCATCCGCTAGCAATCAAAAGCGCTGGGATATACATAGCATCTACCGGTACTCGGCTAACAAGATTTCTCACGCTCTTGGAACAAGATGCGTCGTTCCTGACTGCGCTACTCGACGGAACAGCGGTTCCTCCGCATCACACAGCGGTACGTCAAGGAGATCATGATCGCATATATACATTCAAGTCCCTTGTAACATGCAACGAGGATATCCCTGCAACACTCTTCGTCCTTTCCAGCTTGGATTGTTCAGACCTGCCAGACGAGTTCATTCTATCTCTTGCGAACACGGACTCAAGAAGAGAAGCGATAGACATCCTCAAAGCATATTCACTTCTCAAGCCCATCACGCGAACCACAAGATGGAAGATGCCAGAGCTCGTGAAGTATACTGCGAGAGGTCAGCTGCTTTCCAGCCCCAACCGTGCTCGATTTCTGGCAGCCGCTCTCCAATTCGTTGCTCAGCTTGAAGCACTGCGGATGGAAGCAAAAAGTTTCATTCGAAAAAGACATGCTCACATAGCCTCAGTGTTACATGCTGTCGTCACACTCGCTCCTGAACGAGAGTTCTCGCCAGGCATAATTAAGCTCGCCTTTCAACTGTCAACAATATTGTGCCAACTTCTGGTTAACCAAGGAAAGCCATACGAAGCAATCGCTGTGTCCTCTCGATTCATCTCCTGGGCTTCAATCAGTGTGCAAAAGCTTGTCACTGCTTCCGACAGACTTCGCAGCAAGATCGGCATTGCTTATTATGGAAGCGGGGAGTTTACGACTGCGGAAAGTATTACGAGAGAGGTGCTCCGATCGCAGATCTACACTATCGGAGAAGATCACCTGGAAACTCTTCATAGCCTCAACAATGTTGGCTTGTATCAATGGGAGCAAGGTCGGTTCTCTTTAGCGGAGCGTTATCATCGCAAAGTGCTGGAGCTGAAGCGTATTGTATGCGAACCGTGTGACCTAGAAATCTTCTTCACTTTCAATAATCTTGCGCTATCACTGGAAAGCCAAGGAAACTTTGAAGAAGCGGAGATCTATTTTGTCCAGGCGTTGCGCGGACGACAAGCAAAGCTTTCAGATTCACATCCCGACGTCCTCGTCAGTAAGATCAATCTCGGTGTCCTCAGGGGGCTACAAGGTCGGTCTAAACAAGCTCGGCGGCTACATGAGGCTGCATTGAAAGGTCGAGAAGCTGCCCTGGGCTCGACACACCCAGATACATTGAAGAGCAAAGGTAATCTAGCACTGGCGCTCCAGGAACAAGGTCTATACGATCAATCAGTCCAGCTCCTTCACGACATCTGCCAAACATACAAAACAGAACTGGGCCCGTCACATCCGCAGGCCATCAAGTCTCTTCGCAACCTTGCCTGCGTTCTACACCGGCAATCCAAATTTGTAGAAGCAGAAGCGCTGATACGAGAAGTTCTCGGTATATTGGAAGAGAAGCATGGCAAGGGTCATTCGGAAACGTTCAAGACGGTAAAATACCTGGCTACGCTCTTGCATTGGCAAGAAAGACTCGAGGAGGCGTTCGAGATGATGGCGTTGCTGTATAATATGCAGAAAGCGAGGTTGCATGAGAACCATGCAGACACTATGGACAGTCGGAGGTACCTGGCGGAGTTGGAAGCAGAGCTACTGGCCAGTGGACAAGAATCCCTCATAGTAATCTCTTGCATGTTGTAGGTGTGAATGTAAGCTATATACAAGTCTCATAGCGAAATGCGTGGTATCGCGACGTTCGCAGTCGGTCTCTCACATTCGGGTTTTCCATCTTTTCGGCGCTGAGCTAGTTCAACATCAAGGATTATAGGTGCAAGCACATAAAAGCACGTGAATGTGACGATCAAAGCAAGTGAGCCTAAGCAAGTGACGTATATCTTCATCCTCTCTGCAAGGATAATTCATAGATTTGTGCCCCTCTTTCCAAGCAACCATTCAAGATGAACGAGTGTCCATTTATGCAAGTAACCAACAGCAAGAGCATCCCCCTCTCCTTTACAACTTCCAATTCAAACGAGTGTCCATCTACCAAACAGTATTCGTCTTGCGGCCAGGGTCGTGTACTGGGTGCGGAACGTGGGTTAGGTGGAGAAGAGGAAGTGGCTGTATGCGACGATTAATAATTTGCCACTGTCGTCTATGATTGTTAGCTAAGCATGTGAATTAAGATACCAAGAAGGGGTCCTGTAGTTATTAGCGCATGCTTGGATGAGCCCATTCATCACTAGTTTACCTCCGCACCTGGATCCAACCTGTTGTGAAACTAGCTTTGATGTGGCCCAGTCGGATATGGGTTAGGTGCAGGGCGCGGGGGTGGTTTGTTGGGTCTCTTGATACTGCTTTGGTGTGACCCTGTTGGATACGGATTAGGTGCAGGACGTGGTGGCGGCTTGTTATCTCGTCTCTGGTGGCACAATCCACCAGCCTCGAAGGTTCGAGCACTCTCGAGGCTGGTGAGCGCGGATTTTGACTTCGAGATACAACTATGATGTGGTCCAATTGGAAACGGTTTTGGCGCTGAACGTGGCGGACGGGCGCTCGGGAGGTTAGTAGCAAACCCCAACGTACCAGTTGTGCATCGAAGAACCTGTGAGTGAGAAAAAGCGTACGCAACGTTGATGAACAAAGGAGATTGCACTTGCAAAGTGCTTGCGTCAAAACGTTTGAGGAAGTTAGCGATTGTAGGGAGACTGATGCAAAGGACGACCGTGTGGTCAGGTCCTTCGTTGCTTGCGAGCAGCTTTTGGTGGCAGCTGTGACCGTGAGTGTCCGTCGTAAGAACGGGAGCGTCAATAACGTTGATAAAGAAAAGTAAGAGTCGGCTCACCTCCCCAAGAACAGCAGTCAACGTGGGATGAAAGCCTTTCTTGAGAAGGTAAGAGAACCGACTCTCAACAGTAGCGCTTGTAGCAGACCTGTCGTTGTCCGCATGTCCGTGATGCACTGCGTCGCGCGTGTGCTGTGTCGTTGGTGGTTGCAAGCATCGCATCAGGGATGGACTCCAGGGCGCTGACGCTTGCCCTGGCGGATCAGCGTCATCCTCGCCTGTCGCCAGGCGCGCAGCCTAACGATCGTCAACGAACGGCGATGGAGATATGCTCTACTACAGAGAACATCACACCGGTATCCTTACCAAAGATGGACGAGCCATGCGATGAGTGGGCACACTTTTCAGTATGTGTCTGTTATGGATAGGTCGTGAGAGAGAGATGGTTGGGCGACGTTGGGCGGATACACTGTGTTGCAGCCCGATGTGTAATGCGACGCAACTGATGAACCGGTCAGTGCCTTGGGAAAGGTGGTGCAGGTGTGCAAAATTTACTTGAGTTCAGACCCAAGACGAAAAGCATAAAGTATCGTGGTGGTCGTGGTTGATGAAGGGAGGATGCATTGACCGTAGGCAACAGCGAACAGCGTCCCATAAGTAGTTTGGTGGGGGCTTAGTCATCTAACCGCCAACTTCTCGTCCCGTCTTCAGCCTCAGGATTGTGGAGCCATACCCTGCTACCATATCCTCCCATCTCATGGCATCGCGATGATTCCTGGACGAAGAACCGCTATCAACTGTCGGGTTACTACTGTCAATACCGTTCGCTAAAGTCGTCCATGCAGATGACGCACGCCACCGACTGAGGGTTCTTCATGCTAGCGTCTATTCGACCGTAGACGATACCGAGCGCGATGTCTCAACGCTCACTAGAATGGGATCCACAGTATCAGCGATGGCTTCATACTGAATGGGACGCACCGAGCCAACAATACTACCGGCTGCATTATGTTGGTAAGCTTCCTTCGACCACAAAGGCTACCTGTGAAACTCATCACCTGACTAGACGGGGATTGGAAATTCTTCGATTGGATACCACCAGAACCCCAGCCAAGGCACGACTCGTTCCAGATTCCAAAACCATCTCGGAGTGGTGCTGTCATTCAAGGGAGCTACAATCCCTCGAATGTTCTACAAAGCCCTCATTACGAGTTGCTTGATCCCTGTAGGCCTTGCTAAACTCTCCCAGAATATAGTACGTAGCATTACTAATTTGCGGCATAGCGTTTCATGTCCGTGATATTACATTCTTCGAGGTCGGCAAGGTGGGCTTGACTGGAGGCTTGGAACTGAACGAAACTGACCTTTGACAGGTTTTTGCTATACTTTTTACTGAGCCTGCGGGGGCTAACGCGCGAGCTATGCAATACAATGACAGCGTAACCTTGGTCAAGTACAACGAACATGCATATACGCAAATTAGGAGATTCGTAGTTGTAAAGCAAAGGAGAGAATTCTGTTTCGCCTGGTAAGCACAAGCTCCTACGCGTGGTAATAATTACTAACATATACGAGCCCAATCTTCACTTATGGTAACCAGGGCACGAAGAAGTCTGGTGTTGTTCCCGATGAGCACGCAATTGCATATAGTTATGGATTTCAACCACAGCTATTGCGTGATGAAACCCCCTTAAGTAAAGATCCGATATGCATAGTAATGGATGCTGGCGAGCGTCCTCTTCCTGCGGCGAGTCGCATCTATTTTGCGATCCATCATCCAATCCAGTATAACGTCAAGGTCAAATCCCTTGGCTATGTTCACCCAGATGATCTGCCAATGCTTTTGGCTTACTGGAGAATGGAACTTGGGGAGAAGTCAGATTTCACTCCTTCTGTAGCTTCCACCCCCTCAGTACAAGCAGGTGGATCTGGTCAGTCAACCATCTGCGATATCCTGCAACGCTAACAGCTACAGGTTTTGAGGAAGTTCGAAATCCCCACATGTTCTTCAAACCTGCCAGAGTCTTCATGACACCATGGACGGAACCCGAAGGATTCTCTGGGCAGATGTTTACTGAGACAGCCAGGTTTGTCGTGGTCAAGTCTGGCCCCACATTCTCTGTATGTCTTCGTATCAGTACCTACTCAGGTCAAGCTACGTCGAAACCGGGTGTTATTGCGAGCCACCATGCAGCCGTTATACCCCAAGGCGGAACTGTCACCTATCACCCACACGAGGAAGAACTTGTTAATCCTCCTATTGAGATCAAAGTCGAAAATGACGATGTTGACATTGATCCAATGGCTCGCATCAACTTCGCAAAGCCGTACACTGTTGAGCACAACATCTGGGTGCGTAACGTTGGTAGGGTAGTTGGGGATCACGTGGTCCGACGGCTCGAGATGTACCTTGCGACGAACTTGGGATTCACAAAGTCTTGACAATCTCACCGGAGAACGCACACGTGTCGACCACCACACATCAGCTAAATGGGAATATTTACGCATGACTGGCACAGTATCCCTATCGCCGACCGCCAAGAGATCCATATGCAGCCTTGCTGCACCTCTTACTCTATGACGTGCGCAACGAAATCTGATTCGTTATACGCATGCCGCTGTAATGCTTCAGCCAGCTCAGCACAGTCTGCCTCGTTGCCCGACTTCGTTATACCTTAAGATGATCTTCGCCTCCCGTCTTCGGTGTTGGTCCAGAGATTCAACTACGAATATCGGTCTTCTACAATGGCAGAGCTGCTGGCTATCCTTGGTGGTGCGGCTGCCTTTACACAGTTGCTCCACTACGGATGCGCATCTATTGGTACTACTTCAGCCTTTTTTTGTAGTATACGCCATGCGGCAGATGAAATCGATACCTGGATGCACCATTCTTCCTTAATGATCAAGATCCTTGACGACATTGAAAACGCACTCGTTAATCATGGCTCCAACGCGATACAAATGCTGGACCGTTGTCGCATGGACGTAGCAAAGCTACAGTCATTGCTACGGCAATTTCGAAGAAGCGAACCTGCGAGACGGCGAACCAAGATATCGGAAAGCTTGTTCGTGGTGCTAAGAAAAGAAGAAATCGAGCATATTATGTCGTCATTTCAGAATAACTTCGGTATCCTTACCTCGTACTGTACAGTGTAAGTTTGTTCTATACATTTGTCGGAGCTTCGGGTCTGACAAGCTCTGCGCAGGGTAGCTGTTAGCCAAGGAGAGTTCAATCCGAAGATGAACATACAACCGGAACCTCAGGTTCCAAGGAGCTGTCATCAGGACATGAGATCTGTGATATACACACTCAACGTTGCATTCGGCGCGAATTTTACGCGAGTGCAGAAACTTCATCGTGGTCATGCGCTCAACGTACATGTCTCTACAATACTGGATACGACGATGCAGTACCCGGCTGACGAAGACGTATGTATGGAGGCCGCAGCTCTGGCAGTACGTCTTTGCATGTATCTCTTAACCACAGGGCAATACCTACGCGTCTTGAATGTCCTCGCCATATTCAAGACATGGTCCGCTACCATACTGCCGGCTTGCTTCGAGGCCATGACTGCTTTGTCTGGTAAGGAGGCTGTTGCACATGCGCTGAATGGTAATATTAGCACGGCCTTCCGATCATTCCGCCGCCTTCATCGCTCCCGTACAAAAACTCTTGGCACATCGGATCTCTGTACTTTGCACAGCCTGAACGGGCTAGGGTTGATACATCATGCCATGGGAAATGTTCGTGAGGCAGTACAGCACCACAAAAGCTGCTTCCAGTCGAAAAGTGGGTTACTAGGACCTGAAGACCCCGATACGCTAGTTAGCGCGAACAACCTCGGAATCGCTCTGCTGAGCCAGGGAAACAACGATGCGGCAAAACAACTCTTCGATAAATCCCTCACAAGCTGGTCGCAAGCTTACGGTGCTGACGACCTCTTCGTCATCACGGCAAGAAGCAACCAGGGCATCGCGCTTCATTTCCAGGGCAAACTCGACGAGGCTGAGCACAGCCATCGCTACGTGTACAAAAAACGCCACCGTATCTTAGGCCCACACCATCACGAAACGGTCAAAAGCCAAGCGAATCTTGCTATCACGCTCAATGAACGAGGGCATCATGCAGAAGCAGAGGCACTATATCGTGAAGCTCTCACCATATTCCAGGCAAAACTTGGGGAAATGCATCCAGATACACTGAAAACACATACCAACCTAGCTACTGCCCTTCATGACCAGGGCAAGTTCAGACAAGCGGAAATCGTCGTCGCTTCAGCTGTCCCACTTATGCAAAAGAAGCTTGGGGCGACGCACGTCGAAACCTTGGGGGCTCTAGAATTCCGCGCCATTCTCCTACAACACCTAGGGAAGTTCTTGAAGGCCCATAGTCTTGCCACAGAACTATACGAGGTGCGCGAGAAGAAGCTCGGATTCTATCACGATGACACACAAAGGAGTCTGCAGCATGTGAGAGACTTGGCAGAGGATGTGGAAGAGGCGCATGTCATGCGCAGGTTTCCTTCGGCACTTCCGGTCGCTATTTGCTAGGCATACTTGTTCTCATTCGAGGGACTCATCTTGACTATCTCATCGTTATCCCTTAATTACAGCTGTCTAATCTGTTCTTACGTCGTCATTAGCGTGTTACAATTTGAAGCTACTATGAACCAACTTCTCGCTCAATGTCCACAGCTGCTCGGATAGTTTTGCGTCGGTCGCGTATGGCATAGCATCGCACATTTGACAGTCATGCAGTAAAACACCCTTCGACTCTGATATTGTGTTAGCACGCGCATCGCCCGACTAAGAACGTACTTACCATCCAAAGCAGGGTCTAGCGCCGCGACCAGTACCGTCGCAGCCCCTTGATCGTGGTTCTTCCAAAACGGACTCGTCTTTCTAATCGCAGCTTCACCATCTGCATCCAAGTCGCGACTGAGACCAGTCCAGATGGCTATACCGTCAGCAAGCTCCCTCGTGAACGACCAAACAGTCTTGTCGCAGCGGAGTACTTACATCCAGGATGAACAGCATAGCTCTTCACACCCTGATTTCCAAACTTCTCATTCATACCCACGGAGAACAAGATATTCGCCGTCTTCGCCTGTCCGTACGCGACATACCCGTTGTACCCATCGCTTGCCGTCTTTGAAAACGCCGGAGGTAATGGCACATGTCTTTCTGCCTCAGGCACCTCCTCATTGCTCTTCTCCAGATTGTAATCGGAAAAGCGCATTGGGCTGAGTCGGTGGCCCAGGGAAGTGAGGTTGATGACGCGTGTTGCACCCTCCTTTGAAGACGATACCGAAGCCAAAAGTTGAGACATGAGCAGATTGGTGAGCAAGAAGTGGCCAATGTGGTTTGCGCCAAATTGTCCCTCGATGCCCTCTTTGGTCGTTTGGCGCGTTGGTGTCATGATACCTGCGTTGTTGATAATCAGATCCAGGCGGCCTGTCAACTGCGAGACCTCCTTCGCGGCGGCTCTGACAGATTCTTGGGACATCAAATCGAGGAGAACAATTTTGACTGCGACGTCTGGATAGGTATTCTGGACGTTCTTAAGTACTTGTTCTAGTTTGGACTTGGTGCGCGAGGCGAGGATCACGAGCTTTGGGTTCTGGGAAGCGATGGAGAGGGCTATGGAAGAACCAATGCTTTCGGGTGATACACCGGTGATGAGTACTATTGTTCTATCAACTCCGCGTCTCGTGAGTGTGACGGTACCAGGCTTCTTACCACTCTTCCCTCGAATCTGGTCAGCGAACGCCTTCGCGACTTCGAGGCCACCCGTCTCCTGGTTCCATTCTGGATGTGTCAAGGTCGACATGGTGGCATATGGTACCTTCACAATGTCCAGCAGATCCATCGACATCAATTTTGATATATGATACCTTCTGTAGGCTTATAGATTTGGAACGATATCAACAGGGCTACATCATGCCCGCCCCACCATGTCTTTCTCCCTCGTAATTCGCAGGTCGGTTCGCGTCACCCCTTGACAGAGGGCCCAAGCTTCATCACAGCTACTTTTGTCTTCTGGCATCAGGATGCATGCCAACTTCAGACTCACATCAGCGTCTACTGCATCACACTCTCAGAACGGGGTCCATCCGGAAATGGCAAGGCGCAGTTGTAATGGAGGCTGCGGGGTACAGTGCGGGGAGGTTTAACACGATGTGGGGCAGGGACATGCTTCCCTTCACAACCCCAATAACCTCGCGTCACGCGTCGACACTCTTTACCCGGCAGATACGTCGATCCACTCTCCAATGATACGAATCCACGCCAAGGAGAAGACATGCCGCGAGAAGCGTCCAACGTCTGCAAGCCCATGGCGCCACGACCCACGCCTGCACCCTCGGCCATCGGTATCATCTCGCCTGGATGAAGTAGCTGAGGCTATGGGTACACTACCATATCGTCGGTAGATGCAGGCTGGCCAAGCCCCACGCTGCGCGAACGGATACCCGGTCGACGCGTTCAGACACCTCGAGCCTTTTCTCGCAACCAAGCGCGTTGTGTCACTCCTGTTCTGGTCGTGACGCTCTATCAAAGTCGCGTATGCCACTCCGTGCGAGAATCGACGACACCAAACTACCCAGCATGTCTTCTCTAGAGACCAATGGCAACGGCCCTGTTGCCAATGGCGCGAAGCCAAAGACTGGCATCAAAGTCATCATCATCGGCGCAGGTACATCTCCCACAACCTACTACGTACAACCCCTAACAACCACGACCAGGTTTCGGCGGCCTCACAGCAGCCATAGAATGCATCCGCCACGGCCACACCCCCGTCATCTACGAATCCTTCCCCTCGCTCAAGATCCTCGGCGACATCATAACCTTTGGCCCCAACGCCGGTCGCATCTTCGCGCGCTGGAGCGACGGACGCGTCGCACGCGACATGCGCAGCATCTCCATCGACCTTACCGAATACGGTTTCAACATCCACAAATGGGACACCGGCGAGATAGTCATAAACCAGAAGACACCGCCACGCGACGAAAAGGCGCCAAACTTCAACGGACACCGCGGCGAGCTGCACGAGATTGTGTTTAATTACGCAAAGGAGATTGGGGTGGAGATCAATCTGGGGCAGAGGGTAGAGAAGTACTGGGAGGATGAAAAGGAAGCGGGTATTGTGCTGGAGGATGGGACGAGGGTCGCTGGTGATCTTGTGGTTGCGAGTGATGGTGTCAGGAGCAAGGCCAGAACACTGGTGCTGGGATACGAAGACAAGCCGAAGAGCAGTGGGTATGCCGTCTGGCGAGCATGGTTCAGCAACAAGGACATGATGGCAGACCCGGAAACCAAGCAATTCTGCGACAACGGAGACACCTTCAACGGCTGGATCGGTACACCTCTCTTCCCCTCCTCTCGAACCCTAATCTCATACTAACAACCATCCTAGGCCCAGACGTCCACTTCCTCTTCAGCACCATCAAGAACGGCACAGACTGCTGCTGGGTGCTCACCCACCGCGACTCGCACGACATTGACGAATCCTGGTCCTTCCCCGGCTACCTCAAAGACGTCAAAACCGTGCTCCAAGGCTGGGACCCCATGTGTTGGAAAATCGTATCCAAGACGCCCGAAGAGAAACTCGTAGATTGGAAACTCGTGTACCGGGACCCACTACCCAACTGGGTCAGCGGCTACGGCTCCGCACCAGGCCACGGCCGAATCTGCCTGCTAGGCGACGCCGCACACCCTTTCCTACCTACGAGTGCGCAAGGTGCGACGCAGGCGCTGGAAGATGGCGTGACGCTTGCCGTGTTGCTGCGGAAGGCTGGTAAGGAGAATGTTAAAGGTGCGCTGAGGGCGTATCAGGATATACGGTACGACCGTGTCAAGGCGGTGCAGAAGACGGGCGAGACGACGAGGGATATGTGGCATAAGACGGATTGGGAGAAGGTGAAGAAGGATCCTACGCTCATTCAGTTTCCGAGGGAGGATTGGGTGTTTCAGCATGATGCGGAGAAGCATGCTGAGGAGATGGGGGATGAGGCGATAAAGAAGTGTGGTGTTGGTGCGTAGATGGACGGCATTTGAGTATCGTATTTTCGCCGATTTTGGTTGGGTTTGCTAGGTGTGGTGTGTGGGAAGGATGGCGAGAACGCCGGTACATGATGAGAGGCTTAAACAGAGGAGTAGCATTCAAACGATAAACAGTCAAAGTACACATCTTGCAATTCCATGTGCTCAGCTATCATTTCCTCAAGCTGTGACTCTAGTCACCGTGACATAAAATCTCTCACACCTTCATGACAATCTCCTTCCCAGCTCATGCGCCCTTCTCCCCTACATCAACAACCTCCTGGTGTACAACCTGATCTTTCTCGCTACCATCCTTCTCGCTATTCCTTCTCTCACTACCAAGCTTGTCATTCCCATCACCAGCCAACACCCTCCCGGTGCAAACGTACTTTCTGAACTTGCGCGCAGGGAGCCTAGCTTCAAACATCTCGTCGATTTCCTCAAGCGTGCGGTTCTTGATCTCGGGGAGGTAAAAGTAGACCCAGATGACAGTTATGAAACAAGACGGGCCCCAGATCCAGCCTGCAAAGAAAAGCATGTCAGTAAGCTTCGTTGTAAATGTGGAGGTTATGTGTGAGAGGGGGAAATCGCTGAACGTACCGTACTCGGGTCCCCAGTTTAGCGACTCGGGATTGATAAAGTAGGGAGCTGTAAAAGTGGCAAGCCAGGCACCTGCGAAGCCAACAGCAGATGCGATTCCAAAAGTGTAGGAACGGAGACGCTGCGATGGGATTTCTCCGCCGGTGAGCCAAGCGTAGGCGGCGATCATGCCGTTGTAGCCTACGATGTACACGACTGAAAGACCAACGATGACCTTGTGCAAAAGTCAGTGAAGGAACCTAGATTGATGCTTGGAGAGAAAAAACAGACGACTCTTACTTTTCCCGTGCCGGTAGTCCCAGGATGGACATGGTATACAGCCGCAATGATTAGCTGCGTAACGCCACAGATGGAAAGACCAGTCATGAGAAAAACGCGTCGACGGCCGATTTTGGAGATGACGCTGCTGTTCACCATGATGACGAGGACACCCACCGAGGTCAAAATGCACGAGTTCATAAAAGGACTTCCGACATTGGCCATCTACATCCTGTCAGTCATCACCAGGTCAAAGAACAATGAAGCGCGGGTTACTGACCTGGAAGAAGTACGTTCCGTACGCAATCATAAACATGGCACCAGATGCGGCCTGCGTCGATACCGCCGCAATAGCCAACAACGTGCGTCGCCGATCTACAGGATCTTTCCAGATATCGAGGAAATTCGCGCTTGACTTGACGGCTTTTTCCGCGTCAATGGCAGCTTGGATCTCTGCTACTTCTCCGGGTACGCTTTCGGGATGAGGACGCATCCAGAGTAGTGCCTTCTCTGCCTGTGCTGGTCTGTCCACCAGGATGAGCCAACGCGGCGACTCGGGGATGAAAAACATGCCAATGGACATGAAGAACGGGACGATGAAGATGGTGCCAAGCGGAATGATGTACGAGTTACGACCCTGCATGTTGTGTGTCGCGTTGTCGATGACGGTCCCGATGAGTGTGCCAACCGAGGTCCATATCTGGAAGACGGAGATCATGAGACCGCGGTAGCGCGCCGGTGCAGATTCCTGTTATCCCTTTTTCGTCAGCGAAAGTGTGGAAAAGAAGGTGGGAGAGAGAGAGAAACCAAAGATAAGGAAACGAACCTGGATATACAACTGCGAAAACGTCATGTACCATCCATTCGCGATACCAATCAGCAGTCTCCCTGCGTACAAACCCCCCATACTCGTCGTAGTCATCATGACGATATTCGCAACGCAGCAGAGCACACTGGCCATCCAAAGACACTGTCTCCTCCCCAGTCTCGTTGCCAAGACACCGGCGAACGAGGAGCTGAGGAAAGCACCCAGCGTCATCAACGAGGAGATGAGCTGTTGGCGCTCTGTAGAAATGTTGTAGCCGGTTGGTACGGTGGGGTCTGGGTGGCCGAAGACTTCAAGAAAGCCGCGCATGGCTTGTAGACCGCCGATGGCGCCAAAGTCGATGCCGTATTGGAAGGGGGACATGGAGACGAGAGTACATGCTGCTAGACATTTCCAGTTGGAGAGGAGGCTGGAGGTTAGGTCGGGCATGGTAGCTGTTGTTGACGGTTCGATATAAGCAAGAACGCGATGCAAGTAGTGGTTGTTGTTTTTGCAATGCTAAATCGGGGGGATAGGTGATATCAAGCAAAGGCTGGATTTTGGGTGTTGGCTCCACCTCCCAGAGATTGGAGATTCTGCTTTCTTGCTTCACGGTTGCATGTGCACTTCATCCCAGACTGATATGCAGATCGTTATCCATGTGTCGACCCCCTTGTCGCAATATCTGCCGATAGTGCCTCCAAATGCTTAGCCTGTCGTACCCCGGACTTGAACATGAGTCTAAAGTGTGGAGTGCGGAGGTGGCGTTTCGACTAACGACGCTTCGAGCCATTGTCGGGTAATGAAAGCTTGTGCTTTTCGTTTTCAAGTCGCGCATTAGGCTTTTGTCACGATGCCAGGTAAATGTTGAGTGGGGGTGGAGAGGAGACCAGTAGTTTTCCTACCATTGTACTGCTGCCGGCCAAAACTATCGTTGGTTCTTGTTACTCACCATCAGCATGATGTATACCTTGGTTTGGCGATCGCTCAGATAACGCAATGGACTTGAAGGTGTAGTAGGTGCAGTCGAAAGCATATCCTAGCTGTGAGCATGCCATACAATACCACCTATGGTTCCATAATCAACAAACGGAGGGTTATAAGACGGCAATACCGCGTGGTCGGATTGATAATGCCGTGCGACATTGATCTTGTTCTTCCCCGTGCAGTAGGGCAAGGATCTGCATTTGCCGACTTTCGCAGTTATGCACAACGGAGTCAACGGATTGTACTCGCACCGGATTGGAGTCAGATGAGAAAGGCGTGGCGTAAGTCTAGATGGTTAGTAGCAGTCCATCGCAAGCGGACGATGTGGAGAATGATGGAGAGTCAGGAAGCGGATGGTACGAGTTCACGCCTGAGGCGGTGGGGCGCGCTTGTGTCCCTGGGATCCGACTTAGTGATGGCCTCTTTGAGCACGCCTGTGCTTATCCGTCAAACACCATCACATTACCCACGAAAACAAAAAAACAGCACGTTGCTCTGCAACTAGAATGTGTACATTAATTCTCAGGAGACCGGTCTAAAAGTCCTCCGCCCGAAGAGATTCTCCGTCCAGCCACTTCTTGCACTGGAAATACAGCTTATCGTGCGCCTCACGAGAAGGTGTCCCCGCATCTTCACGGCGATGTCCTGGCATGCCGTGGAGGACTTTGATACCCTCCATCGTCTCCTCCTGACCGTAAGCAAGCATTTTATAGCCGGGCGAATAAGTCGCCAATCTTGCTTCATCCAAAACGGGGACCTTATTCGGATTCACCGGGATCATCTTGTCCTTTTCGTACCAATGCCGTACAAGCCTAGCCTTCCATTCGCCAGCGTCGTTTCTCTCCCACAGGTAGCAGAAGCGACAGTCACACTCCACATCGACTTCGCAACCGTCGATGGTGAAGCGCTGGGTGATAGTAGACTTGAGCTTCGTTACAGCCCGAGTACCGTCGGGTCGAATGTCAGTACTGGCTCCGACACATCTATGCATGATGAAGGCGCCTTTATCCATGCCTGCTTTGGAGATTTCGAAGAACTTCTTGTAATGCACGCGGCCGCTCCATGTAGTGTAGATATGTGCGTCGTCGTGAAATATAGAATCGAAGTTCTCCCATTCGCATGCATCGCGGTACATGGGCCATCCTTCAGCCATCTCGCGTAATTTCCAGCGCTGCAATGCCAAATCGTCGGGCCCATTGTTTCGGACGGCTTCGACGGGTCGAGAGCCGTTCGGCAAGGTGTGGCGATCAACTGAAGACATGATCGTGTGGTACGAATTGAGGTTGCTGCGGATATGAGGTTCTGGTGAAGTCATCCAGGAGAACGGGCAGCTTCGGATGTTCAAGGGTTTATAAGGACTTGGCCGGAGATCATCTAAGATCCCGTTACTACGTTCTACATACTGCGCCGACGATCTGACGCGTGATAGCAGCATTTCTGTAGAGTTCGGAACGCGAGCTGGCCAGTTGTTTGTTACCGATCGGCTCGGAAGTCAGTTCGGCTCAACCATCGGCTCGAACTGGAAATTGACACAACCACTGCCGGCGGCTAGGGATCGAAACTGATCTAGCCATCGACCCGACCCGTTGATGCTGTTATCGAGTTGAAGTCATCGTCCGTAAAACCCAACGATCGTGCGGTCGTAGCCGCTATATATTCTCCTAAACATCATATGGACCTCACTATAAATTCGTTAGTTGTGTGCCACTGTCATAGCATCGAAGACTTTGGTTCCTCTCAAGATGTTGGCTACTTGCGCTGTTTTTGTCGCTTCGTTGATTTGTTACCTATTGGCACAAAGATTCCAGAAAGGTCTTAGCAAATATCCTGGGCCTTTTTTGGCGTCATTAACGAACATATGGCGTGCGATGGATGTATACAAGCGAGACACACATGTTACATATCGCAAGTTACATGCGAAATATGGCGACGTCGTCCGAGTTGGACCGAACGTCTTGTCGTTCGGCAAGCCATCTGCTATCCAAGACATATACGGACTGAATAAAGGATTTACGAAGGTCAGTTTTGACGGCACCAGTAGCCCAGTTAGATGGAACTGATCAGCGCCAGAGTGAATATTACGACGTCTTTGCTGTCCTGAAAAAAGGCAGCATTGTCTATAACCTGTGAGCTCGAATACGACCCATTCTTGGGGTGTTAGATGCTTACATACGCCATTTTCAGGTTCTCGACAAGGTCAGAAACTTATCATGCTCGCCTGAGACGCTCTGTCAACCATGCGTTCGCTTTATCAACACTGCTGGATTTCGAACCGCTGGTGAACAGCTGTTCATCTTATTGGCTAAAGCGTACAGAAGAGCTTTACGTCAAAGGACAGGATATCTGTCCGTTATCAACCTGGATTCAGTACTTCGCATTCGACGTTATTGGGGAGATCACTTGGTCCAAGCGACTTGGTTTCGTCCAAGAGAACAAAGACGTCGCAGACATCATCGCTACGGTGGATTCATTCCAAGACTATGGCACTGTAGTAGGCCAAAATCCCTGGTGGGATCGTGTCCTTGTCAAAAACCCAATCAAACTATTCCTCGAGAGTATAGGTCTCTGGCCAATTAGCCCTAACGCGGCGATTATCAAGTTTGCTTTGGCAAGGCAAGACGAGGTATCGGCTAATCAAACACAATATACAGCAGGGAAACCTCCCAGCGAGATGGGTATCACCTTTCTCCAACGATTCTTGCAATCACAGGATAAGAACCCGGAGTTTCTGACTGATGATCGAATCACCGCTATGTGCGCATCCTTGATTATTGCTGGCTCTGACAGCACTTCCATCAGCTTGTCTGGCGTCTTCTACTACCTCTTGAAGAATCCACGCGTATACAGGAGATTAATGGAGGAGATCGATGACGCACACCATTCAGGTGCTTTTGCATCACCCCAAGATAGTACTGGTGCGGCAGATGTTATTCCTTTCTCCGCTGCCAAGAAGCTCGTCTACCTCGACGCTGTCATTACTGAGTCTTTCCGAATGCACCCAGCCGTTGGCTTGCTTCTCGAACGTATCACGCCGCCACAGGGTGCCACTATAGATGGGCATCATGTGCCTGGAGGAGTCGTGGTTGGCTGTAATGCATGGGTTCTGCATCAGGACAAGGAGACCTTCGGCGAAGACGCGAATATTTTTCGACCCGAACGATGGCTTGAGGGTGAAGGTGCCGATGCTGCACAGATCGCGAAGATGAAATCCAGTATGTTTCATTTCGGAGCAGGATCAAGAACATGCATAGGAAGAAACATCAGCCTCTTGGAAACATACAAGATCGTTCCCACCTTCCTGAGAAAGTTTGAGGTAAGCATTGCAAATAAATTATCTCGGAGCTTCACTGATACTTTTGCGTATAGATTGAGATTGACGAAAGCCAAGAGCCAATGTATTTGAAGAATGCCTTCTTCGTGCATCGAAAGAACTTCAATGTGCGCATTAAGTTGAGATAGAGAAACTTGAAATAGTGTCATCGCAACGGCATAGACTTGTCGACCGATGAATGTTGTAAGCTTAGCAATAAAATCCGTCTCCCAGCAGAAAGTCAAATTCAGACTGTTCAAAGAAGTCGGTGCTCATACTGAAGTCGTAATGCCTAGGAGCAGAAGTGCAGGGTGCTCCAATCTCAGATGCGGAAGCGCCAGATGTAGGCAGCTCTCTAAGGCCTGATCAATTCGGCGTTAGACAATGTACACTAGAGGTAGCTGCTGTCGAGCTGAACGACTTACAAATTGAGTCTAGCTTTTGGGTGAAGACCTCGAGCGCTTCACGAGCTTTCCGAAACAGTGTACTAGTTCGTTGCAATACTTTCATGTTATCAAGGCATTGTCCCAGTAGCTCTCTGATTCTAGATGTTCGAGTGACAGTCTTCGCTTCAAGTTCAGGGCGGATGTGGAAAAGCAGTGCAAGACAGAAAAGATGCATGGCTAGTATCGAACCTGCTTCTCGTCAATGCTACCGTATCTGATCGCCGCATAACGCCGGTCCTTACAGGCATGATTGGACATCCATCGGACGTTGTTGTGGTTAATGAAATCTTCGCTTTGTGAAATGATGGAAATGATTTGATTCAAGTTCTCGAGCACAACAAGATCGTTCTTGATGGTCGGTACACATTGCTCGAAGAGAGATTGGGCAGCTTCATCTAAGCTGGAGGAGCTGACACTAATGCCCAGCAACCTTTCAATGATCGGTCCATTAAGCATGATCAAAGCGCGGTAGTAATGTACTGTCAGGGATATTCTGAATCGATTCTCATCGATCTGGGATGTAAGGACGGTGCAAACATCTTGCGGTGTGATGAGCCTTAGACGAGGGTCGAGTTGTTGGCGCCATTCTTCGAATCGCTGGTACAATTGCAATCTTAATGCAAGCAAAGACCACGTGCTCAAAGATGAATCCCTCCCAATGTTGTGTTGGTAAATGTCGCTGAGCATGGCCGCGATGATACTGTACAGATCGCTTTGCATCGTTGTTAGTTCAGAATTCGCAAGAATGACCATGGAGCCTCACGTTTGATATTTGTGCTGAAGAAGACGTTCCACTCGATATTCATGCTCGAGTGATGACACGTGGTGAGTCTGTCTCGGGTCTTCTAGTTCAGGCGTACATATGTGCTGTGATGGAATCAGACACGGTCTGCCAAGGCACATAGAAAGCATCCTAAGTTGCTTAGCTTATAGTCGGAGGAAAGCTTATTGGTGATGAGATACCTATCCTGGTTGATCAAACTATACCATAGTCTCTTTCTCAGTTCCGAGTCTGATGGCGAAACTTCCTTGTAACTGGAAGGACAATGCAGACCGAGCTGAAACGCGGCTTTTACCGTCAAGGCATGGTACGTTCCACTGCTGACGGGCATCTGCTGTTGCTGTTGATAGCTTGTCACCAGCAGTAATGCCTGAACTAAGGGACTTATCAATACTTGATGAAGAAACGAAAGAATAATGGCTCACTGAGTTCCAGATTTGCGCCTCGGAGAGTTTCAGGGGTCAGACATTGTATGGTCCGCTGAAAGTACATGTCACACTGAGGGTCTTCAATCGCCAAACACGAATATGCAAACATGATGTTGACAAGTGCTCGCTTCGTTGTCGATCTCGACTTCCGAGACCCAAGGGCCAGTTCCTTGAGAGATGATGTCAAGATCGCTTTACTAACGAAAGGAAAGGCACCTGCGCTGGTTGCTATGAAGCGGTCAAGCATGGAGAATGATTCTGAAATAGCTGGTAATGTTGCCACGGAGTCGTTCCTGGGGCTACTTGTTTGGCGTGCTTCTGATGTGTTGACCTCACTCCAGTCTTCAGTTGTCAGTGATTGGATTCGATCATGCTGTGGCGGCGCACCACGCAAGAAGCGTATGAAGCAACGTGATATCGATCGGAAAAATGCATGGTTCGAAGACAAACCTATGCATATTGTTAGAGAGCTCGTATGGTGAAAGTTCATCACCCACCGAAGTATCCAAACTCAGATGTGTGCCGATCCTGAAAAACCTGTGCTGCGTGAACCTCCTCACTAGCTTCTTGTTCAGAGATGTTACCAGCTGTGTCAGGATCGATATTGCCAGTATCTCTTGCTTCGGTGTGAGCACGTAGTCTATGGATCATATCAGGGCGCTGGGTTACAATGTCCACGGTATCATCAGGAGGGGTCGTTATTGAGTATCCGGTCGTCATATGCAACTGATGTTGCGGTTTTCTGACTTTGTGCATCGCCTGAGCTCGACTGTTGCTGTCAGTTTTCATCCAAGCTGAGCTCTAGACGCATACCCATTTATTCTTCTGGAACCGGCCTTCCGGGATTCTTTCGCATATACACAGTCGATGCCGAGATGCCGACACGTCAAGCAAGCAGGCTGTATACCATCGCACTGATAACGCTATGGGTCAACAAATGATACAAGAATAAACTGGCCTATGAAACGCCAAGGCTCCCGAAGCAATGAATCTTACCTTGGTCTTTCTAGACCTGCAACTTTGACATGCGAGCGATACACGCTTTCCCCTCGTCGGAGCTAGCGCTTGAGGTGATGACAACTCTCCATACAGATTGTTGTTGGCCGTCACAGCCGCTGCTGGCATGACGGTATCTTCAGTGGCCATCTTTTCGGATGCCTTTACAGCATAAGTTCGTTGAGCAAGTTCGGGTAAGATCGTGAGTTCTGGTTGTCGGAACACTAAGTGATGGTGACAACGGATCGGGAATTGCGGATGCCGAAGATCCCGATTCCGCTCTCCACATCCCGTACTTCCCCCGCATACTACCTTGACAGCTCTTGCTTGCAAAGTCCGTTCATGCGGAACGATGGCCGAATGGTCTAAGGCGGTAGATCTGGGTCCGCCCTTGCTCGTACATCGTCGCACCGGTCAGTGCAATTTAAAGAGGTCACAACCGTGAGATGGAAGTTATGTAACTAGCAAGATTATCATTATGGCCTTCTTGTCGATTCCATTATTGGCTTTGTTGACAGTTCCGGTTGTCTACCTACTATCATGGGTGCACCATTGGCTTCAAGATAGGGGGAAGCTGCCATTGCCTCCGAAACCACCAGGCTTTCCACTACTGGGAAACGCGGTCGATGTTATCAGATCCGGAAAGACGGGCTCCCTACACCTACTTTTCGGCCAGTATGCTCGCGACCACGGCGAGATCGTTCGTTTGCAAGTTGGGCCCTTTACTCAGTACTTCATCAATAGTGACGAAGCTGTCAAAGCTATCTTCGATAAAGCATCTGCCACGACATCGGAGCGTCCACGTTGGATCGTTAGCAACGAACAGATATGCAATCAAGAGAACGTGCTTCTATTAAGTGCCAGCCATCCAAGGTGGAAACACCAGAGGAAGGTGATCTTGCAAGGTATGACCAGTGTCACGCGCGCCGATGCTGGTCTCGACTACCTGCATTTTGAAACTGCAAAGTTTCTGAAGCAAGTCGCCGGTGATGACAATCTAGCCGGTAACAGTGTTCAGCTCTTCAACGAAATTGGCCGGTATACGTACAGCGCATTCGCCAGTCAAACATTCGGCATGGATATCCCAGACGAGAAAGATCCAGTGATTGAATACATCTTCCGTAGCGGATTGGAACAGATCTTAGGAACACTTTCTGGATCTCACCTTGTCGATATACTCCCAATATTGGACGGATTGCCCCTTTTCCTCAAGCCCTGGGAGAAAAAGGCAAGAGCACTCTTTCAAGATAACATGAAATGGTCCATCGAGCGCCTGCGGCGAGTTGAAAAGGCCATTAAGGCAGGCAGAGTCAACGACTCTTTCTTAGCTCGTGTGTTGCAGGATGAGAAGAACATGGGATTTGAAGACCGATCTGAGGCCGCTTACCTAGCTTTCATGCTCATTATCGGCGCTGCAGATACTTCGAAAATGTCATCATGGTCTTTTCTCGAGGCCATGATGCGATTTCCCGATGTTCAGGCCGAGGCACTCAGCAAGATCGAAGCTGTAATTGGAGTTGCAGACCGCCTACCAATCTATGAAGACCTCGAGTCGATCCCTTACGTACGCTACCTGATGAAGGAGCTCTGGCGTTGGCGCCCACCTGTTGCACTCGGCCATCCACATATGACTACCAAGGAGTTGAGTTACAATGGCGTCCGTCTGCCTGTCGGCTCTCGTATCCATCTCAACTCGTGGGCCATTGGGCATGACCCGGTCCGACATGTCGACCCAGATCGCTTCTGGCCTGAGCGATACGAGGGAGACTTGACGAATAGCGAGCAAAGCAAGAATTCTGCTAACGTTAAAGACCGCGATCACTTCGCTTTCGGATCCGGGCGGCGTATCTGTCCCGGGTATCATGTCGCCGAACGTTCACTGGCAATCGCGATCATGCGTCTAGTGTGGGCGTTTGAGATTGTGCCAGCGCCAAACGCCAAGTTGCCACTCGATCCGAAGGATTTCCCTGGAGATATGCCAGGAAATCCAGGAGAGCACATGCCTGTCATGTTGAAGGTTCGTAGTGAGGCGAAGAGAAAGATCATTGAAAAGGAGTACGCGAAAGCAGAAGCTGCACATCCTGCGATGGAGCCTTTGAACCATGATGGATGGTCTTGGAAGTTCTGAAGGGCAAGCCATTTATATTGGCTGTGCGATGCACACCCGCTGTAATCAATGCAAGCATTATAATTGTCTTAGCAGATACTACTCGATAGCTGTTCCAATGTATCCATGTACCAGCAGCCCTATAGACTACCTGAAAGAAGTAATTTCGAATCTCCAAGAGCAAAGGCACGCGTCATACATCTGCGTTACGATGGCTTACTCGGATTTGGTGACATGTTCGTCCACAAAAATAGTTCTATTGTAATCGCAGCTCTAAATGCTTCATCTTTGTGAGTTCATTCCTCATGTAAGCTCTTCAGTCTGATTTGAATGAGCGACATGTTGCATATTACTGCATTCAAGGTCTTGAAGTCTTCTAGGTATAGTGTACATAGCGTGTGGTCTAGATGCTTTGAAGGCTACTTTCAAAGATGCGATGGAGGCTGCCGCATCACAGACCATGCCACTATCCTCGTACATCATCCTTGCACATCGCTCCTGGTAAGAGACCGTTATTATCAGCGGCTACGGTGGACGGCAATCTCATCACAGCTCGGCCGAGGCTAACTAAACAGCGGACTACAGGATAGACGCCCTAACCCCACTTTTTCCGGAGTTTCCTGAGCGGCCGTACGCAGATACTACACCTGCACCAGATACCTCCAAGGATCATGTGAAAATGATAGATTAAATTCGTAGAAAGGGATATAGTTTTAATGCACCTAGATGTGCACGACGTTTGCTGAATTTCGGGAGTGAGAATCCTAAAAGCGGCTTGCTGCCAGTATGGATTTGCGTTACGCTCACCTATACCAAAATAATTGATTGTTGATACACCCAACAAGGAGCGCACTAGGTTGGAAACTACGGCACCCGAAGCATCGAGCAACGCATCTCATTTTTGCTAAAATCTGGGGTACAGACTCGTTCCCGATCCGACTATTGTATGTTCAATGACGCTTCGATCCGAAGGGCCGGATCGGGTCGCACTCGCCACTCTTTATGCTCCGATCCGAAGTATTTATCACTATGAACGGTGCATCCCCCATGTTCCCCGAGATTCATTATTCACACACGCCAAGACCAACTACACTTACCTTAGAAGCCATCGCTTGTGGAATTTATTTTATCCATCACCGCTGTAACGAGCTCAAATCTTCCACTCAAACAAACGCTTGACAGAATGGACATTCACCAATCTTCTAGCATGCCACGCGTGCAAGAACCGCTTGGAAGACCCTCACCATATATCATTCCCGCATACGAAGGCGATACCATGATGATACCTGGCAGCAAGGCTACTGTACGTCTACTCGCCAGTGCGAAGGAGACTTCGGGCCTAATATCTGTGTTCGGGTACGATGGTACCCATGGGGACGCTCCAGGCTTCCATTATCATAATCTGGCGCACGATGTTTTCATGTGCACACGTGGACACATAAAAGTCTGGGCGGGAAATCGCTGTAAAATTCTTAGTCCGGGAGATTTTTGCTACGTTCCCCCTGAGGTCGTGCACCAACCGCAGCTCATCGATGATGGAAACAACGAATCGATCGGGATAGTCACCCCTGGACAATGGGTTGACTTCTTCCGGCTAATCTGTAGAAAGTATGATGGTGTTGTTGCGGATGAGTTTAATATAAGCGACATAGGAGAGTTGGTTGGATCTCGAATCATGGAAATCAAGGACAAGTACGACGTCGTCTTTCAACCAGGATTCCAGGGTGCGGAAGTCAGCGATTTGACAAAGGAAGAGGATTCTAAATTGCCCGATGAGCCTGGAAAGGAGTACTATCTCAAGGCGAACACAGGACCGTGCCATCTACTCGAGGGTGTGCTAAGCAGGCCTTTCATCACCACTAAGCAAACTCAGTCGCCCACGGGGAATTTTGCGGCTACAGCTATCGAGTCAAGTAACCGGTTGGCAAACTCGGTCCTGAGTAGGCCATTCGCGTTCATGAAGGTTCATCAGGTATATCATGTTCTAGATGGAGCGATCAACGTCACTCTTAACGGGAGTGCGAATGTCATTCGAGCAGGAGAGACAGCTTTTGTTCCGGCTGGCACTACGATCTCGATTGAGTTCCTCGACCGATACAACCGCTTCTGGGCATATTCGAGCGGAAGTGGACTAGAGTCGCTGATCGCGGATGCTGGTGGCAAGTTCGAGGGCACCCTTGTGCCAGATAAAAGTAGACCGCTTGATAAAGAGGCGTTGAAGAAGGCAGCAGAGAAACATGATGTCAGCATCTCGACTTAGTACATGCGTACGTAGCAATACCAATCAACACACGTAAAAGGTCTCCTTGAAGTGGCACTCATACATTGTTTCTAGGCTTCCATATCAGTAGTCGCGGCTTCAGCAACGACTTAGGGCGCTCGGTAGCTGCTAGATCGTAGGTGAAAATTGTATTAAAACCGGTTTCAATAGATACCATCGGGGTGTCACATTGGAGTCAGCGTCACATTTCGTCCCTCGAAGGCCTTCTTGACGTCACTTCAATACACCAAGTGCTGCCCCTCTGTAGGGATTATGTGTTAAGAATCAATGAGGGCACCATCCTGGATCATCGCCACACCGGCCATAAAGGCTCTGTTCATCCAATCATCTCCGTTTTGCCCATTCTCGTTGTCGTATACCAGCATGTCCCTTCCACTAGGAAACCGCACCTCCACCCAATCCTGACAAGCCGTATCGAGCAGGTCACATTGATCCAAGTCCTCCTCGCCCGACCACTCTCGGTGCAGTTCATCTTCCTCGTCCTCAAACACGCGGAAGCTTAGACTAGTACCAACCAGCATGCTCGTTTCGTGGAATAAGAGGCTCTCTGACCTGTAGTAATGTATATCCGAGTTGGCGCACGCTGTGAAGAATTCACGAAGGGTATTCGGGTAATGGAAATTTGTGTGCCTGAGAACGACACGGCGAATCGAGGATGAGTGTACGTTGATGATTCGCGCAAGAGTGGGCGCAGAAGTGCTGGTGACAAGCCCGTCAAGTTCGAGTGAGCGGAGCCGGAATGGTGGGCTAGAGCCTAGTAGCCGAAGCAGAGGTGCCCAATTCTCGCTACGCGACAACCAGCGCTGACAACTTGATGGGCCCGCAGATAGATGCAGAGATTTGAGGTTCGCGTTGCTTTCGATCATCATGACAAGGGAAGTCATAGATTCATTCTCCAAGGCCAACATGTCCAACTGGAGCTTCAGGCATGTAAGAGCTCGTAAGGCGCATACCCTGCGCATGGAGTAGAGTAATAGTGGATAAGATGTTAACTTCATCTGCCATTTCGAATCCGCAAATCCCAATACTTTGAAACTGTCTAGCTGCTGTTTTGCATGCTGGAGGCTGGATATTAGGGTATAACCAAGGCTGGCTATAGAACGCGTATCGATAACGTGATTGTGCCGTGGACCTTGCAGTCCGAAGTGGTATCGTGGGCCGAACCTCAAGTGCGGATAGGTTTCAGAAACGCCGAACAGTGGCAGCTCATTAGTTAATTCTTCGTCACACATTCCCCACAGACCAGGAGGAGCGCGAAACACGAAGTTTTTGAGATTCGACAGGCGTTGAAAGATACGACCGAACATCCATGGTACCTCGGAGGGACTGATGGCAGCTCTCGCACAGGGTTTTCCTGTTGCTAGATCCCCGAATCGTGATGGCTGGCAATCGAATATAGTGTACACCTCGAGTGCGCGAATACGCTTGGCAAATCGCGTGCAAGATAAGGCCTCGAGGCGCGCGACGCTCGCTATGGTCGTTCGACATCGTCGTCTGGAAAAGCATACCTCGACCTAATCAGAGCAGTTAGTTAGGGAGAAGACGACCCTGAAGGCCTTGCTGGATCCTACATAATGCTCGAAAGTATGTAAGACATAGCAAGTATATTTAGGTTAGATTTTACTTACAAAGCGGTCATCGATACCTCGTGATATGTTTCCGTTGCTCAGTGATCGAAGCGTGAGTAAATCCTTTTTAAAAAGATACTCAGCAATCATGACAATGAGCTCACAAGGTAGAGACTCCAGGCTGTTTGGGACATAAGAGTCGTGTTTGTCGTTGAGCATGCTGCCGAGGTCTTCACGGATGAAAGCCATGAGTTCTTCCATATCAATCTCTCTCATTCTTGCGGCTTTGATATGTCCTCGGAGTGGTGTGCGACGAAGTTGAGGGATTGTGAGAAATTCTTGCGCAGGCTATCGCTACCATAGTTTTGGTCCTACGGGAAGGACGAATTGTGGTACATAGTGATGTCAGGAACCCGCCGCAAAAAACGGAGTTTCCTCGACGTTAAAATCATGTATTGTTCGAACATAGTAGCACTGGCTCGAGAGGCATCGCGTTCGTGGTGGCTTCGTGAGTCGATCTTCGTAGGCACCGCATCAGCTAAGTGCTACATCATAGGGAAATCTGGGAGGTATAGTACAAAAGACAAGGCCTCCAAAGCGTGATTGCTGAGCGAGACGCTGTATTCCTGAATATCAGTCGGTGTACATCTTGATAGAGAGCATTGTGCGTGGTTGTGTTGTCAACGTGATCAGCAAAAGCACGGCGATGATGCGGTTTAGCCCTATTGCGGGTCGCACGTCTCGTCTCGGCGCAATATTTGTCGCGAGTCTCCCGCTTACCGTCCAACACCATACCTACAGACGCTGGCCCACTCTCTTGCGCGCATTCGCACTAGTGGGGAAAGAGTCGCATACCCCTCGGGTGTATGAGATGACCATGAAGCTGCAAACTTTACCCGGCACCATTGCCCCACCCCCGCAATGTGGGGATGTGCGCATGCAATTCTCTACGAATGGCTGCACTCAGTACCCACTGCTTGTAATGCCTGTCGATTAGCACGCTCGGTATCAGGTGTCAATTTATTGAACGCCTGCTCACAGCCGCCGGGGTGGAGTTCTGAAGCGTCGGAGAAGTGCATCTTGTAACTCGGCACATCTTCATCATACGGACGTCGCCAGCGCACCCTTTGAACAACCTGAAGCATGGCAATAGAACAGGTCTTCGACGCTCTGCCTTTATATTACTTGCAGCATGGTATCTCAAAGTTTGGCGTGGGAAACATCGCCTTGGCGGTCCTCGCAACCGCAGCTTTGGGGGTCCTCGCAGACTATGCTTGGATGCTATACATGAGATCAAAGATGGTAAGGACGCCACATTGTAGCGTGCGAGCATGATACTGATGTTGAGAAGCCGCCTGGGCCTTTCCCATACCCAATCATTGGCAACACGTTCCAGTTGCCAGATAACAAGCCGTGGATCTACTTCGAGGAATTGTCGAAAAAATACAATACCCCATTGATAACGTATTGGATCGGACGCAATCCGACCGTGTGGATCAACGATGCTTGGACCGCGAACGAACTTCTTGACAAGAGAGCAGGCATATACTGCTCAAGACCGCGCATGCTTGTCTTTGCTGAACTCGGCTCTGGTCAGAACAATCTCGTAAATCTCATCACTACCACACAAGCGCAGCGTGAGCGCTTCCGGATGTTGCGCAAGGTGACACACCAGGGCGTTGGCATTCAGCAAGTGAAGAAATATCGTGATTTCCAGAACGACGAGAGCAAAGTTGTCGCCCTCGACCTCCTGCATACCCCCGAGAACTATGTCGCGCACTTTGAACGCTATGCGACCAGCGTGGTTTCTATCGTCGGCTTCGGCAGGCGTGTCGCGAGCCACGATGATCCCATCATCACCGAAGTTATCGCGTTGATGCACCGGGCGGCCGATTTGAACGTGCCAGGGAAGACGTTTCCCATGTTGATGGAAACCTTTCCAATTCTTGCTCGCGTACCGACCGAATATGCGCCATGGAAGCACGGCATGGGATCAAAGAAGAGATCGCATCGTGGTCATGACTTCTTCTACTCCTTAGCAAGTGAAGCGAATGCAAAACCAGGACACGATGACTGTTATGCGAAGATGCTATTTCGAGAGCAGGAAAAGTATGGTCTCAATCCGAAGGAGATCTCCGCGCTGACTGGAAACTTGTTCGGCGCTGGATCAGACACTTCGAGTAGTACGCTCATTACCGCTGTTCTTACAATGCGAGCGTTTCCAGAAGCCATGCATGCAGCATGGGAAGAATTAGATCGTGTGGTCGGACCGGATCGTAGTCCCTCGTTTGAAGACGACGCCAATCTGCCTTATATGCGCGCGTTCGTAAAAGAGGTGTTTCGATGGCGATCTGTTGCAATCATTGGTGGACAACCACATGCCCCAGTCCAGGACGATTACTACAATGGTTATTTGATCCCGCAATCGACATGGGTGCAGGGAAACGTGTGGGCAATTCACCACAATGACCGCGAATTTCCCCACCCAGACCAATTCAATCCAAACCGTTTCATGAAGGATCATCCTGACTCGCGACCTTTTCCTGGTGAGAGGGGATACATGACATTCGGCTGGGGTCGACGCGTGTGTTCAGGCCAGGCGCTCGCCGAACAAGGCACCTGGTTGACCGTTGCGAGACTAGTTTGGGGGTTCAAGATCGAGCCAGCACTAGACGAGAGTGGGAAGCCAATACCGGTCAATATCTTCGATTACACGTAAGTTTTAATGGGGAGGCGACCAACATGCAAGTACTAATGTCCACTAGAAACGGCCTCAACATGCGACCGCAAGTGTTCAAAGTGAGTATCAAGCCGCGAAGTGAGAGAATACGGCAGGCTATCATTCGAGAGGGCGAGCAAGCATTGTCAGATCTTGCGCAGTACGAGGGTGAGACAAAGTATCGTATGAGTACTTTCTACGGCAAATGAAACTGGCGATGGGGAAGCGACAGTAAGAACAGCTTGGGAAGTAGTAGATATGCTCGCGTATAGACATACAGTTTTCGTCAGCCAAAGCGATTCGTCGTTCATGTCGTCCCAACGAGTGCCGCTTCCATGAATGTTGACATAAGACCAATGCCAACTCTTTGCCAATGTTTAGTAACAAATCGTGTTGTAGCACGCTAGCCAGTGGGTGAAGCGACATTTATCTGTTAACACAACCTTGTATTGCAGTATTCAGGCTGGTCTAGTAGCTTGCTTTGTTGTCTATAATACCAGGACTACCGCTTGTATTCCTGCAACAGCTCAGCCGAGGTGGTTATCCAGGCTCATCTGCTGCAAGATTCTCCATAGTAGCCAGTTCTTGATTTCGGCCTCGCTTTCTAGAGATTGGAGTTCATCTTTGATAGCCCGCTCGAGGTTCTGGAGTACTTGAAGCGTGTACGCTAAACTACCCTTTGCCTTCAGCTCGCTTAACAGAACGATCTTAAGATCGGTTGTCAGACTCTCTGTTCGCTTCCGCTGTTGCAGGATTGCATTGATCTCTGGGCTGCCATGCTTTGAAGCATGAATGAGAGGGAGAGAGTATTTTCCTCCATCGAAATCGGAGCAGAAGCCTTGATTCTTGGTGTTCTATAATATGTCAGCTATTTTGGCAGAGAACGCAGATGTCTGGGTTGGTGTCAAACCTTAGAGGACTCGAGATTCTGGTAATCCTTCCGGATCTGGATATACCGTCCAAATAGAGTCAAAAACCCCTCCATATCCATGCATCTATATGATTATCAGGGACTATACCCAATATAAGTAGTGGACCGATAGCTTACCTATTCATGGTTGCCTGACCTTGCAACAAGCGACTAGCCATACGAAACAAGGCAGTCGTTTCTAGAAATATCATTGTTAGCACATAGGGAACAAGCCTGTAGACTACCATGGTGGCTAAGTCTATAAGACTCAACAACTTACTAGAGTCAACCGTTTGAAGGTATTCTTCTTCAGTCGGCGTGATTGAATGATATGTCCAATACATGTCGGCTCCCTGACCTATTTGCAACGCCATGAGTTCCTCTTTCAAAGAATTAGTGAAGAGAATCTCGACATTAAGATAGAACTACGTTACCAGTGAACACCAAGACAGCGTCAGATGATATCTTCTGTATCTGTCTTAGTGCATCGGCGCACTGGAAGTAAGCAGAGTTGACGGTTTGGCCGATACCATAAACTCTGTGGGCGGCTGGGTTACCACCACGGAGTGGGGAGTGATCTTGAATATCGTCTAGCCTTCAAAAGGTTAACAAAAACTTTTCCTACATGCGATTATACTTACATAAGTGAGGAGCTGTGTAGCTGTGTAATGACTGTCCGAATGATAGTCAAGTGGTGCTGTGGTACCTGGTACCATGTATTCAAAGCGTCGATAAACGTGTGCCAAATTTCGTTGGAAGGCAGCGATGCAATGTATCTCGATGGATACTCAATGACCTATAGTTGGTATCAGTCCCTAAGCGTAGACCAACTCTAAATTGTCCATTGGAACCTACGCTTTGGTCCAACGGCGGGAGCCGTTCACAGGTAAACAAGGACGCTTTCATTCGACCTGCGTACTGTTTAGATATCGTTCAATTGTTTGCTTCCAGGGGTTTCTCCTCGATCTACTTACCCATAGAGCCGATTCCGCCCTCGCTATCGGTCACGACTTGTCCGCTAAGATTCAGCTTCGATATCTTTAAGATATCATTGCTGATGATTGCGGAGGATTCTGTCGAACTATTGAAGAAATAGGCACCTTCGTTAATTCTCTGAGCCAGGTACTGTTTGTACTCACTCCCAAATGCCGTGTTATATCGAGGACATGTTTTGCTCCAAAATATGTTGCCTGCAAGTACGCCTTCCAGGATCTCAAACCACCGCATGATAGCAGGCGAAGAACCTGGAATCTGGTACTGGGAAAAGAACTCAGCTTTGAGTGAGCAATAGTCGTTCTCAAGGGATTGGATTTTCTCTTTGAGAGCGACTTTTGCTTCTTGAGAAGACATTGTATACCATTCCATGAACAGGGGAACAGCGTTTCTCACAACGACCTTCTCGTTGGACCGGAGGAAAGTCGTATACTCCGTTTCCCACGAGAAATAGTCGTTCGTGAGAATCATCATCTCATAGTAAGGTTTGAGAACTGGTTCGATCAGTTTTTCTTCCTCTTTAGTGAGACTGAAGTTGGATCCAAATCGAGCGACGGCAAAGAGAAATCTACAGATGTTAGTTGCAAGCTCTTCATCGAAGAAGTAGAAGATGATCTACTCACTCGAAGGCATTGTCCACAAGGCGATCCGAGAGATATTGAGTAAGATTCTGGTATCGAATCTCCTCTTCCATCATGGCTTCACCACGCTTCCATGTTTGCAGGCCTTGAATTACAAGACTCCCGAGTTGAGAGTCCGTATCCACGAGCTGAATAGCAATTTTCGCAAAAACTTGCGTATGGCGGTTCTGCCAACCTGGATCCACGGCCTTCTTTCTACCACCAACTGATACACTAGAATCACAGCATTTCGTGTCCGGCTTGATAAGAAACCTTGTTAGCAAATATCCTGGACCTTCTTGAGAGAACATGAGTAGAATACACCTACATCAAACGGGACCCAAAAATCGACGTCTTTTATTAATGTTAGTGAAGAATAACTTGAATGTGGAAGCAACCTACCATTTTGGAAGAAGGCAACCTCGTTGATGTAAGAGACGAGGGCGAGACGTTCAGGAAGGCAATATGGGTAAGTCAAGGATGTCCAACCACCTGAACGCAGACTGAGGCACCCTTTCACAAACCCCACATTGGCTCTCCCAAAGACATCGATCTGACATTGTACCGTGGCATCATCTGATGCTTGAGTGTCCTTGTGAACACGTGGATGGAATCGACAGAAGTATTCGGGATCATCGATGTAGCGGTTCGGTGGTATAGGAAGTGAGAAATCAGAATAGTCTTGTAGTCCATTTGATGCCATTGTTTTCGCCTGATTCGTTTACTGCGGTATAGATGGTGGAAGGTGTATGATCTGAAAGCAAGTGTGAAATGTTGATGTTTAGAGTCTGACTTTTAGATTCGCGGATTTGGATAGTCTTTTAAGCATTCCCTCGAGGAGATCTCCTCGAGACAACAGTGACATCTAATTCATACCTAGCATCAGGTGTTCCTTTTGCATTGTTTCTTTTGAGTCACGTTGACGAAAAAAAGCAATTAACGATGCGAATCCTGTAGGAAGAAGCGAGCATTATCTTCATGATGGCTATACTTAGCATCACTTTTTCAAGAAGGGTCTGATTAAGTTTCGTCAGCGCAGTTTTTCGAACAATGTTTTTGAGCTCACGTATTCCACAACCGAGCGGCGCAGTCTGTTCACCAAAACAATATTGCAATGACAACGCGTGATGTCTCAACACCCCCAACCTCTCAAAGGCTATACTAAAGCTGATATCTAATTAGCAGTCTCAGAGGTTATCGAATTACAACAATAATTAGTCAAAGTTATGAGATTATATGTAATGCACATTTACTTGAACTGCGCCTAGATCGCATGGGTCGAGGATAAAGATCTATAGGCTATCCAGTTTGGACATATTTCAGACTTGCATAGAAATTGAAAAGACATGAATGCCCTCAGAGTATGCACGACTGCATGTCTCAAAAAGGATTTGATCAATGCCGACGATTCCCGCCTCAAAGCGTTTGAATACGTCCGCTGGCAACATTGCTGCATTCTTTTGAGCATTGAACGGTCTACATATAGCACTTTGCACGTATGATAATTCGAACTATGTCTGATTAAGTAGTTAATTGCTGTTGAGGTAAGCATACTGTGCTGCAAGCCTTGGCATAGCATGTTTCGCAATGCGGCAGTGGCAAACATGCATCCGTCCAAATGATACCGGATTGTCGGACCTTGAGCGCGTGAAACAAAAAACACCGAGGATGTGGTTTTCATCAGCCGAGGCGAACTGTCGTCCATGTCTTTTCAACGGGTGCCACTTCCAACAATGTCGACGTACTACCAATGCCAACTCTTTCCCAATGTGAACCTTCACGCTGAACCACTAAGACATTGCACTCGCTATCGTGGCCATATTCGAGATACCACGGTAAGTGCATCACGAACAATCCTCGATCGACGTTGACATGATCTCCCCTTGTAGGATTGATAGACACATATACTGGTCGAGAATCGTTGTTTGGTTTCTTGCGATCAAGCTCAAGCTGGTAGCAATGCGGTACGTCCGATTGCATGATCTGAGTGATGTAAGCGCTGATGTGTATAAAGCGAGTGAGTTGTTGCGCGTTTCGTGCGTCCTCGCAAGTGTCGTGGAAGTAGGACATCGCGTGGTAGATTCGCCAGTCAATGGTATTTCCATTCCGGTGTTCCAAACTGACAGTGCATGGGACATCAGGTGTAGATCGATTTCTGTGATATCGGCCGTTGTCCACCAACATCAGTCCCTTTGCCCATCTTACTGGACCAATCCATCCAGTCCATGACCAACTAGGGAATCCAACTCGCCTTCTGACTGGGTTATCTACATCCCAGCTTAAGTTGTTCACAAACCTTGAGAGCGACACAGTAAGTGGTGTTCTATCGTGCCGAAAGTTTACATCGTACCCAAAGTACGGCATTCCCCAAAGATGTTGTATGCTACTGTCTGGAATATCCTTGTCTTGCCGTAGTATTGCAAAAATACCTAGCAATGCATTGAGTACGTCGTCTTCATACGTAAGCGATCGCTTTGTGAATGCCTCGATCCGGTGAAGGACACTCTTAACGTGCCCGTTGATAGTAGGAAAAAGGCCTGGGTCCGAAGTTTTGTTGAAATAGTCACACCAAGAACCAGCGCTCTCTTCATCACGTCGCCAGAACATGTGTTCAGGAGCTAACCAGCCTTCCATTCGAGACCTCTCCTGGCATTCGTAATAGAGTTGGGTATCAGTGAAAACAAGACGCCTGGTTGAAAGTAGGCCTTCCTGATACGTCCAGCCTCTTGAGCTCCATGTTGTACTCTCCAGGGTTTCTCTACTAAACAAGGGAGTAGAACACAAGATCCGTCGGCCAAAGTGAAAGGGTCGGTTCACCACGCGTTGCCGACTGACGCCCGGTAGTCCATAAGAACCATCAGAACCGGCAGCTGCGATAATCGTCAAGGCCGACCCAGCGTAGATCTTACCCATCTGTCTGAGCTGCGCATGGAAGTCCTCTGAAGATTTATTCAAGCAGTACCTGTCAACCCACAGGTAATCGTACCCAAGTGCGAGCGTGACTTTGATGGCGTCTTCAATAGTCGCTGGGAGGTCTTGTGGTAGAAGCTCAGGCGCTGGTGACTCTAGGCGAGCTTGACCAACAGATTGATCTTTTGGCTTACCCCAGACGTAGCTCAATGTCACGTATGACGCGGTATTTGGCAAATCTCTGATCAAGCGATGCTCGCAGTCGATAACCTTCAGGCCGGGTACGTAGTTTGAACATCGTGAATTCTTCCCTCTATTGACTGTGTGACATTGATGGGTGTGTACACACGAATCTATCCACTCACGAACGACCCTGTAGTCGATCAGACGTGCTATTGGTTGCAAGTTTCGAGCGATAGGTCCAGTGCAATCAAAGATGATGGAGCTGCGGATATTGAAGAGGTTGAAAATCCGCCAATCCCGCCACGCTTCGATACACAGTATGGGCGCTTCGATCTTTTCGAGAAGAGGAGTTACTGCGAAATGAGCTTGTACAGCAGTCAGGTTGTACATCCCACCTTTCGGCAGATGGCCCATACTGCCACTCAGAAATCTGCAGAATGCGCAAGTCTTCGGCTTTAGCTGATATACTTTCAGCACGATTCGGACTGCTATCGCAGGTTTGAAGCATAGTGCATCGTCCAAGTCGAATGCCGCGCACTGTGAGCAAAGGCCCTCAGGCGCCGCAGCTGGTTCAGGGAGTGAAAGTGAAGTCGGCGATGCCATCATCTAACGGGATGAGTTTTGACAAGCACAAAAGATGATGGAACGCTGCCCGCAAGCGAAGGGTTTGAAACTGCGTACGGAAGCCCGCAAAGCTGTAGGCGTGACGACTGCGCCGCGTGCCTACAGGACGCTACCCAGGTATGTCTTGATCTGCAGCCTTGTGCCACTTCTCAGAGTCAGTAGTAAAGCGTTTGCCCCACGTTGTAACGAACTCTGATTCAATCGAAAGCGACGAAGACTGTGGATAATTGGATTGAACACCCGGCGCTTCTGGGTCAGGCTGGGAAAGCATTCCTGACAATGATCGCGAGACCGGTGGATTCATTTTCATTTCAATAAAATGGCACCTAATCAGCAAGGATGATTACAAGACTCGTAACGAGACTGCTCCAGACAAAATTGTCGCCTTGAACATCAGGAGCGTCATCCGTGATCAACGCCGGTTCAAAATTTGCCGCTTACGGAAATATGATGATGTAAGCGCGCACGTTCCACCGCGTCATCGCGTGATTGCAATATCGCGCCTCCTTGACCTGCATCTTCACAGCCATCATCACGCATTTTCAGTTATATCACACGGCCGTCAACGCACGACCAGAAGTTTCTAGTGCACTCAATATTGCATATTTATCCTTCTCGTTCGGTTGACCCTTCAGTCGTCCCAGAAGCCTTTGGCACAATAAAGACTTCCGGGATCTGCTAAACATGTACAATGACTGCTTGCTGAATCAGTTATTAGATGAACATGACTGGTCGGCATCAATCATTGACCAGGGCCCATCCTCACGGGTATTGGCTACGATGAAGCCCCAGCCTGATGTATCCACTTACCATTCGAGATCAATATCCTTCTCTCGAACTGCAGACTAACATTACAATCAGAGATTGGCGACCAGAGAACTCGAAACCTCTACTAGAAGTGCATGGCGCGATGCCAAGATTCATCGAGACCGATTGCCGCGCGAGATACGAATTCACGAGCTTCTCGAAGAACGGCCCGCCGTTGACTCGGTCATACTTGCCACATTATCCGATTGCGCACGCATATCGACGTCTCAAGCGATCGAGAAAGTAATCTATACTTGAGGAATCTATCTGGTACATCGTCGAAGCACTTGAGGAAGCCTGTCTATGGCTGTGGGGTGAAACCACGTCAGACATGCGAGACGGCGCGTTTTGCGGCATTACGAGGCCTGGACCCTGCGCCTAAGCGGAATAAGCGGATACCCGTACCTAACGAGAATAAGAAGAGTGTCACTCAAAAGCAAACACTACGTTGGTTTGCTAGCAATTGTTTTCGGACTTTAAATAGAAGTCCTCGTTACAGACAGACGCAAGCGGTAACATAGATATGTCAGCCTTCTTTCAAAGTGTAGCTGGTGGCTTACTAATGCCCTCGGCATTTCTAGAGCTAGCTAGGGTAAGACGTGAAGCTCGAGACCGTGCAACTAAGCTCTTTGAGGACCACGACACCCTCAAAAGAACTATTGAGCGCCATGAAGAGACGATTCGCAAATGATAGATGAAGAAGACTAACGCTCAGAGAAAGCAGATCTTACTAGAAGCATAGCCCGGTATGTCTACACAACATCGGCTAGATATCGCGGCATGGCGCCAGCACTCAAGGACAAAGGAAGCATACATGTGGCTATACATCAACCTAGGAGACTTGACTAAGAGAACCCCTTTGTTACTATTGCTACACTATCAAGGCAGACATCAACCATACGAGTTTGTACACTCTGATCTTAAGCAAGCTCGGCTTAGTGAGGCCAGCGATATCACCATGCCTGGCTTCCTCAACGGATACACGATGCTCTTCGTTGACCGGACGGCTCTAGAAACATACGGCGAACTAGTGTCTTGGGATGACGATGCTGCTGCTTTCGAAAACATGACCAACGGTGTTGGCATGTGCACCCTGGGCATGGGTTACAGGTTTTGGAGATACAGCAACGTATCTGGGCCTTCCTTGTTAAGTGCTGCCGGATTCTGTTGCAAGACGTTATTTCGATAGTCGAGTCCGAGGTCCTTCCTAATCCTGGGCCGCCAGCTATACAGGACGAAAACGCCATGTTGCTGGAGATTGTCTCTCTTGAAGCGCCCTATCGGCTACCCGCTCACCTCGAGTTCGACCGTTTGAAAGCTATGGCTTCTGCAGAACGCAATTCGAGAGAGGACCATCTATGGAGTATGCGTGAAGACCCTGGGTACTTTGGTGAAACGATGCAAGAACTCTCCGAGCATCGGCAAGAGATGCTCTTGGACACTCAGGGTAAGCCGCATCCTACACTGAAAGAAGCGGGTCGTCCACTGTTCTGGAATCGAGTCTTGGGTACTGCATTTGTGCCAGCCTACTTTGGCTTGGCGATCTTCGATGGGGTCGTAAAGCAGGTCGAAAAAGTAGCTTCAATTTATGCAGCATGCAAGGAAAACCTAAATGGAGAAGAGGATCTGCCTACGGACTTGTTTGACGCTTTCCAAAACCTCCGATTTCTTTTGGACGCGGCAAAGACAGATCTTGTACTCAATCTCAAAGTCGGTCTATTTGCCTCTCCACCAATCCGCCAATTCTGCGTACGCAAACCTCAAGAACCCAACACTTCCAAAATTCGATCCACGTTTGAGCCACCACGCAACGATCATGCCGTGAACCGACTCATGCCTCTCTTCAACATCTTGTTCAATGATGAACAGCTGTTTCTGTTCGGACTTCATACGATCACCGACGAAATTGGACGCCTTATCCGAACGGATCCCGCCGTTGCTACATTGATATCACCATACATTGCAGAGCGTATATCTTCGCTGTCAGTGGTGTCTGAATGCCTTCATCAGCTACATATTTTCCAACCCTGGGCGCAAAAGATAGAGGACGGCATGGACCTGAAGAACGATGAGCTCTCACGTCAGTACAACCAGACATTCAAGGGTTGGGCAAATATCATGGGTATCAACAATTTTGAGGGCTCGCAAGTCTACAAGTACGCTGATCCGACGGATGGAAAGTTTGACTATCCAGCACATCGCCGCCGCAACAAGCAGAATGTGGAGATCATGCGAAAAGCGGAGGCCAACTTGGATGCTTTCTGGGAGGTGGTGGACCGGCACTACAAATCTAGAAGTGGTGGCTCTCAACATGATAAAGTTGCGCATCTCCTCAGCAAGGACCGCGCTGTGCAGCGAACGCCTCCTTGGCAAGAGCCTGACAAGACTACGAATTCCGCGAGCGTAGCGCCTGTCGAATTACGTGTATCAGCCGTTCTCAAGCGTTTACCATGATGCGACAAAACAGATCACTGGTGTGTTCGATCGCACCACTCTCGACGAACCCGCTGTCAAACCAAAGACCCGGGGTAATGCGCCCCAATCTGCCGAACCTGCAGCACCTGCGACCGCTACCCAAGACATACAGCCACAGCCCATCTTCACGGTCGACAAGCGCGCGCACAAGGTCTTCAAATCGCTCTTCCATTCGCCATACAACACCGATCTACCAGGCGAGGTTCTGTGGTCTGACTTCTTGCACGCAATGGTGTTGATAGGTTTTTCAGCTGAGAAGATACATGGTTCTGCTTGGAACTTCACCCCGAATACGCTTGGCGCTGGGGTAGAGAGAAGTATTCAGTTTCATGAACCACACCCGAGCAACAAATTACCGATGTTGTTGGCGAGGCGGTATGGACGACGACTGTCAAGGAATTTTGGGTGGAGTGGAGATATGTTTAGGCTTGCGTGAGTCATTAATGTTATACTCTCGACGGACGTCAATCGGTGATGCGTGCGAAGCTGGCATGGGTTGTGAAGGTCAGACGTTGAGTTTGCAATGTATCATCTCTTTGTCTTTGTCACTTATCGGCTTGATGAGGCAAAAGTCTTGGCGTCTTTCCCAGCCGGATGCGGACGTCTCTGCGCCACATTACCCTGCACGTCCCAGCCTTCCCAAACGGCTGGCCTGCGGATGCTGCTTTGTCTGTGAATCAAGCTAGAATATTCGTCCCCTCAACATCTTTCTCCCATGCGATGGCGACTAGCCAGCCATGTTCTTCTTCCTAATCATAGACCTTATCGCGGCAGTCTCACAAGCACGAGCAAGAGTGCTACAGATCAGAGACCTGTCTCAATGCGCCGTAAGTCTAAACCGCCCCAATTCTCGATTCGACGCAGCTAATCTCCGTAAGGGACTATGCATCGAATCTCAGGGAGAGACCAGTGACTGTGGCATAGAAGACCCTAATTGCAGCTGCGCAAATTCGCATAATCAAAGTGTCGAAACTTGCCTTGCGAGCCAATGTTCTGAATCAGACATCTCACAAGCATTTGATTTCTTCAATGACACATGCTATTGTATGAGATTCTTAGCGGGCTGAACATGTTTCCAGCTGATATTTCGAGCAGCCACTGTACATGTGAGCAGTTCGATCTTTGGGTCGAGTGCGGCAGCTGCTAGTTCACCATCGACTACGCACGTAACACAATATATAACTACAGTGGTTATCGCATCTGGGACAGTAGCCCCCAGCGTGGCTTCTTCGACGGCCGCCTCAGCATCCCTGATATCAACATCCAAAGACTCCGATTCTGCACGACCGAGTACTCCAAACTCTCCTTCAGACCCCTCGGCGCAACTCACCAACTCATCCGATAGTACACCGACAGCGCCCGCTTCTCCAAGCACCAGCGCAACGAACACCGAGCAAAGTCCACCGCGCACCATGACACACCCTTCAGGACTCTCGCCGTGCGCAACGATCGGCCTAGCAGTGGGCATTCCATGTGGCATGATCTTGCTCATTACCACAGGCACATACCTGCTTTGGAAACGCAATACGGCCAAGAGAGCGTATCGGGCAATGCGCATCCAAGACCTACGGGCGCAGGCCGGAAAGAAGGGACACGCACGTGAACTTGATGGCATCGGAACTATGCGCCAAGAGATGGAGACATCCGCCAATATAGCTGAGTTACCGGGCAGGTTCTCTCGGCCCGAGTTGGCGCGGTACGAGTTGGGCGAATGAGAGTCTTGAGGCGGTGGCAGCGGCAGCGGTTAAGGGATGCCGGCTGACTATGCAGAAGTTTGACGAGCAAGACTTCAGGAGGCCAAAACAGCGGATGAATCGAATCATGGCGCCACATCACAGACAGAAGACAGAAAAGCGTGGCAAACACCTTGGAGGTATAAGGCAACATGGCTGGTCTGCAGATGCAGGTTTTGCAGTGCTCGTTGTTACACATGGAGGCAGATTTTTTAGACGCTTGATTCTTACTACAAACAATGGAGAAGGTCTCATTAGGTGAGCCATGGGGCAGCTCTTTCCACTTGTGCTGTTGCAGAACACGTGCTTGCATGGCTGAGTTTTGTGGACCTTCCTGTGCTTGCAGTATACAACATGAACGCCAAGCTTTGCATGCTGAAACTTGCTGCCATTTGCAACTCGTGGTTCCAAGAAAAACACTGTCGTAGAGGTAGCTTCCCGAAAGCTAGCAAGACGCGCGGAGATAGATCGGTCTGCCAGGTGTATATTGCGCGAACTGTACTCAAGAAGTCCACCGTCGAATGGAATATGTCCATCTCTCGCCAGCCAGCCAGATTCATTGGATTTTTTGGCTTGGTCGTCTGGAGACAGATCCTTTATACAAACTATGACACCTTGCCCCTCGGACATGGGCACCCATTCATCAAGCGCTGTTCCATAAGTGGAGGTGTCAAGCTGAACAGCGACAACAACGCGAGGACCTCACATCGCAGCAGCAGCCCGCTTACATGGTCTATTACAGCTACTACTCCAACCTCAAAGCCACCGCCAGGTTAATGCAGCACGCCGTCGACGAAAACAACTATTGGAACTCCTTTATCTTTCCAGTGGCTCCTTCTGTGTACCTGTCCAAGGCCAACTTGCTCTTGCTAACTCCACTGCTTGTCGATCTACGGCAGGGAGGGTGCCCTTTTCAGACGCGTAGCTGTTGTTAATGGCAACGTGGACAGTGGAAACAGCATCGACCTTTGAGTTTGAGTAGTTTATAGTAGCAAATAAAGTCTTACATGCGATACACTTGCAGCACATCTACGAAATGCCACACCCTGGTTGCCTTCTCCACGATCGACTATTTATTCTGCGTGTGGTGTGGTTTTCGTACGAACTTCCCAGTGGGACGAGGTCGAACTCGGGATTGGCAGTGGCGACTGACATGGAGGCCATGTTGGATTGTTGTTGAGAAGGGGGCAAGCGCACACGCAGGGAGCCCACATGGCAGTGGGCCAGCCACAGATGGCGGAATTTGACCACCCGCAACAACGGCATACGAACGAGTGCAACGAGTGCATGAACCAGTCGTAGGTGCCTGGAGGCAACGCCCAGCCACAACATGCCATGATGGGTAGCGTTCAGAGCCAGGGCGCAAACACGTCCGCCGCTAGTTCATCGTCCTCGGCTATGAACCCCTCGTTGGAGAACCACTCTCGCGCAACGCGACGCGATAGGCGACCAAAACGACCAGGGCGCACACATACCCGCCGTGGGCCCGCTGTTCTCCACCATCGATCCGAGGTTGCTCGCCATTGATCCCATGAGTTCGTCGTCGTCCGCCGTGGATCCGGCGTTGGCTTCCAGACCACAGCAAGAAGTAGGACCTTTGCGGCCGTATGTGCAGACATCCGAGGGGCTGCAAGGTTCAGGCCCGCCCTGCGATCAGCAGCAGGGTCTTTTACGCGTCGTTCAGCTCAAACGACGCGTCTAACGCCTACTGAAAGAGCGACCCAGTCTGGGCGGTCGTAAACGCCCAGCGCTTGGGTCAAACTTTAACTATCAGAGGTAATTAGAGACAAGATGAGAAAAGCGGAGGTGAGGCAAAACTGCATAGGCTTGCAGCGCTGCTTGTAACGAGTTCCAACGCTGCGAATACAGTTTCCTTACAGTTTCTCGGCTTACTTGACTTTTGTATGACGAGGGATGGATTGCGCAGATATGAGAATGCGTAAATGACGCGAGTCGTGTTTGTGGACTAGGAATCCAGCGCTATGCATCATTTTGATCTTGCACACGCCGATTCTGCATGTCCTGATCGTTACAACACCATGCGTTTTGTTAAACGTGATGATCATGACGCGAGATTAGTGACGTCGAACGGGCAAAGCGCGCTGGTCCGTTCTTTAGTGCGATGACGATTTTCGGGGGGCACTGCCCGCTAAGTGGCAAACTGCAGCGTGATCACCGAGTGTATCTCCGCGCGATGCCGATGCCTCTGTCTCGATCGGAAGTCCATGTTATGTGGATGTTGTGCGCCAGAAGGCGACGAACGATGAGAATTGTGGTGCAAAGTTGGAATATCAAAATTAGCTGTCGCAAAGGATCAGTGTGCGACCATGGGCGTCACAAACGTCAGAACAGGCTCGAGGTCTGGACGCACGCCGCCACGTGATAGCGCGCTTGGCGCTGAGGCGGAGCGCTCGGACAGCGGAATTAGCGATGAACCTCTTCGTGCCAACCTCTCCCGTCTCCTTCCATTCGCATCCAACCCTCATCATCCAGAACCCCAATGTCTCGACATCGATGGTTTCCTCGTCAAACGATGTGGGTCTCATCACCTACCCGGCCACCGTCAACATAGCGACACTTGTCGTCTTCTTCCTCTATCTCGTCATTTCCATCTGGCTCATCTTCCGCCAGGGCCTGGGTCGCAGCTCCCCGTGGATATGGCTCACCTTGTTATCCATATGTCGGCTTACCCAGGTGTCACTCGATTTGGCGGCCACAACCATGTTTCCAAAGCTCACCGCGTCAAACACGAGTCTTGAAAGTGGTGTTGCGATCCTGACTACCATGGGCCTGACGCCATTGTTCATGGCTACCAGCAGCCTGCTCAACGCGACGACGCGCCCCAAAGGTCGACGCATGCAATGGATCTTGCTCATGGTTCACATCCCGCTCATTATTTCCTTCATTCTTATCGTTGCTGGCGGCATCGATCCGGATTCTCGAGATGGACCCACTTTTGCAGCTACGGAAGCCACCAAAGCCGGTGTTTCGCTTTACTTGGCGTGTTTCCTCGTCTTGATCTGGTCCACTACGGTCATCTCAGCGCGTCTCTACCTTGCCGATAGAGATGAGGTCCGAATTCTTACGACTGTCGTTTTGAGTCTGCCGTTCTTCGTCGTCGATGTTGTCTACATGATGTGCTTCGCTTTTGAGAAATGGAAGCCCAATTCCGGCCTCGACGGTTGGCAGACTATGCGTTTCAACGTCATCAGTGGTGACGTGACGCTTCAACTGTGCATGTACGTATCACCCATCACTTTGGCTTTCATGTTGCATCTTGCTCAACGCGGCATCTGCTAATGATTCCATAGGCAAGTCATTATGGAATGGGTTATCGTCGGGCTTTACCTTGGTTTGGGTCTCGAGCTACCTACTAAGGCTGTAAGACTACGAAGGCAGATGCAAGATCAGATGGATCAAGCTAGGAACATTGATGTGGACGCATGGCAAGAGACGGTGCTATGGAAGCTTCATGATGGCGTCTCACGGCTCGTTGCAGCCATGATCATGCCGGCCTTGCAGTTTGCGCATTGGATGTTGGGAAAGATACTGCGGTCCGGGCAGCAAAACACGCCTTGAGAGCTATCGTCGCGAACGATTAACACCACAACGAATACGACGACTTCCGTATATTGTATCCTCCTAGCATGCGCATATCGGAGGAGCTCGCGACGATTCAATCAGCAAGACCGCTGCGCCCTTCATGAACTGCAGCTACAGGATCCGGCTCCAAGAACCGCCCGCGGAAGCCCTTCGGCCGACCATCGTGAATGAATTCCGACTGCGCCACACTTCCAACGTCATTGCGTTGAGTGACATGCATGTCCATTGCGTTCGAACTGGTCATCTTTCCGCACTTCCCTTTTTGAGGGTGATGCCACTTTTCGGGGTGTGGATACCTTCCGGACAATGCGAACACCGAAAAGCCGCGGTGTCATCATAAAAGTCCGCAACACGAACGCGAACGCGTAATACGCTACCAATACCGAATTGCTCCAGGACTATGAAAATTTTCAACTGCGTAGCTGCATTGGGCTGAGTAGAGGAGGAGTCTTGGTATACGAGGAGCGTTGACGAATACCATGGTCGCGAGAGGATTGGATTAGGTTAGGAAGAGGAGGGATGCACTGACAGCTAGACGACAAATACGTTATCCTCGTTAATACCCCAACAACATGTGTTGCTAATGCGTGAGCACTAATATTTGAATACGCACATGCGATGTCGCCATGTCGTGATGACTCTTTGGCAGGTGCGCTGATCAGACACCCCGCTGACATCTGCGTCTGGTCTCCAGTGCCGATTGTTATACGAACCTATTACAGCACTTTCCTCCCGTCCCGCCATCTCGCTCTCATCGGTACTGCTTATAACAAAGACCAGGGGAAGAAAGCTCCTAAGATAACCAACTTCTCGTGATGTTCACCCATGAAAGGCGCCAATGTTCTTTACCACAAAATACGTGCCACGAGATGTCAAAAGTCTTGCATACCTCGTACATGTGTACGAGACTGAACTCGAAAAACTGAAGACGTATGCGACATGTCGGCCTTCGCTTCTGTGACAAACGGAGATGTCAACAATCAAGCTAATCAAGCTGAGCTAGCCATATTTGGTAGGAGTCTACCTTGGATAGGCTAGAAGCTTACTATATAAGGCTAGCTCAGCTTGATTGACTTGATCGTCGACATCCCTAGTGACAAAAGCCTTCGCTGCCTATTCTTCTTGTTAGCATGTACATTGCAATGTCCGTCATATACTATTCAAAAGTTCAATTATACTGTGTAATGCGTTCGCACTCTCTTCCGGTCGCAAGAACAAGATTATCTGAGGACTTTGTCCTTGTACATCGCGAAAGCTTCTCTCGAACATCATACCACTTTTCACGGACCACACTGCCCAGGTGCTATTCATCATCACAATCAAGAACCCCCACTATGATCTGGTCCTTCAAATCTTCGGCGTGCACACTACAAGATCAATGTGGCTAGTGGAGTTGTCTACGATATCTAGACATGACGACCAGCAAACAAAGGCAAAAGCTATACATGCTCGAATTTCCTCAACGTCGGCATTTGAGCAGCGTTATTCTTTGTTACATTGAATCTGAATGCACCGATTCTATGTCGCGTGTCCAGCAAGAGACCCCCTCGTTCTAATGTCCTTGAGAAATATGAATACGATTTCATTTTCCTTATCGACCCGAACCCTCGCAAGTAACCGAAACTTCTTTGTTTTCTCTAATATTGTCGAGATTACATCAAGATGTTGGTACGTTCGCTTTCTGCTTCTTCTAAATATCAGCGAGTACGCGATATAAGTATATCGCGAGCTGCCTGTCCCGCATCTCTAGGGCTTCAGGTTTTTCGATATCTAGAATTCATCACCCTACCATGCGAGGAAGTAAGAACTATTACAACTCCTCAGAAAGTTTGTTTATGCGTTCTTGAAGAACGAGAGGGGGAAAATGAGCATAAGACGCAATGTGTAGAGAAACTTGTCAGATCTTGATGTGCCACGGGTCATTCATAAATTTGGTATTTATCACCGAACAACAACTCATTTAAAAAATTGTCACAACCCACCACTATGCTTAACTCACCTAAGACTTCGCAAAGCGACTAAGAATCTATCTTTAGTCTCTTCAGGTGCCTTATTAGAATTAAATTCCATTGTGGTGGGGGGTTTCCATGTGACGTCATACGAGAGACGACTGTCGGAGCTAGGATATGCACGTACCAGGCCTTTGAAGTCACGATTGTTCCTCCATACCACGTCATTCTCGGGAGGCAAAGTATGCAAAACGGTAATCAAGTTTGAAGTTTCTGCTTCGCACTCGAGATGAAAAGACAAGGTGTCCATGTGTTGAAAATGCAGCACGCTCACGCTCATGACCAGAAAAGTGCTGTGTTTCTTGCTACTTGTTTGAAGATAAAAAAAAAAAAAAGCCCGTTTCTACAACGAGACTTATCTAGAGCGTCCCCAACGGATACACACTAGGAATGTTCGCAGTATCTGGCTCAATAACCGGTACCTCCTCATACCTCTTCCCCTCCACCATCTCTCTCGCCCAAACCGGGCTCTTTCTCGCCTTCAACAGCTGCTCCACCTGATACCCAATGCCCAACAACTTGGCCTCGTCCCACGGGCGCCCCAGAATCTCCATTCCAATCGGCACACCAACGGGCGCCTCGTCACTCGGATCCGAGAAGCCTGCCGGCACAGTGACAACCGGCGTTCCCATCAAAGCAGCCAGGATACCATTTCTACCCGACTGCGAGGGCGAGCCAATCTTAACAACCAGATTCTTTTGCTCAGGGTAGATGATAGCGTCGAGGCCATTCGACGTAAAAGTGTTGAGCAGAGCGAGCGTAAGGTTACGAATACCAGCTTGCCGATCGTTATACGTAGCATTACCCGTAGAAGACACAAGAGCCGTATTGACATACTCGTACTGACTTGGAAGCACCAGGAACTCTCTCTGAGTGCCGTTGGCCATGCGGCGCGAGTACAAATCGGCTAGGGTGGCGGGGTGTTGGCCGCCGAGGGACGGACGCGCGAGATAGGCGTCCATGAGCTCGCGGTACTCGAAGCGCTGGACGTCGTAGGCGGATTGGATAGCAGTAGCGTTGTAGAGGGATTCGGTAATGGGGACGAGTGTTACGCCCGCAGCTTCTAGACGCGACATAACGGCGTCCATGGCATTGTTAACGGGCGTGACTTCTGGCGAGTCTGTGCGGTTGAAAAAACCGTCTAGTACACCGATGCGCAGACCTTTCAGCTCGGTACTATGTAACGAGGAGGTGTAGTCAGTGTTGCGGATGGGGCCAGGGACTAATGCGGTGTCGTTGTCTGCTGCATCGTAACCCGTTGTAGCCATGACCGTCAGCGCTGTTGCCACGTCTCTGATTGTGCGGGCGATAGGCCCAATGACATCTTGGGTAGTCGATATGGGGATGATTCCCGTCCGGGTGATCAGCCCACGCGTAGGTCGGATACTACATAGCGAGTTGGCCGAGGCTGGACTGCGCAGCGAGTTCACGGTATCCGTCCCGGTGCCGAAGACACAGAATGAGGACGCGACTGCTGCACCTGTGCCCCCCGAACTACCGCCTGGTGTGCGGGTGGAGTCGTAGGGATTGATCGTCTGCCCACCTAGCGAGGACACGCTGATTCCCTCCAAAGCGAGCTCGTGCAAGTTCGCCTTGCCGAGGATGATGGCACCCGCGTTTTTGAACGCTGTCACACTTGGGGCATCTTCCAAAGGTTGGGAATGCGCTAGGGCGAGGTTCCCACCGGTGGTTGGCATGTCTGCTGTGTCGTAGTTGTCTTTGAGCAGTATCGGGACGCAAAAGAGCGGTCCAGTGGCATTACCGGCCGAGAGCTGCTCATCCATGTCGTCAGCGATGGCCAGGGCATTGGGGTTCAAGGTGATGATGGCGTTCGTTCGGTTGTTGTTGGCGTCAATGTTGGCGAGGAACGACGATACCACTTCGCGACATGTTGAAAGTCCGGAGTAGAGCGCATGGTGGACTGAGTCGATGGTGGCTTCCCGAGCATCGAAGGGCATGTTTTGCCCAACCACAGCGTGGCTGCAGAGCGAAACAAGCGCTAGGCGTGTGAACTGAACCATTCTGATTAGCTGATGCTCAGTCCGTATACCGCAAGTTTGGGTTGCGGACATTTACCAGTGTGTCGGAACCGTCATATATACATTACTCGGGATACGGGCTTGTCATACATCACAACGGGTAGTTATCTGCATGGTGGTTGAACCAAGAAACCCACGTCTCCGGGAGTAGTCACGATGCTTGATAATGCTCAGATTCCTATCCCGATCTTATCGCGGGCAGCCTTGTCCAAGTACCGAGCATCGGAGTGACGTAGTTTGCCAAGACAACTTCTACCTGCCTCTTTAGTCAAGCTGGTTGCAGACGTGGTGTGTTCAAGAGATTCATGGGGAGTACTTGGCTCATTGTAAATTTGAAGGGGATGTTGTTTTTGTTATCGTCGTCACGGTACGTGCAAAGGCGCGAAAACCATCTAGACCATCTCGAACAGTGGATATTCAGAATAGAAGGATCGCATGTCGCGGAGGGGCTGCAACAGGCCGCAATCATGTCTTTAGGACACATCGACACGGCCTTGGGTGCCCGCTGAATCAGGGTTCGTGTCATGAACAACTATCGAATCCCACTTCAGCATGCACGCATGAAGCACAGTCGTGCGGTATCCCCACTCCTCAATCCACCCTCATGTGTTGCTTCGTCTGTCGCCCTTTTCCCTATCGACGGTGGACGGATCGCGAGGAACTTGTTCACGTTCGGGGAGACTGCCACAACTGTTAGCCTTGATCGCTTCCAGCAGAGTACATCGGGCTGCGCACCTACAGCCTGCCACGACGGCAGCGGCACTATCTGAAGCAGTGAGTTAGGATTGTGTACAAAGTGAAACTTGTAGCTGCCAGCGTTAGCCGCACGTGAAAGCGCATTGCCATAGATTGAGGTATTGGATGGCCATGTTGCGACGCGAACCTCGCCGGCTACTTGCAGACGACATCTGCCAAGACCATGACTAACGCCCGGGCCTAGCCGTCCGCCCTGTGCCTCAGAACCACACTTCACCCCTCCGCGCCTCCTAAGTGCCTCATCGCAAGCACACTTCCACCCCTCATCGCAAGCAAACTTCCACCCCGGCTCCGCACCAACAGCCACAAACGGTACACTCAGGCCGGATCATGGTCGTGCCGGAGGCAGAAACTTCCCCAGATGCTGTACCATTACTCATGAAACCGACCATGCGCCACTAGAAAACTTTGATCCCAAAACGGAACACCGAAACTTTCAATTGACCGCTCCCATGCTTCATGATATGGAAACACGGGCTTGATCTGGCCTGCTCGAGACCCTGATCACCCTGATCGCCACTGCAGAATTGATGTGCGCTCGCTTGATGCCATGGCGCACATCTAAGCTGTGGCTGGCGCTGCGGGATTGCGCCATGCATCTCAACATTGCCTACAGCCAAGTCGCATCGCATAGTGAACTCAAGTACGCCATCAGCGCGTTGGCTTGAGATGCGCCTGAGGGAAGGCCCCGCCTGGTGTATTTCCAACTTCCCCAGAACGTCATGCATGAACATTGACGGCCTCAGCCACTCTCCGTTTCAAGGGATCCCAGGGTACATTTGTGTTCACTGCCAAGCTTTGAAACCTCAGACTTCTGAATGCTTAGCCCTAGCCACATGTCCGTTTATCCACCGGTAAACTATGGACGATTCATGCGGTATTGCGCGAGAGCTACCTGCGATGTCTACAGCTTGGGAACCGGAACTATCCACCACGCAACATCTTCACCGGTTTACTCGTGTCGGAGTTTTTGCAAGCTTTGTCACAGTCTACGGCAGAAGAACCCGTTACACCTACCGGATCAGACCCAGCTTGGCTCAAAGTAATCATCTACACGCCGTCATCCGGAGCCGTGAACTTCCATACATGTTTCTGGGGTCGATGTTGCCGCAACCACGTTTCGTACGTTTTCGTCTAGTGGCTCCACCAACTCATGCAACGTTTCTGCAAGACCACGACAAGTTTGAAACCTTACACTGCCAGGCTCTCACATCTTGGCCAAACCGGAACGCCTCACCACCTTGGACCTAACCAAAGTTGATGCGAGTCACGATGCCGAACATCCTCTCTCGGTATCAGTCTGCTGTATAAAGACGACCATCTTCGCAACCAAAGAAGAGCATCCAGCATCACAGGTTCCCAACCCAGCAACTACAGTAATCACTACTTCTCTTCTCTTCTACTTAATACCTCTTCACTCTACTACCTAATCTTTTCTCTGACCGGTTCAGACAATAATCAACACAAAAATCAACATGTACTTCTCCAAGACCACCATTGTTTCCTTCAGCCTTTTGGCTTCCTCTTCCCTCGTGGCTGGCCACGCTGCTATCATCGGCGCTACCGGTGATGCAGGCGGTAACGGTACTGCCATCGGTGTTGACCCCAACACTCCTCGTGACGGTACCAACCGAAACCCCTTCCAACAGGACGCCACCCGTTTCCGTGGCGATGCCGCAGACACCTGCGGTGAGACACTCGGCGGAGGTGACAACGACATCCAGGCCGGTACCGCTAAAGTCATGGCCCTCAGCGGCGCCACTCTTCCTCAGGTCTCTGCTGGCGGCCAAGTTATGATGACAGTCCACCAAGTCAACTCTGACGGCGCCGGTCCTTACACCTGCATGGTTGACGCAACTGGCACCGGTACCAACTGGCAAGCCGCTACCGTCACCACCAACCTTCCCGGTAACGACCGTGGCCGTAACCGCGACACTCAGATGCAGGATCTTCCCCTCACTGTCTCCATGCCCGCTGGCATGACTTGCACGGGTACTGTCGCTGGCCAGAGCAACGTCTGCATGGTCCGTTGCCAGAACCCCGCTCGTGCCGGTCCTTTCGGTGGCTGTGTTCCTGTTCAGATGGCTGGTGCCGCTGCGGCTGCTCCTGCTGCTGGTACCGCGCCCGCTGCTGGTACTGCTCCTGCTGCTGGTGCCGCCGCTCCCGCTACCTCTGGAACTGCTGCTGCTCCCGCCGCCGGTGCTGCTGGTGCTGCTGCTCCCGCCGCAGCTGCCCCGGCCGCTAACGGTGCTGTTCCCGCTGCTAACGGTGCTACTGGTGCTACTGGTGCTACTGGTGCTACTGGTGCTACTACCGGTGCCACTGGCGCCACTGGTGCTACCACAGGCTCTACCACCGGCCAGGTCGCAAACGGCGCTGCCCCAGTTGCCAACGCTGGCGGTGCTACTCAGCAAACTGGTGCTATTCAACAGACCGGAGCTGGCGTTCAGTCCGGTGCCACTGGTGCCACTGGCGCAACTGGCGCGACCGGTGCCACCACAGGCTCAAACACCGCTATCAACGGCGCCGCTGCTCGCAAGCGTGAGGCCGCCCGCAACCAGCCTGCCCTCACCAACGACGACCAGGAGGAGGAGATTGATCTTCTTGAGGGCGAGGACGACAACTAAGCGCTTTCACGATGACAGAACAACGATATCATGAACGATTGGCTTATGAGCGCTGGGGAGAGTGATGAGAATGATGGGAATATTTACACTATGGAGGAGATGGGTGGGACGGGGATGTGGTTTAATGAATGGGTTGTATATACCTCGGTTGATCTGTTTGGATAACGGTAATATTGTAAGGACGATTTGGGCAGAGTAGGGTGGAGCTACGGGGCTTTTCATTTTTCTTTATCTGGTCGGCGTCTGTGACGCGCAGATGGAAGGAAGAGAGCTTGTTAATACTGGGTATTCTATGTGTAAAATCGGTGGCGGATGGAGGAGGAGTAACGCGGTTGATTGTGTAGTTTACTCGGGCTTGGGAACCCTGGTCTATTACGCTCCTTAATTTACTATGATAGGGAATAAAAGAGTTCTGGTTCAAATCTTCTTCTTCTTCTTCTTCTTTATTCTATTTGTGAAGTACGTACTTTGGATTCCAAAACGGTGTGTATGAAAAGTAGGCCGGTAGCCTGAGCTTAGTGGTTACTTTACCCCGTTGGAGATGTTCCTCGAGCGTGTGTGTGGCTTTGACGCCTTGAACTTCAGGCTTGAAGTCCAACTAAGCTTTTTTGCGATCAGCACTAGCCCCGTTCGCGAAGAGGACACATGTTTGGCATTATTTCTAATTGTGTGTATTATTGCTGTGGCGTACAGGGTTTCAGTCGCGTTTCAAATTGCGATTCTACTAGCCGTTCACATCCCTGTACGTGTAGCAGGCGGACGTGCAGGGAGTATTGCTGGTGGAGGAGATCACAGTGCCTGGTGGCGATGTGGGAGACCTGTAGGTCTAGGGAGGATCGCTAGAAGGGTTTGGAGTCTCGGACGGGATGATGTACTTTGTGTATGAAGTTTGTTGGAGACGTTGAGGGAAGAATGTCCTGGACATCCGACCTAACGCGGTTAGTCAGGCCTTAAAACCAAGCTCTTGCTTCCTCGTTTTACGCTGTTGCTAACTCGCAACTTCTTGTCACCTTCCTCTTTAGATATGTTTGTTGTTAAAAAATTCCGAAGTACGAGCGAACCGCCTACCTATTCGAACCCCTATTCAAGTACGGAAAGAGTTTCTCTGCAGCCATCTTCATCTCGTCGCAATGTTTGGCTCTCCACGCGTCACTATCACAAACGTTTTCTTCGAGTTCGCATACCATCTGTAGTCTCCGAGCATGGTTGAAAATTGCGTCTGCGCGCGATCCTGCACGCTCCATGATTTACAAGCTCGCCGGGATCTTCGCGTGCGTTGTCGCGATAGTTGCCCTCGGCGCATATAAGTACTTCGAGTCGTCTTGTTTGTAGCCACTGACTGCATGGCAGAATCCTGCGGTATTCGCCGTTCGTACGTAGCAAGCGTTCTTCCGGCGTCACATCGTGATCATGAAAGCTTGACCGATGCGCATAAGCAGCTTATACCAGAGCTTGTTAGGCACATCATGGTCCGACCGATGCGCACTGGTTGCGTATGAACACGAGAAACCGCCGAGACGTCAGTGTCTATAGAGCGAGAAGAGAAAGCCATGCGACGGACCGTTTACTGTACGGGAACTAGCAGGCATCTACCCCAACATGCGTGCAATCTGTGGGCCCTGCCGCTTACGCTCTCAGACACGTTCTCGCTGTTCGCCGATCTCATTGGCTATGAGCCAGGCCGAATGCGATGATCAATGCTTAGCAAAGCTTGCATTGTCAGACCTCCGTCGGTGTATTCTTTCTCAGCGCAACCTGCCGTACACAGCACAGCAAGCCCACGCGCTTGCGCCAGGTGCGCAAAATTCGACAATTGTAGACACTATACTCATTGTCCCAAGCTTTTGGTGTGACACTGACTTTATAGTTGAGGTTACGATGGTCGTTTCATGTCGCAAATCAGATTCTCAAGTCCATGTCACCAGTCTCCTGATCGACTAAATCTCCCGAGCGCGAGAAAAGAGCCGGTTTCCGTGAGCTGTGCTTAGCTTCATCCACATGTTGGCGGCTAAATGACCTCCATGCGTGACACGCAGTACGACTATGCCATTCCAGGTGGCATGCTATGGCGAATGTTGGAGTTTTGACCGGACTCAACGCCGTGTGTATCCATCTGGGTACTCGCGAATCACCCTGAGCGCGCACTGTGTCTCGCAATGTTATCTGCAGCCGGTGTCAACCACACAAAGTCCGGTTTGGAGCAGCTGGCCCACCACGTGAATGCTGTTGAGGGATGCCAGTTGTCTCACGTAAGATAGTTTGGGGAGACCTTGATTCTCACCGCACATCATCCGAAACCCCCGAAATGCTTGAATCTGGCCCCGAATGACTCGAGTAGATGATGCACTAGATGGAGATTCCACTGATGTTCCCAAGATATAACCGAAGAAGGCGAAGTGAAGTGCATTTGGTGTCAATGTCCGTGGTGACACTCCCTACACCGCATCCTCTGAGCGGCTGTCATTACACCGTTACGATCGCTCGGCGATACTACGACGATACTATCACAATGCTGTCACGCTCAGCACGTCCATCAAATTGATGATCTCTCGTATTCCGATGTGGAGACGACCTTCTGAGAATCCTACCTTTCTAGCTGTGACGGTCTACATGTCTATATAAAAGGTGTGGTGAACACGTTAACAAACATCAATCCACAAGACTCCAACATATCAACTCCAACCGAACTCCAGCCCACCCCTCAATCAACATGAAGCTCATCACCACTCTCCTCGCTGTCCTTGGCGCCGTCGCCATCGGCCAAGCAGCTGATTGTTCTGGTGCCAGACAATGCCAGTGTCTCTTCCAAGACGGCTCCCACTGCTGTGTCTATGGCTACGTGAGTCACCCGACATCTTCAAAACAGGCTCTCCAAGCAATATCCAGACTAACATTTCCATCATGCAGAATGCGGAAACAGGTGACACCTCTGACTGCACTGCCGTCTGCTCCGGTGCTTCTCGCCTCCTGCAGAGTGGCGAAGACACTCCCGCCAAGTGTAATGCTGGCGGAAAGTTCTCTTGCGTTGGTATTATTACCGCGCAGGGACGGACTCCTTGCTACAATAATAACGAGAGTAGGTCGCCTCACAAGGTTTTGACTAGTGATGGCTGCTAACAAAAATTAGCTCCCGTCTGAATGCCGGATTGTGGCTAAGCAGGTGGTATCGGGTTGATTAGCATTCGACGTGGGGGATACAAGCGATAACCATGACCCATGTTTACCGCACCATATGGAACTCATAAGGGAGGCTTTTGCTTTTATGACCACAGCTACCGAAGCCTTGCTGAGATCTGTTCCTCGAAGTTCTTCATGAGCATCTGATGACTTGGCCTAACCTTCGAATCGACATCTGAGAAATCTCTTCCAATATAACGTACCTAGCATAGTGAAACGATATAAAATCTCGCCGTTAGCATGGTGTTGCTTAACAAATAGGATCTTGCAATTCTTTGGTTAGTTATTCCTGAAGATGAACAGGAGACGGCAATCTTGAATGAGTAGTCTTCCAGATAGTAGGGACAAGAGAAAAAAGACAGCATTTGACTTGTTAATTCAACACAAAGGCCCAAATAAAACGCAGGTATAACACTGTTAAGCTACACTACAGTGATCCCAGGAGAATTGTATTCTTATATGCTTAGCTCTCTTACGTATAGCTATATAACCCAGCACTGCAGGTTGTATATACTACAGCGAGATTAGATTCACTTCAGAATGAGTTGATAAGTAAGCAGAGTAAATTCAAATATATAGCCATCCTAGGTAGATAAACATCTAATGAAGTATTAGATACTTACTTCTATCTCTCGAAGTAGAGCAGCATGTTCGTCGTTTTCACGTTCTCAGACTGCCAAATCTTGATCTTAGTAACCCTCTTCCTGCCAAAGATGGCCCGGTATTGGATGAACAAGTACGCAGCACCAGCGGCATGAGAGCTTCCGAGCAAGCCCATGAAGGCTTCGACTGCAGGGGTCATCGGCATCTTGGTGGGGTTTCTCCCCGGCACGAAATCAATGCCAGGCCACAGCGGCAAGTTATCCAAGCCACCACTCGGCAGCTTATTGACCTTTAACAGGGCCGACTCCATGAGTTGTTTCGTCTCCAGCATGATAACAGAGGATCGGTATACGCGCTTGAGTTCTTTGCCGGCCGCGTACTGGCTCCACATTACTGCCAAGAAGTCGGTCCATTTCATAGTGGGCCAATCTGCTGGCGGGGGAGGGTCATCCCGGGGATCCAAGTCTTTCACAGCTTCCGCGGGCCCAAAATTGCCACCGCCAATTATGTAACCATCGTCGCCGTTGACAATGTTGCCATATGTAGCTGTGGTGGGCTATTAATCCAAGCCATGCAGGTTAGTAAAGTATATGGTTGCGCTAGCACGACTGTGACCACGTACCTTTCTATCCCTACCATCAGGGCCTGTCCACATTTTCGTATGATCCCAGCCTCGAGGGACCTCGTTAGCCGTGTTCAACAGACCATCAGCCCTCCCTAGTGACTTGCGGTAGTCGTTCGGTATGACTGGGTCTTGTTCGTCATCTTCTTCATACCCAGTCGACAAGAGTGTCTCCAGCGTCACGGTCCCGGCTACTACATCATCACTGTCCATCATGCACCAGACATCTGTCATCTTCGTCAGCAGATGGGATAGAGAGAACTTCTGTTTCGAACTGCTTACTACATGAATGTTAGCAAAGGAACCAAGTAGACTACCTGCGCTTAGTCTCAGCAAATAGCGGCACGGCTTAGACTAGCTCGTATAGGTTCAAAGTAAGTGAAATCAACAGCTCGCTTTCGCTCGTGCATGACAATAAGAAGTACTTCGACTCACCTTCTTCCACTTGCAACCTTTCTGGCCCATGTTGCGTCGTCGGCTGCACGAGAAAAAAGCTCTCGCGGCAGCGAGACAAGCGAGTCGTTGAGTCTAAGTGGCTCGTCGAAAAGGCTTCGTCTTTCCACGTCGGATGGCTGTCGATTATGCGAACCGTGGGAGAAGTGGGAGCCAGTGATCAAGACAAGGCAGGTAACCACAAGAACAGCGAGGAGACGGTATAGAGGAAGACGTCTTCTGGAGCCAGTTGACCCGACGCCATCGAGAATGCCGACGGAAATCATAACGAACAGCTGAAGAGACGAGATGAACAGCGAGTGCAGAAAGATGCAGGCATGGGCAGAAGCCCCAGTCTAGGGATATATACTACTTAGACATGCGTGATTATCGAGCCGAGCTTATGAGCTACTTGGTCGGGTAACACATGATCCATCGTCCCAGAAAGCCTATGCGGCAAGCGTTCACATGGGTACAGAACGCTCTCCAGGCCATATCAGCTCCTCGGTCTTCGTTGAGAGCCAAGGAATCTATGTTTTCGTGTGTCCCAACCGTGAGCCCCGCTTAACTTCAAGGTTGCTTAAACCTAGACAGGCTCTACTGTAGCCGATGCTTCGTTAGCTCTCGTGAATAGTCAACGATGCAGCTGTGGCACAGCCAAATAGCTCCAACGGAGATGGCAAGATGAGCGATGTAACCTCACGATGATCCACTTTTAGGCAGAGAATAGCCGTCGAATAAGCACATACATTAGGATGCAGGTACTGACTCAGCATTTGCGTCCATTCTGGTTCACCATGCCGATGATGGATTGAATCCTTTTGTGGAGTTTCGACGATGCAGGTACCATGTAAACTCGCGAGAGAGAGAGAGGGCCTAAAGTAGCGCCTTGGCCAACAAATTAACTCTGCAAAGGTAGGAAATTGCGGCAGAACTGCCAATATAACATCCTAGCTATGCTATTGATCAGCTCTACCTCAAGCCGTCTCTGTCTCTCTCTCTCGGTTAATCATCTCTCTATTGCCTATCTTATTCTCGGGCCGATCGCACGAAGCCCTGGTCCAGACAGGAAAAACGGCTCAGCTATGAATTGTACACAAGTCCTAACGCAGGTCTTCCTCCGTTAAGATGCTCCACCATCGAAAAGAGTAAGGTATAGAGTTAGCAAGAACTGACGCTTTTCTCGGGTGCCGCATGCCTAGATCAACCATGCGCTTCTCATCCCATATGGCAAACCCATACTTGCGCCAATTTTGGAAGGGGTACACAAGGAAGAGCATATATCCATCATGCCATCCATCGGTTGAGGACATAGCCCCATGAAAGCGGTACGCCCATGGCGTTTGGTCAAGGTTTTCTGAACCCTGACTAAAGGTGTCCTTGTTGCGCTCGAATGAGAGCGGCTCGGCACAGGGACGCCTCAACACTGCCCCATCAACCCAACGTATTGTTGGCAAATTGTAAGCGTTGTCGTGGATAGCCTCTACCGAATTGACAGTCCCAGAGGTGACTGCGCCGAGAAAATCGCAGGCGGTCAAGATCTGCTCCCGCACGCTGTTGTGCACGTCATAAAAGCCTCCCGCACTGCTCTGGAACAACACGTCAACTTCCTGCTTTGGCCAATTGGTACCCAGGTGGCCCTTGTGACCGGCGCCCTGGAGTTCCAGGAAGAACTGCAGTCGCCAGAATGACTTGATCATTCGCTGCTCCTCCACCCACGAAGGTGGGCCAGTATCCTGTGGAAGATAGTCTTTTCGACTCTCGGCGGTTTCAAATTCCTCCCGGCGTGTTCTGCCTTCCCCATTCTTAATGAGCGTGGAGGGCCTTAGCTCCATTGATTTCCGGATCAAATGTTCGAGGCAGGCATGAGACCAGTTATGGACGTTCTCAGCGGTCGTGAGCAAGGACCGTACCGCTGCGGCGGCTCGGTCTAGTTCGGATGAACGCATTTCGCTGGTGGCCGCAGTTGAGTCAGTTTTCGCCACCCTTTGAGCCTCGGACAAGGATGCTGGGAAGAGCGAAAGCCGCAATTCGAGAACCGCGTAAATCAGGCGACTGATACTCATGGGCACGGTGACCTCTAAGATGACCTCCAAGATTTCGAGCGGATATCTGTCCAGCACTTTGCCCATAGCGGGCGAGGCATGGGCCAAGCACCGTAGCGACAAAGGATCCGGTGAAAGTTTGATAATTTTAATCCGAAGCTCCTCGGGAAGTCGGCTGAAAGCGTCTCGCTCAGTACTCGCTGTCATAGTCGCTTGTGGTGCTTTCGATAGTGTTTCCAATGTGAGTGTCTGAAGTGAAGACAAATCACGGACTCGATAGAGATAGCGGTATCTCGTTTAATAAACATGGCCAAGATTACGTCATAGCGCTAGCCGAAGGATTTCCGCCGTCCGAAGCACGGTTCATGGAAGAGGTGAACACATGGAACTAAACTCCAACTCAATGTATACATAGAACTTCGTAAGTAATTTAATTGCATGAAGATCTGGAGAAGACTATTATCTCTTGTACACAGTGACAGGCTGAGATTCAAGATTGCTCGAGCACCCTTTACAACCCTTTCCTACGACCTTTGCTTCATTAGCGCCCTTAACCCCGATCATCTTTCAAGGCATTTGTGTTCACAAAAATTCTTTCATTTCCGCTCTCGCATATTGCTGCCCCGTTCTTCGCGTGCCACATACAATTAGCCTGTTTCCGTTCATTCTCAGTCGCTCATGCACATATTCAATTGCTCTCAGACTACCAGGTGCGGGTATCGCCCACCAGGGTCATCTCATTGCGGCACGGTACCTCATTTCCAAGGATCGGCCAATTCTGCCGTGGGAACTTCACACTAGCCTGACTTGTTTGTGTAGAAGGAGATCGACATTTTCACGGCCCAACCTCCCTCGGCAAGATACAATCCTTACGGCGTGGTTTTTCTTGCATACGGGAGTGCACTATCTTTACCCTGATATGGACAGGGCGTCGCATTATCGCTTCACAGACCCAGCTTGCTTCATTGTCATATTGTGCATTTTTGTAGCAAGACTTACCTACGCTTTATGCCCTTATGATTATTCAAGTGACTGCAGAGTGAGGAGGTGGAAATAAGACGATGCTAAGGCCTGCCACCCGGCAGTGAGCAAGGGCCGTACCGCCGCGGCAGCTTGGACCAGTCTGGACGAACGGGTGGCAACCTTCTAAGCGCCGGACAGGGATGCTGCGAAGCGCGAAAACCGACGTTTGAGAACTAAATTGGGTAGGGAAATTACCTGACCCTCTAGAAAACTTTAGGAAGGTCCGAATCATTTGTTCTTGGCAACAGTCCACGCAGCTCTGATTGGGGCCAGCAATGCCAAGCCGGTGGTCGAGAGTTCCTACCGGTGGTGGCAATTCCGGAGGCTCGGCAGGCGAAGGATTTCGAGCACATATCACATGTTGCTCTAGTGATGCAACCACGAGAAATTGCATCTCATCCTGGACTGCGCGATACAGGGTTGAAATGAGTTAGTAGGTACTCAAGTGAATCCAACGCTACGGGGAGGAAGAGTAAGAAAAGCCGCTAAACTTGTAGACTGGAAGATAGGAGAAAGCCGTGAGACTTGTGGAGTGAAAACTTGAGTCCTGGTATGAGCGGAACAGCAGTAGTACTACATGCTCAGGTGTACATAAAACCAGTATCTCCATATATAGATGATGACCCTCCCACGAGTCTTCTCCTCCTTCGCTCAAGGCAACTGTACCAGTGTCGAAAATGGCACGCTTCAAGACATCAGCGCGTCTTCTTGGACTCGCCTTCATTGCTTTGCAGGGCGCTCTGGCGGCGAAAGCCCCGGACATCACCCACCAGTCCCCGGAGAACGCACCGCCTATTCCCTATCTCAACCTCATGGCCTTGTTCACCATGCCTCAGAATGTCAGCCACGAATCATCCGAAGAGTCAAGTCTCCTGCCCAACCTCTTCGACAAGAGACAGCGCGAAGAGGATGGGAACGGAGGCCTTTTGTGCAGGAACGGCCCTTGCCCCGACGGAAGGTAAGTTCTCACGCTTCACTCCTTGTAGAGGCAAGGAGGCCTTGGAAAGAACGGAATGCTCACTGTGTTAGTTGCTGCGGCCCTGCAGGAGTATGTGGCTACGGTGAAGACTTTTGCGGTGTCGGCTGCACCAGCAACTGTGATGCTTTAGCCATGTGTGGAAACTTTTCCGAAGGAGGAAACACAAAGTGCGGCATGAATCTGTGCTGCAGTTGGGGTAAGTCCTTACAGTGTCCATTCACTCTGTAGCTTGCACTATTTTCTTACTAACCGTGATATTTTAGGTGGATGGTGTGGAACATCCGAGGTTCACTGCATCGGGCCAAACAAGTTCACACCGTGCCAGGAAGGCTTTGGCTCTTGCGAGATCATCCGACCAAAGACATGTGGTGAGGGCTCTGGATCGACTAAGGGCCGGACCATTGGGTATTACCTGGCCTCCAATAGCAGAGACCGTCTGTGCAACCGCGTCTTTCCCAAGGATATCAATGCTGAGGACTACACCCATCTGTTCTTCTCCTTTGCGTCCATCGACCCCAATACCTTCAGGATCCGGCCCTGGGATGATGCCGACATTCCACTGATGGAGGACTTTACGGCTCTCAACACAAACACTTGGATCGCCGTTGGCGGCTACACGTTTAGCAACAACGGTACGACACACACGACTTGGAGTGATTTGTGTTCCACCGCTGAGAATAGGGCCGCCTTCATTCAATCGACTGCCGACTTCATGGACAAGTACGGCTTCACGGGAGTCGACCTGGACTGGGAGTACCCCGTGGAGCCGAAGCGAGGAGGCTCCAAGGGGGACACTGAAAACTTCACAAAGCTCGTCAGGGAGATGAGAGAGGCTTACGGAAACAAGTACGGCATCAGTTTGACTCTTGCGCCAGACTATTGGTACCTTCGATACTTTGACGCAGAGGGAATGCAGCCATATGTCGACTTCTTCGGCTTCATGGCGTACGATCTGCATGGATCTTGGGACTCTGATGTCCTGACTTTGGGATCTCTGGTGCGCGGCCAGGCAGATGTGCGCGAGATTTACAATGGTGAGGTAAAGTCGACTCATACCATTCTGAATATTCACTAATGCCTCGTAGTAAGCATTCAATCACCACTGACTCTGTAGTCTCTGGCCAGAGACATATGAATGCGAAAGTTTGTTAACAGACCGTGACTTAGAACACCTTGCCCCTCTGGTATGCAAACCTAGATCCGGCCAAGATAAATTTTGGCCTCGCGTGGTACGGAAGAGGATACACGTTGTCAGGTACATTGAACTGCCCTCAAGTGATTGCCTGTGCATATCAACTAAACTTCCATCACAGACCCCAGTTGCAACACACTCGGGTGTCCCTTTGCAGGCCCCAGCAAGCGGGCCGAGTGCACTGGCCAGGATGGAGTTATGTCACTACTTGAGATCAAGAAGCTTATCAAGGAAAAGAACCTTACGCCGCGCCTCAACACCGACTCGATGATGAAAGAGCTCATCTGGGACGATCAGTGGATCGGCTACGACGACGAGGAGACACATGAGATGAAGCGCAATTTTGCCAACAACCTATGCTTCGGAGGCACTATGGCATGGTCCGTCGACTTCAACTCGGGCACTGGTGACGGTGACAGCGCCCCAATTTCTACCGATGGACGATGCGGTCCCGAAAATGGCGGCTTCAAGTGCGAGGGCAGTACGTTTGGTGACTGCTGTTCCTCGTATGGTTACTGTGGAAGCGGCGAGACACACTGCGGCTCCGGCTGCCAGAGTGGAAAGTGTTTGACGGGACAGGAAACGACCGACGGAACCTGCGGCGCTTCGGCGCACGGCTCCTTTTGTGGTCTCTGGCCTCAGGGTAGCTGTTGTTCGTCCTCGGGCTACTGCGGTGATTCTGAGGGCCACTGTGGTAAGGGTTGCCAGAGCGGCGCCTGTCTCGAGGAGCCGTCAAGCGGCAAGGGCTCCGGGCCAGTTTACATTGCACCCGAGGTTTATGACGATCCGAACCCGGTTGCGTCGTGTTTCCCGCCGTGCACACTCATCATGCCCCCATGGTCCCTCGACAAGCCGACGACCATCTCCCGCCCTCCTGTCACCGTTTCATACCTCGATTCTTGGGACACGACCGTGGTGACGACCAGCACCGTCATTACGCTGCCCCCTGTCACCACGACCGTGATCGAAGTATGGAACGTGATATGGATCAACGGCGAAGATGAGAGTAGAAAGAGTCAGACTACAATGGGTCTCACGTCAAGCGTCGACTTCCCGCCAGTCACACTCACCAGGACCAGGGCGGGACAGACACCCGTCACCTGGACATACTCGCCTGGGTCCTGGCCTACCATTGATTCAAACGATGATAACCCTTTCCCCCCTCCACCTCCCCCGCCTCCAGGTAAGCCATCGTCCATCACTGCCATCAGGGGCCCGCCAAAGCCGACCTGTAAGCCTGGACAACAGTGTGGAAGTCTCTGCAAGGCTAATTGCGGCCGTGAAGAAGATGAGAATACCAGTGGAGGCGGCGGAGGTGGTGGAGGCGGTGGGCGTCCTTGCATTGGCATCTGCGGCTGCATTGGTCCCATCTGCAACACTCCCAATCTCAACTGCGTTGGCCCGCTCTGCCCACCCGGCAGTATTGGTGGAGGAGGAGGCGGCGGCGGCGGCGGCGGCGGCGGCGGTGATCCTAACGATCCAGACGAAGAAGACGACGAGGATGAGGAATGCACCACGAGAACCGTCACCGACCGCTGGGTTTCTTGTGATGGTGAGCGCACGACACAATGCAAGAGTGAGTGGATGAACATACAGTGCCTGTGAGCCCATTGGCTAACCCCTTTTCTTTTCCTTCTACAGCTTACTCCACCTCGCTCGTCAGCGAATGCTCACGTACGGGTACAGCAACGACTACCACAGGCGGAAGCTGCCCATTGTAAGTTTTATACTTGGCTCCACTTCGACTTTGTACAGCATGCTCACAACGTCACAGAGCTACCTATGACCCCGATCTACTGGATATCCATGATCAGATTCCAATAGGCGTAAGCCACACGCAGGGAACAACCGTCTACAACGGAAAGACCGTGACGACTTGGGGCTGGAACATCAACCCATTAGGCGGCACCAAGCCGCCTAACGGAGGCAACAGCAACGGAGGACAGGCCACGCGTACCACTGCACCACCAGTTCTCCCAGGCGCGCCCACGCTTCCGCCAGTCAATCCGCCTTATAGCGGTAGCGAGTGCAGCTCGTACCTGCACACGACCATGTGTAATGGCTCTGGTGGCGACAAGGCTTGTGTGACCCAAGATCTCTGCGTCCCAACCAAGCCCTGCTACTCCACGTACTCTGCAAGAGGTACCCCTGCTTGTTCAGGCGAGTATTCCATCTGCCTGAGCACCACTGTCTTTACCAGATGTGGGCTGGTAGGTGGCATCGCTGCTCGGGCTGAGGCTACTGCGGCTCCTTCGCCGATAGGTGAAGGAAGTACCACAGCAGTCCTGTCAGTTCCGACATCTGAACCCTACCAGCTGTCGGTACCGACCCCATCGACGTCATCGCCCCATGCTTCGTTCCCGACACATCCCCATCATGGCCATCCACATCATCACCACCAAAGGTCGGCTGGTAACGAACTAGGCGAGCTGGAGGTTTCAGTCCCAGACGCCCAGCAGAACCTCAGCAGCGCCGCAATGGGCAACTTGAACCTCATCTCTGCTCGTCAGAACAATGATTGTGGCGGTAGCGCCAATGGTGGATGCGACTACATCCGCTTCTGCGCTTCAGGCATGTGCGCCAAAACCGAAGATGTTCCTTGCCTTGTAAGCTGTCTCCCCCCTTTTCACCATCCTGTATCCGCTAGATCAATACTGATATCTTTGGCTTTTTAGCAAGCGCATATCAAAGCCCATTTTGGCGTCACTTCCGGTATCGACCTTGAAGCCACGATCACGGAAGACGGTGTCCTGAAGTGCACAGCTACGCGTCATTGCCCACTACTATGGGACGACGACTGCGGCGGCGTCGACACCTTCGAATGCGGCGACGACGGCAGTACGATGAGTTTCAAGTACAACTTTGTCCGATACTACAGTGGGAAGTACGATCGAAGTTATCCCCTGTACCTTGAACAAACTGTGAATGAGCGGCTCGTTTTTTGCAGTAAGTTACATCTTCCCCCTCGATGATGGTTTTCACCTGTTTTGAGTTGAGAAACCTCTTGATCCCTCTCTCCCATGCAACCAATAACTGACGTTTTCTTTCCTCCGCTCTAGCTCAAAAGATTCTCGGCAGGCCATTTCCCTATGTGTGTTTCGAGGACGAGTTTGATTGGAAGGATGGGCCTTGCAGAAGCCTTGGTCTCTGAACCAACATACGAGTGCCTATGCCACATATATAATATACTATTCACACGAGTCTAACACTTGGCACCTATGATGCAAAAATCTGAGTTCAGTGACTGCCTGTCTGAGACGAGGACACTCTATGGACACAATACCGTCATCATCTGCTACATGTAAACTTGGGCTGAATGTCAAGCATATAGCAATCATTCTCAAAACCTGTATTGCGTTCACAACATGACTAGACGATCACAGCGCATTTCCCTCTCACATTTCTTCCAAAGGCGAAAAGAACAAAAGCCATATAAGACAACTACTAATATCATTCTCCAGTCCCCTACAAAGAAGTCCCGCCCCAAAGCCCAAAGCCAAAGTATCTCTCCATCTCTCCCTCCCAACCAGGCGCCCGATATATATACACACAAAGTTCTCATCAAACGCCACCGCATCATGCTACAACATAACATCCCGTTCCCATCGTCAAACACCTTTCATCAACTCCATATAGCTTATGCTCGCCCACTCTATACACCAGCAGTGCGCATCATCCGCACACACACACACACACACATCTCCAACGGGGAGAACTGTCTCTCTCTCTCTATCAGACAAAAAGGAAAAAAAAATCGCTCAAATCGGTATATCGGGGGTCTTCGTTTACAGCCTGGCTCTCTCCTTTTTTGGGTGTTTTTCTTACAACTTGGGTCTTTGGTAATCCAGATCTTCAGGGGGGCCCGAGCGTAGTTATTCGCGCATGTTGACAACGCAGCGAATACAGTCACCAGCCTTCATGTCGCCGAAAGCCTGGTTGATCTTGTCGAGTGGTTGACGGTGGGTGATGAACTGAAAGAAAACAATGAGTCAGTATTTTGGGTTCTCAACATGTTAAAGGGGACGCTGTTTGAATGCAAAGCAATCGAAAAAAAAAGAAAAACTTACCTCATCAACCTTTAGGTCGCCACGCTTGTAGTCAGAGACGAGTCCAGGTAGTTGCGTACGTCCCTTGACACCACCAAAAGCACAGCCCTTCCACACACGACCGGTAACGAGCTGGAACGGACGAGTAGAAATCTCCTGACCAGCAGCCGCAACACCAATAATGATGCTCTCACCCCATCCCTTGTGGCACGCCTCAAGCGCAGCACGCATAACATTAACGTTACCCGTGCAATCAAACGTGTAGTCGCAGCCACCATCCGTCATCTCAATGAGCTTCTCCTGGATAGACTGGTTACCAAGCTTAGTCGGGTTGACAAAGTGTGTGGCGCCGAATTTCTTGGCCCATTCCTCCTTCGCGTCGTTGACGTCGACTACAATGATCTTGCCGGACTTGTTCTTGGCCGCGCCCTGGATAACGGACAGACCGACGCAGCCAGCGCCAAAGACGGCGACGTTGCTGCCCTCCTCGACACCGTTCTTGCCCGCCGTGATGACGGCAGCGCCGTAGCCGGTGGTAATTCCGCAGCCGAGCAGGCAGGTGCGGTCCATTGGGGCGTCTTCCTCGATGGCGACAACGGAGATGTCGGCTACAACTGTGTACTGGGAGAAGGTGGATGTGCCCATGAAGTGGAGGAGGTCCTTGCCCTTGCAGCGGAAACGCGATGTGCCGTCAGGCATGACGCCCTTTCCTTGTGTAGCGCGGATCTTTCCGCAGAGGTTCGTCTTGCCGGATTTGCAAAACTTGCATTCTTTGCATTCGGGGGTGCTAGTGGAGCGTTAGCAAGAGCGCTTGGAAACTTCGCAAGGGAAGGGAGAAAATCTGATAGATAAAGCCCGGAGTAACCAGCGTCAAACAAGCTAAGAAAAGACCTACTAGAGCGCAACAACGTGATCACCAGGCTTCACGTTGGTAACTCCCTCACCAACCGACTCGACGTAACCGGCACCCTCATGACCAAGGACAATGGGGAAAGCACCCTCGGGGTCCTTGCCAGAGAGTGTGTATGCATCGGTATGGCAGACACCAGTGTAGTAGATCTGGATACGGACTTCGTGGGCGCGAGGGGGCAGAACCTCGATTTCCTCAATGGAGAGGTCCTTGCCAGCTTCCCAGGCCACTGCGGCCTGTTGTTACTTCGTCAGCCTTGCTTTAATTTTTTACAGCACAACTCCCGCTTCATGGGCTTTGAGTTTGGGGAAGTTCCCTTCTCCGGTGACATGCGCCTGACGTCGTGCGTCAAGGAGGCGATGCGGATCCGCGTGCCAAGGCTCGTAATGCATTTGGAGCTGGAAGGAGGGAACTGGAAGAACAACGCCATGGTTTTTGCTCGCGGAGAGGTAAGAAGCGCGACTTGTACACACCTTGCAGGTAATAGTCTATATGATGATTGTCAGCTCGCAGTCCAGCGCGTCGCACAACCCCCTCGCCCATTGGGACGAGAGCTTATGGGGGAAACATACCTTTCCTACGGTATCAGCAGGCATTGTGATAGTTTGTGTATATCAACAAGTGTGTATCGAGCAATTCAGTAGAGAGGTACCTCGAGTATTTAACTGATAGTAGTAGTGAGGGGAAAAGCGAGCTATTACAGATAGCTCGAGCGGCTCCGGTAGCTTTTATTCGAGCGTTGTGGGGTCGCTATCGTCATGCTGCCCCTCCATTGCCCCTCATTCGCGGGCACGGTTCGGCTTTAGCTACGCGTGAGACTCGCGACTTGAGGCTCAAACTTGGAGCTGGCTCGGAATAGTCGCCTTGGCCAGGCTTCTGGGCGCCCTTGATTACAATTGGTAGATTGGGAGGCGTGGTCCGGGCTTGTTAGCTACATGTGGAGAATTGGTAGTCTCGTCATTGTCTCGGCACTTGAGCTGCGGATCTACTTGCCCGTTTGGGACGATGGATACGACAGGGTCATGTATATATATACGGCATTCAGCAATGCATCGCACGCCTATGACTGAACGTGAGTGCTTTCATTCACAGCAAAGATATCGCAACAGTAACGCCAGTAGAGCTATGCAACCAATCCCACCCTAAACGCCACACACCCTTCCCTATCGTCCTCTGTGTCATAGACTTGCTTCCATCTTCTTCGGGTCTTCTTCTAGTATCCTGTCCGGAGTCGACCGTTTGCTAGAACCCCTAGACAGATCCGTACCGCCCGGAATATCCTTACCACCCTTGCTCTTACTCCTCAGCCTCCCCCAACTCATCGCCCTCTTTCTGCCCTCGCCGTCCTTGTCTTTTTCTTTCTTGACGTCGTGACTCCATTTTCTCCTTGGCGGGGGCCTCGATCCATCTAATCCAATCAACTTGCGTATATCCGATACTTCGGCGTGGCCTCGTGTAGTTTTCATGCGATGCGCCCAGGTACCTATTTTCCGATTTTCTTGTCAGCATTTGTCTTACAGATTCGTACTGCAAGAAGAGAGATAACTCACACTCGCCATTCTCAAACAAGAACTCTCCACCCACTTGTTTGAAATCTCCGCCTTTGAGCGCCTTTTTGCCGGTGCTGAGACCCTGGAAGATGGATTGAACCGAGTTGATGAGGACGTTGGTCTGCATGTATTCCGGCTTCGCCCCTAGATTGAAGGTGCGCGTCATGCCCAGATGGTCATAAAGTTTGCGACTGGGATCCGCGTATATGGGAAACGGACAGCCGGTGGTTTCTGTGTACATGGGTATGAGTTCGGGTCTTCCGCAGCCAATGACGGTGATGAAGGTCGGTGTGGGCAGCGAGAGGAGGTCGTCGGGCTTGATGGACGAGGCGAGGGTGCGGAGGTATTCTTGGCAATTCTGGAGGGAGCATATCAGTACAGCCACGGGTGGAGGTGGAGGGGTGCATGTCTGGCTGGGAGGACTTACGCCGCAGAAGAAATGGCGTATGAAGATGATCAGCTGTTTTGAGGCGACATGGGGTGCTTTGTACAGCTCCTTGAATGGCCTGCTCTGCCCTTGTGCATCCAGGACTAACAGGTCTTCTACCTTGGCCAAGTCTTTCTCGCTCGGAATGTCGTTATTCACGTCGACAGTGCCCTCGAACTCCTCTTGTTCCTTTTGCAGGACTGGTGTTTGGCTCGACGGCGAGAAAGGCGGCGTCATACTATCCGCGGCGTCGAGCGACATCTTGGTGTTGACATCGGCGGGGTGACTGGTTTGCGAGTGTGGTGGTGAGGGAAGTTGCGATGTTGGCGGCTGCGACACCGAAGTCGCTATGGGTGCTGGTGCGGCGGCGGCGGCGGTGGGCTTGGGAGTGTCTGACGTCTCCATTCTGTCGTCCAGAAGCGTGCGACGGCAGATGCGTTGACTCAGGCGCGTCCTGTTGCTATGTATGCTGTTTATCTCGGGGGTACTCAGCTCCACGGATGCCAGCTGGTCCGGAGCTAATAGATGCGCTGAAATGGTGATCGCTCAATAATTGGAGGGAGGCGCAGCAACGTTGAATACGAAAAACGGGTCGTAAATAGATCGTAGATGGAATCTATCAGGTTAGCAACCAACAGACGGAAGGGTAGATTATTTGAACAAAGGACCCGAAACACGGCCAGACATGCGACGCGGACGCGACATTTGAGACGCAGGTACACACAGCAGTCGACGTCAGCGGCTCATGAAACCTGCCTGTTAGCTCCCGCTGTAGTGTTAGCCAAGCAATCAACATGGGCTGCGCTACTCCAGTCAAGCACTGTGACTTTGTTCTTGCGAGACCTCGCGGATGGATGCATGCGTGATCAGTGAAGGGGCGGTGGGCTCGCGATCGGTGGTGTTGACGTGGTGCGAGCCGTGTCTCAGCCGGCGCATCGCAGGGGTTGCGATGCTAGGCGACGACGCCATGGAACATCATCACGCTGAGGGCCGTGTTCTACCTATTGCTTTAATTCTTTCTATCTTCCATGACGTACCTCGAGTAATGCATCCTTCAACTTTTGCCAGCGTCAAGAGTCTGCCACACACCAATTCTCATCCTTGAGTTCATGTTCGTCCTTGATCAACGCTGCAGCGCGGCCTTTGCCTTGATACGATGAACGACATCAGCATACCTGCCATAACTAGGAAAATCTTCCCCCTGACAATCTCTCTTGACCTCGAGCGCCTTGGTTGCGGCCACGTCCGCCATGTGGATATCGCCCTTGATCTCACAAACGAGGGCGATATCGTGGAATCTGGTCCAAGTTAGCAAATAAGTATATGAGGGAATGACTCGGACCTACACAGCAGCCAACCTAGCACTATAGTCCCCCTCGGCCTTGTGCAACGCCGCCAACTCCAACAATTTCTTCACAAAGTCTTGCTGCTCGCTTCCTTGGCTCAATCCCGCGCCCCTAAAGAACCTCGTCTCCCTCTCCAACTCCGCCAACCTGAACCTGCGTTCCGCACTCTTGGCTCCAAAGCTCTCTTCATCATCTTCGTCATCGGCACAAGCAGGACAGTCGCACACGAAGCCGTAGTGCTTTAGTTCGTAGGCGCGCAGTGGTTTATCGTGCATCATGTCGCAGTAGCTCAAGGTGATTTCGGTACCGGCAGAGATCTGGGCGGAGTAAGCACATGTGTCCCATTGTACTGAGCATAGGCAGTTCGCGTACCGGGTTCATGACATGGATGTTCTCTCTACCAGTGGACGGATTGAACGAAAAACATGCATTCGGATTACACGAATGATTGAACCGACTCGCGTGCGGGAATACAGCAGCACCAGCATTCATCTCCATGCAATTCGTCTGGAAAATGCTGATCAAACTCGCTTCCTTGCCTGTCCGCGCGGCGTGCTGTTGCTCGATTCGCGTGCGTTCTTTTGGGAGGACGGATTCGTGGATGCGGCTGGGCCAGCCTTTGGGATCTTGGCCATGGCTGGAGTGAAGAGTGTGGTATTGCGCCTGCTGGTCTGGTGTCAACTCTGCAAACGCTTTCTCATGTCGGACAGCATGTAGTCGGCGACGGGGACGACGAGGAGCGGGGTGTCGGAAAGGATGCGGGTGCCGCGGGGGAGGTCGCTCAGTGCGAAGCAGCCGTAACCTTTGGTGGGGATTGCGCGGATGGTATAGTGTGGATTGCCTGCTGAGGAGAGTCAGTAAGTTTGTGCAAGGAAGCAGTTGATCTTGGCTGCACGTACCTGGAGCAGAGGGAATCGAGCTTGTTGCCATGAGTGCCACCATCTACGTGAGAATCGTGTCTTTGGTGAAGAGGAGGGTGTCGATGGCAGAGATGGTAGGTGGAAGATACGAGAGAGCGTTTGCTGCCCGAGCGTCGATAGGTGAGAGCAAGCACCCAAACTCACTACAAAAGCTTGCTTCATAAAGCACTAAGATTGTTCTCGGACGTCGTCTGCGACCACAAGATAGTATGACGAGCTGCAGGGCGTGTTAAGCAGAGTCGACGTAACAGGTATATGGACTTATGGGCAATATCTCAAATCGTAATTTGGCAGCGTTATAATTTGTAAGCTGGTTTCTGGAGACGCCTAGCCACGCTCTCTCCATTGATTCTACCTCTCCAAATCTTCATTGTTCCTCCTTTCGTCTATTACTCGCCCTTCAGACACTCTTCTCTAGGAGCCTCGATACGCCTGGGAGATTCCGTTGTCAAATAGCCCATCACACCTCCAGCATTTCTCAGTCTTCAATGTTAGACCGGGTACGTTGACCATTTGGACACAATCTAGATGCCCGCGTACAAACTCAGAGATCTTTGTTACAAGTGATCTTTACGATACAGAAAGTTAACTTACGGGGTTTGCATGTGTGCAAGGGGCGGACGGCTACGTGTCCGCATGCATATTTGACTTTGTATAACTCACACATCACTGCTTTATATGGTTCGTCGATGTAGCTGATCGGAAGTTTATTATCTTTCGTGATGGATGGAATGTTGAGAGAGGTGGATGTGGTTATATGTTGCGTATACATAAAGAAGGATATTCCGATGCCTTATGTATGCTGCTGCTGCCACAGGAAAATGTTGAATTGACTGTGGTATTATTCACATATTATAATGACATGCAGTTTCGTACTGCAGAACATACTCAATTTGCCCTAATATCTTGTGCAGCAGCTGCTGCACACGCTACAATGGACACTTGTTGCCGTTTATTCGTGATTCTCAGATAAGTAATGTGCGCTGACTGATCGCTTCGTCTTTCAAAAACATAAACGCTGGGTCTTTGGAAGGATGTTTAAGGACCTGCAACGTAACTTGCGTTCGTCTTCCCACCATTCAGGTCCAACGATAGAATTCGACAAGCAGGTTTACAGCGATCCGTGATGGTTCAAAGTATCTAGGTCAATGATATAGATTGACAACAGACAAACGGCTGTAGAAAATGCACGATATCGTGACAAACATCTCCCCTTGGCAGCTACAGAGTTGTATAAAAGATACCCAGATATCTTCTCTAGTATTCGCACCATATAAACATATACAATTGTCTCTCTATCAACAATACCACCCTGACCACCCCAACTACGAAAAATATCGTGAACAGTCTACTCATCACAGATTCGCAAACCCCAACCCAACACTTCGGTCATATTAGCCACCGTACTTCATCGCTACTCCACAATGTGCGAAACCTACACAGTAGAGTTTGCATGCGGCTGCACAGACATCCACTTCAACTATACGTGCCAGCCCCATTGAGCCGGCTCTTCCATGATCAAGCATAGAGATCCTCAGCTGGTATGAACTCCTGCTCAAGGAAGTTTGTGAGACGCAATCTGACACTGATGTTTGCATATTTTAGCTGCCGCAGAAGTGTGATATGCACGGTGGACCATTTACTGATTCTCATCACTATGACTACAAGTATGTCAGGAAGTGAAGAGCAAAAGGAAGTAGAAGAGTGGAGACCAAGTACAAGTGGGGAAAGAACAAGACGTCACAAGTATGTTTTTCTTTCAAACCAAACTGAGAGGAAGGAATGATCATAAGCGAGATAGTAAATTATTCCATGTAATATTTAAATCATGTTCTTGAGCCGCGCACGTCTCAACTCTCTTCTCTTTCGATTCATGCAACTAAAAGGACTTCAAACAAAGCCTCCCGGTGATTTGCGTTACGATATTGCCTTCAATTACATTCGTTGGTTACTCTGATGTCTTGAAGGAATACGAGATCTCTACCTAGCAATCCTGTGTCACTTTTTGTGTTTCCGCCGTCGTGATCTAATTTACCTACCTGTTTTTCGCGTCCCGCCAGGATAAGCATGAACAATCTCTCCCAGTCCAGTTGTTAGCACCACGTTCAGAGCACTACGTTAGTATATATTTCGATGCAAAATCCGCGGCACAACGATGAGCACACAATGTTATGATTGGGATTTGAACTTGGAAACCAAGAGCAAGTCAGAAAGACTAGAAGCGAAAGGTGATACGAAGTGGCAGGCGCAGTTGGAACGTGAACAACTATAGATGGTATCAGTCCAGCGGGCGCCACGTCACTGAACGATTCATCAACAACACGTACTCTGAGTAGGTTCAAAAGTACCAGACTGACCTATAGACGACTTCTGCGTGTGCAAGGTAACTTGATGTCCTTCAAGATCGCTCTTTTCGATCGATTGTTTACTAATCACCTGCTACATCTCGTCCTGTACATCTTCCTATTCACCCCCAACACATGCGTCTCGCATCCCAGACACTTTTCCCTTCCTTTTTATCATACCCTTGATGTCCCTCAAAGAGATCATAGCAACCTAGCACAATCCACACCTCGCCGTAGTACTCTTTCTGCTCACTACTCTGGCGTCTGAGCATTGGAAGCCGCTCTTGCTAGCTCGACAACTCCGAAGAAATTCGTTCTTAGTGTGGCCACATCCCAGATATGATACTCTCTCGTAGTCGCATATGCCGATGCTTTGAGATAGATAATAGAGGAGCTGTAGAGGAGGCGTAGGACTGTTCGTTTGGGAAATGTGCTGGGGCAACTATATAGTCTGGATCTGGTGGATTGTAGGAATACCTACGTATTGCTAGTAGTGATTGTTAATCTCGAAATCTATGGTATTCGGCTGAGCCTTTTGTTGCAGTTTCGATAGTAGCTTCTGTTGTGGTAGTCGTAATTGTAGTAATGATTGTGCAGGAGCCAGGTAGGGCGGCTTCGTGACCTTTTGTACTGCTCTAGAGATATTCATAATCTACTCAATGTTGCTGGCCATAGTTACGGATGAAACAGAATTAGGAGCGGTAGTTTGAGAATACCATAGATTCAACTACTCACCTTGATGAAACAAATATCGGATATAGATGCAGAAAAGGAGCCATTGGGCAATTTCATGGTCGTGCAAATTGCACTTAATGTAAGTCATTGGTTGTTGACTGGGACGAACACCGGCTACATTCGATGTGTTCGTGACGCTGGGATGACTGTGGCTCTTGAATCTGTCGAGTCTTGAAGCGACGCTTAGTTACTCCAAAGATCGCAAAGTTTATGAAACTGCGTTGAGTTGCTGGGTGTCAGAGAACCCTTGCGGGTGCTTGTCTGACTCGCTTCGTTTCGTACGTTTGCAACATATGACTAGCGAGTCGTTGACGGAGATGCTTATTCGAAGACCCATCGTTAGAATATTTGCGGTGGATGGGAAGGTTTTGTATGTACAAGAGTGTTAATATTTAACGTGGGTCTGCAAACTTCAGCAGTAAACGAACCATGGTAAGCCTAGTATCTGTTTAGGTCGTCTATGTATTGCGTCAATCGTGGGCAGCGTATGTACCATGATCCATTCAAAACCCTAGCGTGTGAGCAGATAAACGAAGTCTCTATTACAAGTTTTACTAGGAGTTTTGCAAGAGCAATTCATATAGATGCGTTAAACAACCTACAAAAGAGGTAATGCATTGGTAAAGGCGACCGAACACGAAAGACAAAACTAAAAGTGTAATGAGCTGCGTTGGAGAAAAGGCTGACAACGCTATTGAGAACGACAGAAATTTGGCGACGTGCGGCCATGCCGATGCTAAAGCTGGAATAGTTGGTTCAGTATATGTACGGACAATACCCTATCCGCGATGTTTGGGTAAGTTGAAACATGGACTCCGCTAGAGTATTCGAAGCTTCGAATCCCGGCACCTTTATGGCACCGTCCGCGCGACACTATGTTGCCGAGGAGATGATTGCGTATCGTTGTGGCAATTCTCAAATGGTTTCGCAATCATTGTGGATCCACTCCTAGTAGATGCAGCCGTTTGGCGTGGGGACCGCGACTGCTCCGCCAACAACATCTTCGGGGATTCGGACGTCGAGAAGCGCGATGCCGACGTGGCGATGCACCGCGCGTTCGAGCTCAGGGTTAGCGACGACAGTTAGGTGCATTATTCAAAGATACCTAGAATTTTATTTGGTCGAATGTACGAACCGCATTTGCGGCAAACACTGACTTCGTACATCGACATTCCAAGCCACGATTGTACCATGCTGCAAAGATTATAGCCAAGGATGTGGATAACATGAGTAATTGGGGTAAAACTGATCAAAACAACCTTCTATGAATACAAAAAGACTGCCAATACTCCTAAAGTTCCTTTCCTTTAGTGTGAATTGGATGCGCCCATGGGATGCGACCTTTGATGCGGTCTTCGCCAAAGACGTAATTGAGAACCCTACTTTGCGCCATCTTCGGACCGGCAAGGTATGTTTGCATAAGCCATTGGATTGCATATAGAGGCAAGAGGAACCTGGACAAGAACCAGTAAATCGGATTTGCCCAAGCTTGGCCACGAGTCGTTGCCGAAGATACTCCCCACTCGAATGCGAGCTCCTCCTTTCGTGCAGTCTGGTAGCCTAGAAAGATTCGTTGGAGAGAGTCTTCGCTAAGATCGGTGTCCTTGCTCATATTCACTGCATCGTGCAGCAAGTTGCAGAGCAATGCAATGTCTTGGATGCCGTTCGTGAAGCCGAGACCGGCGTTGGGCGTGAACTTGTGGCATGCATCGCCGGCAAGCACAATCCGTCCTAGGCTCCAGTGCTCAAGTATGCCCTCTTCCAAGACCGACATGCCTGCTGTCGAGCTGTTGTAGACGTCCTTGATGGTGAAGTCCTCGTTGACAGGCCAATCTGCGAAGCTAGCTGCAAATTCGTCCATGTCCGCTTTTGTGTACCGTGGCGACTCTTTCGTTGGTTCTGGAAGCTTTTCGTACAAGAAGATCCAACC